GAGAATATCAGGAAACGTTCCCTTCAGGTGCAGCTTGTCAGGTCGGGGTCGTTTGTCTCCGCTTTAGCAGCATGCTTTGCTCGAATGCCACGAGCAGAGTCCGTGGGGTTTTGCGACGCAGCGGAGTCACCAGTTCCTCACCGGTATGCTTTGTTGGACCGCTACCGATTTCTGGAGGCTCTGTGTCATCCTCTCAGGTGGGATGAGATCAAGATTCATCTTTGCAACCCTCTGGTTCCCGCCAAGATTCTCTTCGAACTACCAATCGCTATTCAGCGGGCTGGGAAGATGATTCGTGATTTACACGTTGGCTGCTTTCCGTCCGGAGACAGGTTTGCTATGATGCCGGTTCAGGGTCCCATATCTAGATTCTCGGATCAGAGATTGTGGGCAGACATACGAACGACATTCCGGAACCTCCAAAAAGTTACCTTGAATCAGCCCATGGATGTTGACGAGGATATGAGCGTGCCACCATCACCACCAGCGGCCAACACTACGTCTCACTTCAAGGAATACCTGAAGGCTATGTTCACGGGGCCTGAGCTTGAACAGGTTTTTGTCTCCTTGAATGGGGATGGGGAGGTTCCAGGTCGATTCGAAGGGGATGAGTTGAGCGTGAGCCCGCTTCTGGAAGGAATCCAGTGGACGCGTCTTCAAGTTTTCCAAATGACCGATACCTCGCTGACTGAAAACGAGCTTGCGCAGTGGTGCAAGGCTCTTGGACCCCATTTGAAGGGACTATTTCTGCTACGCATCGTGCTTATAGATGGGTGGTGGGCGCCGATACTTGATATTCTCCGCGAGAAGGTGACTGAATCCCGGGAATACCACAAAAAGGAGCCACACGTACATATGCATGACCTCCAAGGGGCGGAGATGGGGTTCGCGGACATTCCGATTTGGGATGAGGAAGTAGCGGATGAAGAAGAACTGGAGGTTCGGGCTTATCACTATGTGACCGGGTGGGCGTATTTGAATGGGGAGAACCCCTGCCGCAAAGTGTTGAACAAAAACCTGTAGTTTCTGTTCATATCCCAGAAGTCGATCGTGCACTTGCATGCAGGTTTCGTGCACTGGTGCTACGAGGTGGTACGAGATCTACTGCGGCATTGATTGCCATGACTCCCATGTGTTTTTAGTCTCTCTTTCGATTATGCTTGTGGCTGTTTTCTGCACCGACCTGTATTCCCATATGTTCTTTTCTGATTTCTTCATGTCTGAGTGTACGCCCCTGTGCCACATATTGCAAGCAAATGTCGGCAATTGTATCTGATAGCACCACAGCATCATTAACTCTCATCAGCAGTTGTAACTCAATTTGATTCAGCATTCAATGGCATTTAGTAAGTGGCATTAGTATCCATGATGCGCCTCAAAATAGCTTTCCTGTTTTCTACGTTATTCTCATTTTCTCGGCGTCATCACAAAAATCTCTCGACCGCTCGGTTTCTTTCCCGACCACCTTGTGTCCGCTTGTCGTCTAGCGCGTCACCGATGCTCCAAGAAACGCAATTAACGAAGATGATGCCCTCTCCGCACCATACTCTCCATCCACCCTTTCACTACTGTGCTAAGGTAAAGACGATCCCGTGGCTCGTTCCAGTAATGTCCATCGAGATCATTCCATCCAATTTTCAGAACAGATGTACACAGCCCAGTCGTTGCCTGCGTCAATGTTTGTCCGCGCAAACACTCGACGAGATGCGGAATGGAATGCGGGTGTCAGAAGCGGCAAATTCCCAATAAGGCATCGGGGATTTGGTTCCGGGGCGCGTCAAGCTTCCCAAGAAATTCTCCAACTGTCCCCAGACGTCAACCTAAGGGCTAAGTTCCGGATGCTTAATCCACGTAAAAGTCCTTTCGAGATGATGCAGTACCCGGTGCAGGCCGTAATTCCGATGCAGCTTGCGGACGAGCGCCTCATCCAGATCCTCGACCTCCTCGTACAGCTTCTCCCAGGACGACTCGGGATCCTCCAGGGGAAAGACGTACAAACCGGCCAGGATAATCAGCATCGCGCGCCGAAGCACATCCGCAACGGCCTCTGTGATACCATGCAGGACGTCGCCGGGCCTTTCGTCCACCGACACAAGCATACGGCCGATGCGCAGAAGCACGGATAAACCGTGGTAGCGCATCTGGTCATCCGCCAGCAGAGCGCACTTGGCGACGAGCACCTCCATGACGCCCTCGAGATAAGCGTAGATCTCCATGAACACCGTTTCCCTGTCCCACCGGTTCAAGCGGGGGTGGACAATCTCGAGTTTCTTGGCGACCAGCTCGCTGTTTACGTCGAACGAGTACGGCCGATCGAGCTCCCGGAGTGCTCGCTTGACCTGCGCATGCACCCTGGGCTTCACGCGGCCGCCCTCGTCGATGGTCTGGCGGATGTACTCGGCTAGATCCGGCATCGGGGAGCAGGAGCGCGGCCGCGGGTCGGAACGGACGGCACTTTGGTGGGGTGAAGCAATGGCGTTTGCGTTGTTTGCGTTCCGGTCATCGGGCTCGACCGAGCGAGTGACAGCGTTGCCGTCGAGGTCGGTGCGCGACCGTTTGGAAGCGTGAGTATCGGACATGGCGCAAGTGACTAGGGGGCTTTCTACTGTGAGTGGCGGGTCTTGCTCTGGTGGACTTGCAGTAAGAAGAGAAAAGGAGTAATTGATCTTGATCTAGGGGGGCATTTACTATGTTGAGTGTTGTGTGGGGTCTTTGTTGTTTATGTATCACGGCACGCTAGTTCCTGTCACAGATCACGTGGGGTTGATGGAGTTGATGTATCAAATTGTTATCCATGTTCTGTGGATTGATCAATTGATCGACCAAGCGAAGCTAAAATTCCGAAAAGGCTGGCTATGTGATATTAATGCGCACAGAGTGCTAGGTACTGCCCTGCCCGTCATCCAGCGCTTATCTTTCCAGGCGATTTCCCTCTCCCCGTCTTGCCTTAACGTCCTTCCTAATCTTGCCTCTTGCCATTTATTCTTTGAAGCAAGTACCATGATGCGGTTCTGTTAGCTTTTGTTTACCATACTGGTGTCAATAGATAGCCTTGATCGCTTGTCCCGCATAGTATGCGCTTTATGCCAACACATAGGGAAAGTAATTGCTGCCCTGATCTAGGGGCACACCTCATCGGCACCTACGACGTGGATTCAATCTATATCTTTGAATAGCTCACCGGACATTAAAAGTCCTCTAAACACAACACACTAGCCTGTTCTTTACTCCCCGGCACGAGAGCAGAGACATACAAGGATCTTGATGATCTGCGACCGGGATATTCTCACATGCAAGTCACCCGAGAGATAAAGTAACATTCTGAGCCTCGTTAAATATAAACTTGTAACGCGTCGCGACAAACTATCCGTTTCCGAAACCTCATTTCAAAAATATAGAAAGGCAAGGAAAGAGAAGAACATACAAAGAGAAAATCAACCAAGCACATGCAAAAAACATTGATTGAGATACAACGCAAGACTTTTGGTCAACTTCCGTAAACAGATCACTTCCAGGTTGGCACGTCTTGCAATAAGGATTCCCAATCCGATGGCCAAGCTTCCGACCGAGGCAGGCTGCCTAGACCAGCTCCTCTGTTTCAGGGGAAGCATCGTCGCTCCAGGGGCGGGGGAAAGAGGCTTCACTGCCAGGGGTGGAGGCGACGTCGTACTTGAAAAGGGAACAAAGGTCAGTAAAGAAAATGTCCATATGACTCCTTAGCAGGCGCAAAACATCCTTCAGCGAGCCCGTCTCAGGATATTGCACCCTTTGAAGTCTTCTGTGCAGTTTCTCCACCTGTAGTACTAAGGCTTCGCCACAATAGGCCAAGGGGGCTGGCTCTCCATTTTGCATGCCAGCGATGATCATGTGCATTGAGGACCTTAGAGCCAGAAAGACTTCCAAGTAGTCGAACTCGAGCCAGAAATCACGAGAGGGTCCTATGTCGTCGGAGACCACAGCCAAACCAATCTGTTAAGGTTCGCCCCGCCTAAACGTGGAGACCAGCCGCCGCCTCCGGGATCATATGCGGGGACAAATACGGAAGACCATTGTTGCCAAATCCGCCGGCAAATTTGTATGCAGAAGATGAGAGACCTATGGATACTATAATCCCTACACCCTAATTGAAAGATTGATAAAAGGTACTCCCCGATTAAGAACCCTGATAACAATACCTTCGCCCCCCAAGAGCCCTAAAATCCTAGTGATAAAAAAGTCTTCAGAGTTCCACTGGAGTGAAAGAAGCCTACGGTAGGGAAAATGCAGGTACTTAACCTTAGGCCCCGGGAGAGAAGGGGGGGCTTGGTCATATGAAGGGGCCGGTTACGGCTGCGGTGAGGATAAGTTACTTGGTGGAAAAAGTTGCAACTTGTCAAGTGGCCGCAATGGTCTTCCGTAGTCCACCGACTGCTGGTCATATTGCTCACCGCCTAAAATGCAAGTGGGGACCAGCGGTCGCTGGTGTCACGTTACTTGATGCCCTAAGTATGCGCGAATAGCTTCGATCATATCATACCTACTTAGCCACTAAGGCCATGGAATTTTGGTCTAACGCTCTTGCTAGCAAGCCGCATAACATCTATATTGAATAACAAGATCTAAAATATTGTTTTTATTTACACCTTATGTACTAAAGCAGCTTAGGCCCAGACAACAAGTTCTGGATTGTGGTTATATACTTCATCATTCCGCACGTTGCTGCGCAGATCCAACAAACAATTCTGGGCTCAGGCGGGGTGTAGGCAGATTGAACAGGTATTTGCATCGTTTTTTCTCGAGCTAGCCGAATTGAAATTATCAATACACTTTCTAAATGTGTCAACAGCCTTAGAATAGTCTGCTCATTACAATCAATCCTCTAACCACCCGCGGAAGGATTGGGGCAAAGGGGTATTTGCTGCACTACAAAGTCATTACCACAAGCCGGTCATATATAGTAGTTACCTACCACTAGCAATTCCGCGACCATATCATCACCCAGCCTATAAAAGAGAGCAGATGCTCAAAGGAATCCTGTTATATTCACACAAGGTCTATCCTTGACGAAGACGATAAACGGCTTGTTTCCCTAGTCTCTTTCTCATCATATTACGACAATACAGCTACCACCGCAACACAAAAACAAAATGCAAATAAAAACCGGCATTCCTCCGCTCACTGATGCCCATACCCCGTGTATTCCGTCGTCGACTGCAACTGATGCGTCTCAACCTCCCCCGACTCCAGACAGGCCTGGTTCTTGGCAAGCACATGATCCGCCGGCAGCAACCACCCGGGATGGAACACGTTGAAAACCGCGACCGCAATCACCATCATCACACCGTCCAGCCCTACGAAGTAAGACTCATGCGTGATCAAGTATCCGGTCCAGCCTTGCGCCAGCTCGATAGTCCGGTAAATGCTCCGGATGTAAATGCAGACCACGGAGAGCACCATGGCGCCAACGAGGTAGGCGAGCGGGCCGTGGAGGAGACCCTGCAAGTACCCGAGACGCAGGGAGCGACGGAAGAAGTCCACCGCACAGAAGACAAAGACCGTGACGGAGACTAGCTGGAAGACGATACCGGCGACCATGGTGTTGGTGCCCGGGGCGGTGTTGCCGTTCACCTCGTTGGATTCCGTGGAGGCCAGTGCGCCGCCTACGGCTTGCACCACGAGGGAGATGACGTCGCAGGTGCAGAAGATCCAGAGGTATAGTTTCGGGGACAGGATTGAGGATTCGCGACCGAAGAGTTGGATGAGGCGACCGAGCAGGACGTATATTGCGGCAGTGAAGAAGGTTGGTGCTTTCGGGTGTTAGCGGGGGTACCCATTGGTATGTGGATACGGGGAAAGCTAGGTCTTACCGATGATCAGGGTTGAGATCTGGAGCATGAATGCGGTGGAGTTGTAGGGACATTGGGACGCCCACGTCCGCCCGGCCCAACCGAGGACTTCCACTGCAGTGGTGTTAGCTAAGTTCCTTGTGATTCGGGACCTCGATAGCGTGCATACATATGCATCCGATGCTGAACAGACTGCACCACCATGTTCGCTTCCAGCAGAATTGGATAATGTGGACGATCATGGATAAGCCGAAGAGGACACAGAACGCAATTCCGGCGCCTTCGGAGGGGATGTATCCGTATGATGTACTGACACCCTCAACGTAGGCTTTGCAGCCTACGTAAAGTCCATTATCATCGGTAGATGTCATGGTGAGGTGCTAATTCGATGCGAGTTGTTGGGGTAGAGAATAATGAAACAGGTCCTTGGCTATGAAATCAAAGTGTAAGATTTCCTGTTTGTTCAGAGATCCGACAACTCGACAGTTTATATACCATGGATACACTGCGAGGCTATAACATAAGCTCTTAACTGATGGTGAAGGCATCAGCATAAAGTTGACGTATGGACCAATCAAAAGATTATATCCTACACAGCCTTCTATCTATGATTGAAGGATCAAGGATCAGGCAGCGAAGATACGGAGTATACATGGGGCGGCTCTCGGAAAGATCGACAGCCCTCGGATCTCTAATCTTATCCACAGCCGCACGCCAAGCGCTAGGACCAGGCAATTGCCGTCTGTGATTGAACGGCTCGTAAATGTACGGCGTGGCTTATCTTTAGTGCGATCCTTATATCGCAATAAAGTCTGATTGGTCACATCGTAATCCCATCACCCCGCTGGGGGCCACGACAGCATGAAACATGTGGACAGAATTTTCAGACAAACCCTGCAAATGTCGTGTAGGTAGATCTATTTAGACAGGGTTGATCCTTCGAGAGAACGCCTTGTCTCGCATCACCAGCCCACATTCTCCCAGCGAAGCTCCCAAGGCCCTTCTAGGCCATGAGGCTTAGAGCGAAAAAGCACCAGGCACGGATTCGCCCGTGACTCCCGTTCACTTACTATCGACGAATCGTGTATGCGCTGACGTGCCAGCGGAGTCCGCTGCGCGACGGGCAGATGTGCGAGCCCCGTCTCCTCCAATTCCATGACCCGACTCGCGACCGCCACATGCAGCCCTTTGTCCCACAAGCCTTCCCGAGCTGGATATTTCGATAACAGATCGAGAGCTCGGCGCCGCAGAATCGGGTGTCGACACCGCTGGGCCGTCCAGTAAAGCACGGGTATCAGCTCAGCGTCGAGGAAAAACTGCTCCGCGGCCGAGCTGCGTTCGTCTCCAACACAAAGTTCGACCAACTTCTCGCCTGCACACACAATAGTTACGAAGTTCGGGATGAACTTATCCAAGACCATCTCATCTAGAGAAGTGCAGGTGCTCAGCCACGTGATCGCGGTGTGGTACTGGCATGCCATGGACAAGGGCGCCCGCGGATCGAGGATCCCGCTGGCCTTGGCGGGCTTTTTCCGCAGTGTCTCGAAGGCCTGGAACCATGCATGGCACTCGCCTAGTAGGGCCCCTTGCTGATGGAAATGTTCCGGATAGAGCGGTTGCGGTGGGTTGGCCAGGACGTGACTCTGGGCGAAACGGACAAAGGACAAGCACCGAGTAATCATGCTCGTCAGGTAATCCCTCGCTTGGTCGACATGGTCGAAACTGAGGTTTTTATTCGATCGGAGGGGGGAAGAGTCGGGCGACCGTATGTCCAGCGCTGGCATGAGCGGTCGACCAAAGTACGACAACTGATTGTTCTGTCGGCAGAAGAATTGGAACAGGTCTTTATTGATGGTATATAGGGCGGTATTCTGTCTCGAGAGGATGTCCAGGCCGCCTTGGACGTGATTCATCGCTTGCCTGGAATTTCCCTGGAGCATCTCGAGACAGACGAACAAGAGGCATTGGGTGAGCATCAAGTCAAAGCCCCCCTCTTTCGGGTCTCCGATCTGCCGTAGAAATTGTTGGATGGCTTTGTTGTACTGCTGCAACGTGAACTCATCAGTCGCATGTGCAGGCTCAAACCAGCCTGCCAGTTGACGCTGATGCAGCGCGCCCACAGCGGCAACGGCATGCCGGACCGCCTGGTTGCGGTGACTGAGTTGCGGGGGGAACTGGTTCCAGAACTGCGACGGGAAGAAGCCCGACAGCGCGGGCGCGGTCTGCGAGCAAAAGAACTGCACATACTGTCGCTCCTCCCGCGTACCTGGCACGAGCACAATCCTTTGATCCGAAGTCGGGCTCAAGCCCTGGCGCCAAGGCGTGGACTGGATGAGGGCTTGGCGAAGTTGCGTCTGTGACGCTTCGGTGTAGCCGTCGCATTTGCGCCCGGAGCGTGTGCACTGGCTGCACGCGGGCTTCTCTTCTCCACACTTGACGTGGCGGATCCTGTCATATCAAGCCGTCAGTCAGGGGTTGTATTGGTGCAGCGGGTCTGACTCGGGTGTGCTACATACTTGCAGGTTATGCATCCTTTGCGGGACCTGGAGTTGCTGGCCCTTGTTCTTCGGGTCGATGCTGGTGCCATGGGTATGGTGGTGCTGACGCTATATGGATGACTTGATCTCAGGAGGTGATTACTGATTGATAAGTCATGGTGGATGAGGCTGACACTGTTGTTATCGAGGGATTTTCGCGCTAAGCTCGCAGGATCAGTACCACGTGATGGGTACTGAAACACTTGGAGTTATAGTCACCACGGGTCGGCTGTATTGCCACAGAATTATGTATGGAGGACCGTAGCGTAGGTTAACTGCCAGGATGGTCAGGCGCGCCGGGCGGTATTGTCTTTCTGCCGCCGCCTAGGCCTTCCAACAAGTGTTTAGTACACTTTCCAGTTCCAAGAGTCTGTACGATGTTCATATCTTCTGAAGTAACACTCAGAGCAGAAAGCGGTGAGACCCGGCGCCGCCGCCAGGTGCTGCCTCCGGTATACGCGCTCGTCCTCTAGGTTCTGGAACCATTTGCCCCTGCGGTTTTCGTAATCGTCGGCTGGCATCAAGAGAAAAATCTTCACTGTCGCTCCAGAGCTGATATATATACAGACTACACAGACATAGCCTAAGACTGTCACTATTATTGCCAAATGGGTGACGAGTTCTTCAAATCATGCACTTGTCCCGTCCCAACCACTCCATCTACTTAGCTCAGCTCACCATAACTTCAGTTTTGCTTAGTCCTTGAATTTCCCTACACTAAGGATCTCAACAAATGCAACAAGCCTGACATCGAAGAACAAATCAAACCTTCCAAATTCCTTACCACTAGTTCTACCCACTATGGGGGCCACGAGCTCTGACCTGTCAGCCTCAGCTGCCCCCAATATGAACATAAACAATTTCCTGCAGCCACAACCAGCATCCCAAACACAAGACGAAAATCCCGACTCGAGACTCCCTGTGCCAAGATCCACGACACCCATAATCACAATTCCACACCGACATTATCGTCCATTACACTCTCTAAAGCTCGGAATAAGTCCACTCTTCAAATAAGAGAACCACAGAAGATAGACATACCCGAATCATGACACCACAATCGCTTGTACCCGCTTAGGCACCCGTCTCCGTAGTCCCGACAACACGACTCGGAGATCTCCCGGCACAGCACATCCCAATTCTTCGTCCTTGTCGAGGCGACGAAGAGCCAGCCGTCCGAGTCGGTGTCGCCGGGGGCAGATTTGCTGGACCCGCAGAATGGGGAGCTGCCCCACCATTTGCATTCGTTGAAGCCGGCCATCTGACACTTTGAATATGCACCAGTCGCGAGCAGCATTACTGCAATTGTTGGAAAGGTGAGAAGCTGCATTGTGGTGACTGTAGGACGATAGCAAGAAAAAGAGAAAGTCGGGAATGAGTGTTGTAGTTTCCTTTCTTCTCACAAGAAGTAGAGCACGGGACTATATACTATCAGGACAGCATGCTTGCTGGATCAAGTGGACTGAGAACGCAGCTTCAATGTACATAGCCAAAGGCCGCCACAAGGCGAGGCATTGGGTCTAGGTTCAGTATCTCTCGTATTCAAGGTCGAGTTGTTTGCGGGCAGAGCGTCTCCAAGCATCAAAGTACCTCGTATCGGCTTGAAGCTGCCACAAGTAGCTACACGAACTGACTTCAATCGCTCGTCCCGACCAGCGACATGCAGCTGCCACGTCAACCGTCTTCAGCCACCGCCGGAACCATCCTTGGCAGTCGGGTTCCCATAGATGAACATCTGTCTAGTCACAGGTCAACTCCACGGAATATTCATCTATCGACAACCTCCTTGATACTTCGGATCAAGCACCGTGGCTACCGCAGGATCGAGCAACAAGGAACTGATAGACATGTGATGCGCAGGGAGGTTGCTGTACCGCTAGCTATGGTCATCATCAAACCTTCATCGTTTTCTAACTTTCGCTCCTGTTCTCCCGGGCACTTTTATTGACATTTTAACCACATTTCTCCCAATTCGAAGGTGACCTTCCTGTCTATCTACGTAGCTCATTCCACATTAGAGTATAATGTATCGCTACATTCCAATACGTGTTTACCCCGCATAATTCACCTTATCGGTGCGATTGACGGCCGAGGAAGCCGGCGGTCCCGAGCGGGGCTCGGGAGTGCCCGACAATCTTAACCTACTGGCACGAGACGCGACAACAGCAACTTCCCACCGGGTAGGAGTGCTAACATTTGTTCTACTACATCACTGGCAAGTCCGTATCTCATTCTTCTGGCATTCTTGAGCAGCTTATAACACAGATCTCACAAAATGTTCCCTCAACACGAATCCACCTCCTCGACCACCGTCAATTCCGCAATCGTCGCTTCCAGGAAGTCCTTCTGCTCCGCCAAGAACTCCGTCATGCCGGCAATATTGAACGGACGCTTGGTATCCACCCGCTTCCGCTCCTCCTTCAACTTCAAGCGGATGCGCTCCTCGAGCAGCTCCAACCGATACTCGGTGAAGCCATGGTAGAGCTCCGACCAGTTGCTGATGGCCCGGGACCCGGTCAGGACCAGCTCGTCGCGGACGGAGGGATCCCGCGGTCGGAAGGGGGTCACCATGCTGATCCGTTCACGGCCCCCCAGCGCTTTCAGCGCCTGGTGCTCGATATATCGGCCTTGCATTACCACTGCGGTGCCCTGGGAGACTCGATCAGCTAGAAAGTAAGAAAGGAAGAGGCAGAGAAAAACCAAACAAGAAAATGAAACAAAGAAAAACAGAGGGTAGCATGGAGTGGACATACCATTGCGGGTCCACGGATCTTCTTGATCTCGCCCGCTGGGGTCCGGATAGCCGTCTCGCCGCCGAACATGTCGCTGCAGTCCGAAAGCATCGTCACGCACACGAACGGGAAACTGTCGTAGTGCCATGCAAAGGCCGAGGTATCCAGGCTCTCCTGGACTGTGGCAACAGTCGACGCATCCTCGTTGACAGAGATGTTGATATTGGCGATCTCGTAGTCGAACGCGACCACGAGGTCCACCCCAGCGACCTGGGATACAATGCGCTGCAGCTCGGGTGAGCTCCACGCATCGCAGGTGAAGGGGGCGCGTCTGCAGAAATTCAGTCAGTCTGCGAGACACAGCTCATTGTCCACACTTGGAATGGCGCGGTGAAACAAACTCTCGACCCATGCCCCGGATCATATTCTTGGCGAAGCTCGACGAGTATTGACAGTCTTTCAGGACGGGCTCACTGAAGATCTCCGCCCGCATCTGTTTGATGGCTTCGGGGGTGAAGAGGGGAAAAGGTTCGGAGGCTGCCACCGGAGAGATCCCGTGGCCTTCGAGACCGATCTCCCGCATGGTGGTGATGCCGCTCGGGGGGTGGAAGTTTAGGTTCCGTCTCGCGTCGAAGAGCTCTTGCTTATCCACACGAGCGCCATCGATGAACCATTGAGGAAGGGGGTGGCTTGGACGAGTCGCCTTTTGGGTGGTAGGGCCTACCACTGTGGGTGGTGCGGGGCGCAGCGCGTCAACTGAGGGCATTTTGGACTGGTGGAATTGAAATTGTTGGTTTGTGGCTGTGGTGGATGTTTGTATTAGTTGAAGAGATGAGAAAGGTCTGGAGTTCGGAGCATAATTTGAGTTCACTGAGATACACACGGTTATACATATGGCTTCCTGGCTCATGCCCAAGCCAAGCAAGCGAAGCCAGCACCGACCCGGTCAACCGTGACCCCGCACGCACAGGGGTGCGCAGATGACCAGGGCATGCAGGTAGATTGACAATCAGAAAGACCTCAAATTAGACGATAAGTGTCTCGCGGAGATTGTCACTCACATGTACCCTTGCCATAAGGCAACTCCCGAGTCGCCGAGATTTCAAACTTCAGCCGTCGGGTACTCGGATGGAAGAGGGGTGGACTCGGGATTCTCGGATCGGAAGTAGTGGATGTGCACAGAAGTAACGACTAGATTGCCTATCTGTATTCGGCCCATATCCCTTGCTGATCCTGTCAATGGACTTCTTTCCCTCTTACGCTGCCACACGGATGATTCGGATTGATATGTCTGCTCCGATGGTGTCACATGAACTAGTCAATCATATCAAGACACTTATCATCCAATCCGATTCCCGCGCACGCTTTTGTAGAGGCGAGTCACTTCCAGTAGTGGGCCGCGTTTTCTCATATATTATCACAACTATGGATACTTCGGCCTTGAAGCAACCGAGGCTTCTTGCACTCAAGCGAGACTAGGAGTATCGAAGAACCTTCATCGGCCAGAAATGAGGTTTCAGTGTTTAGATTGGAACACTAAATGAAAAATGAACAAAGAATAAGCAACATGAAGAGGACGAAGGAGAAGGCGAGGAAAGGAACAAGGACAAGTATCAGACATAGAAGAGAACAGAAAAGTGAAGTCGGGGCTAGTCCTCGTCGTCTCCCCGGTTGCCGTGGCCTAGTGCTCTCCAACCTCAAGAACTTGCGGATCTTGCTCAATCCTTGCAAGTCCCCAGCCTCCGTCCCTGATATGCTATCGTCCACCCAGCCCGGGGTTGTCCCCCCTTCGAAGTCCACGAGCCACGCGTCGCGATGGACACCGTCAATCACAACATTCGCTGCTTTGACATCCCCCCAAACGAGCCCGTTCCGATGAAGTGCATGCACCGCGTCGGCGATTTGATCATACCACTTCTGGCTCTCGGCGATGCTTACCTCACCGTCATTGTCGGCCGTCATAAGGTCAGCCAGGGAAGCCGGCGACGGTATGTAAGTCATCAGGATACCGGCATACTGCGTACCGATGCCGATTACCCCTTCCAGCTTGGGCACTCGGAGCGAGCGTCCTCCTTCGCTGCACTGCTCCATCTTCCGTAGCATGGAAATCTCGCGCTGCAGGGACTCGGTTCTATGGGTCATCTTGTAGGCAAATGTCGCCCCACGGATATCAACTTCGTAGACTTTACCGCGCTCGACGTCGCGGAACCGCTCGACCTCCGAGAGTCGGAAGACGGGAGTATCCCGCATCTCATCTTCCATTGCATCCCAGTCAACCTCTTCACGCGCCAACATCCGTGGGATGGGGCAGGGTTCGAATGTTAACGTATCGTTCCTCTGCGGGATCAACTGGAAGCAAAGACGTGAACGCATCAGGTAGGACTCCAGATCTTGCGGGGGAGCGACTGACGTCGACAGGAAAAGTGGTTCGCAATGGAGGATCAGTGGCGATAAAAGTTTTGCCGAGGACTGTTGCATATAGACATTGATGCATTGGTCAACAACGGATGGTTTTCGGTTCCAAAACGCCGGGCCCGGAGACTTGTCGAACCGAATGAGGTATTCGGTGTCCCTGACACTCGCAGGCAGCCTAACCATGAAACAGAGATAAGCCGCCTATAGGGCGCCCCGGAATAAGACAGGACCCAGACCGCTTACTCTGGCTCGAAGCACAGAGTCTACTGGGCGAAGTTATCCATCGCGTGGGGGGTTAAAGTAAACATGACCTGACTCTGAAGGATCAAATCAGCCAGTTAGGCTGGAAGTTGAGGCGGGTTGATGAGCCGTTGTACCCCTTACCCCACGTTTGTTGCTCACCGAATCCAAGAAGGTTTAATTTCGCGCACTCGCCCAGCGGGAATTAGTTTACTGTTGGTCGAATCGCACTCACTAGCCTGGTTGTGAGCCTCGTCAGGTCTGGGACTGCCAGGCGGCCGGACAGGGGATTCGGTCTTTCTTACCATTGCAACAGGGTGGCAATAAGAACAGAAGAAGGATCGGGAGCTGGGATTCTTGCAATTGGGAGGCACAAATGATCAAGCTCAGCGGTGAAATTGATGAGGCTGTCTGTAATGGAGAAATAGAGGAGGAAAGGCGTGTTTTTTGTATACGATTGTATAACCAACCAGAGCAACTGTTTATAGGCTTATTAGACTTTCTAGGGAAGGTATTTTGGATTGAGCAGTTGAAGAGATAGGAGGAGAAACAGAAGAAGTTTTCCGAGACTAGCAGAAACCTGGAGCAGTCAGATCCTGGCTTTTGAACCCATGTTGGGCCAATTCAGGACGCAAAGAATAATCCCATAGGGGTTTTAGCCCAGGCATTGATAATGCATGGTTCTACTGGAAGGCGATTTCTTGTCTGCTGAATTATAGCCATTGGCCATCAACAGGAACAGTTCTTGGTTTTTTGTTGTTGCTCAATAATGAAAGACAAGCAAGTCTTTCTCCCCAGCTCATCTGTCTGACTGGGTCAATAGACAAAGATATTTTCTGGATCTCTGATTGTGGTAGTCTTACCTCCAGGATTCTTTGCCAGGGAGATGGCGAGACAAGATGTCCGTGCATGTACATTGAGACAGATATCTTTAGCATTTGAAGTTTGCAATATCGCGTATTGTGAATGGGTGTTAAGAGACATCCAAGCTATCTCCAACCATCATAACCGAGTACCTAGTAGTCTAGGGAAGGAGAGATGTTCGGTCCCTCGTCTAAGCACATGTCCACCACAACAAGTCCTAGCTTGAAGTGGTTTTGAGGCAACCTTAAAGTGATCATGGCGTAACATCACTAGACTTTGTCTCAGGAAAGATGATACATGACCGTGACCTATTCTGGGACAACCCCTTTTTCTTCCCAGCTTGGCCTAGTCGGCCGCTGCTTTTGCACACTCGGGGTGACAGCACAGCATCCTGATTAGCTGGCTGTAGTCACCGCCCCCGGGTAATTCACCCGACCCGTTCGATGGCTCAATAACTGCCATTGTCTCGCCGGGTTTTGTCAAGTTTGACCACTTCTTCTCGGAACGATCAACCTAGACAATTCGCCGAGCAACACCGAAGACAGATCCCGAGTTACACTCAGAGCTGCGCAAGAGGAATGCAATTAGGCTTTTGCAACTTGTACCTGAGCCCCGAAGGGCCGTGACTACACGGTCACTATTCTTTCGTCAATCGGATCTAAGCTGAATGCGCATCCCTGATTGACCTACCGAGCAGGTCAGCCAGGGATGCGTACAGGAAGCACGGATATACCCGGGCTAAGATACACAAGTGGAGTCTCGTAACCTAATCGATGTGAAATCATGATTAGCTCACGTGGGCAAATCAATTCTGGATCGAACATTCGAAGTGCTTGAAGCAACTGTAATATTGGCCTGATCTTAGGGTTGTGGTTGCCGCTTGATACCTCGTAAATAAGGCTGTGTCTTCAACTGTTCCGGGTGTGATTGCCTTGAACTTAGCTTTATGCGCCGGTACTGGAAGTTTCGGGGTCAAAGATAAAGGTTTACCGAATGCTTAATCGGAGATAAACAGGAGCTTGAACAAGTAAAAAAGGGGAAATAGTTATAAATCTTGCTTCCCGCGCGATGTTCGGTGCTGATAGGACGGAAGATACTACGTACTGCCTACCGTACCTACGGTAAGCAGAAGATGAATCCGTATGAATGGATGGAACTAAGCACCGCCCCTTGCATTGTGTTGGACCGTTATGTTTGTTGATACACATGCGCGGCCCAAGGAGTACAGCTCTATAGAGGTGCGAGACAACATAGAAGCAGGTTTGTGGGATGGAGGCAGCATTGACATAAACCTGATTTCCGGACCGAGCTGCAGCCAATGCCTTGGCGACAACGACAACGTGGTCATTAATATAGATGAACCGTCACCTTGAAAGCTGCGAGATGAAATCACGAACCTGTCGCAACCAAAGGAGTATAAGTACCAATGCTTCCGGGGTATGTCAAGCACCGAACGGGTTTTCTCTAACCTTTACCAAGGAACCCCGAAAGAACCGCAACACCTGCTGAGTCCATGGCTCTACCGCCCCGAAGCCAAACCAGCAGCACCGGGCGCTCGACACCGCACAATCTCAATGTGCTCCAGCGCCGGTACCACGCGGAGTTTTACAAAACCGTCGCCAAGGTGATGGCCCTGCGTGAAACCTACCTCCAAGAACGAATCATCTTCGTCAAAAGCAACGAAATGGTGCCGATCCTCAAAGGTCTCGGCGCAAGAGACGAGGATTTCGAACTCATCCAGAAGATCAGCAACACTACCGGCCCCGATCCCACCTTCGAATACCGCACCGTGACCTCCGCGCGTTACTGTCTCGACGTCGAGACGCGATGCCTTCAGCGCCTCGAGAAGGTGCCCTGCGGCCCTCGGACAGAGGAGGCCTACAAGCGCTACGACCCGGGGGTCCAACGGGAGTTCGAGGAGGCACCGCTCGAGATGCAGGGGAACACGGTCGTCCAGGCGCTGATGCTCTTCAAGGCGCTGGTCTTCCACAAGGTACCTATCCTGCCGCGGGAGAAGCTGGACTACACGTCGCATCAGTGGGTGTGCACCGTGCTCAATGTGCGCATCTTCACCGACGATCGCCAGGGGGTCCAGGGCGAGCCAGCGCCCGGGGGCGTCCATTCCGATGGGTCGGACCACACCATGACCGTGTTCCTGGGGTCGTCCAACATGCGCTCGGACAGCGCGGTCACCTACCTCCACGACAACCTGGAGACGACGGGGGCGCCACTGTGGGAGACGAACCCGGCCCTGATCCGCGCGCGGGTGCAGCATCGCGACTTCCTCGACACGTTGATCTTCGCCGACCACCACTACAAGCGATGTGTCACGCAGCTGAATGCATGCGACCCGTCCGACCGGGCGTTGCGCGATATGTTGGTCGTCTTCACCCGGCGACCCAAGCGCGATGACCATGGGCTGGGTCACGCGGAGACTCAGGCGCTGCATACCACCTGTCCGCTGCAAATCCCCCTCTGGCTGCCATGAGCAGGTTCTGTGCATATTCCACCTTCCTCTAGTACCGGGAGCTGCGAGCTTGAGGTCTTCTGCTTTCCCCACCCATTGATCTTTCAATTTTCCTATTCCTATACCACTATCCGCCATTGCAACAGCAATTGATATCCCTTCATGTTCCTTTTTATTATAAGTACGTGACTAGATCAATCCACATGACAGCGTCGTTATCTTTTCTTTTGTCCAGGGGAACCATGTACCTCGAGCGTTGAGGGGTAGAGAGGCCCGACATCGCGCCTTGCATGAACCTTGCTCCAACAAGACACCGGATACACCGCCACATGCCTCGAGAGACCCTTTTCGGCTTTCAGAGCTCCTTACAACATCAAGCAAGGTTAAGGTCCTCAACCTTGTTGCGAAGGTGCCATTCCATGGTCGTCACACTAGAGGTTTGCTGCGCAGAAGGGTGATAAGAAGAGGTCAGCTGGTTTTGGTTGCCTTGCCCACATGCGGGCTCTTTGCTATACCTCTTTCGTAGATGGCTTTCCCATTTCTAGAAAATCCTAGCCCTAGAGAGACGTCCTATATGGATGTCTGTGCGCCCATGGCTAATTCATTGATCACACTCTAAGATCGAATTGTAGGGATTTACTCAAGTTCTGCAAAGATTCTAGCTCTAAGCCTGCGAGCCACATATATTGCTACTTGAGAGACTGATCGGCCGAATTAAGGATACGAGGGTCAATAGCTCCCTTCATTGCATGACCATCATAGGCAGTAGAGCCAATTGCTTCCTCTACTTCACTTCCGTGTGTATCATTCGATATCCAAAGCAGCTTCTAGACCAGACACTACTTCCCAAATCCCTGGCAAAATCAACTCAAGTGTAGCACAAATAGCATTCCGACCAAAACATACGGAACCCTTGAATAGGCAGACCCCGCGAATTGGAGAAAATTCCGTGCAGAGGCGGGGGGTGCTGCAGCTTTATTCGAAGAGGTTGTATGCCCATCCACAACTCCGATTAAGTAGCTCGCATGCGATCTGAAGATACTTTTGTAGTATTGGTATACTGGTATACGCTTTGAACACAAGCAATTTTCACGGGTGTGTCTCCTCTATTAGGGAATGACCATTTTGTGAGAGAAAAAGACTATATCTGGTCGGAATCGATCCTGCAGTACTCAAGAATAGAATAGGGGTGACACACTCAAGCCTCGGATCCGGCGATCAGGTACGGATGCCTCTCTCCAAGCTGGACCCCTGGATCAATACCAAGGGCTTACTTATTGCAATCCGTAACCGCACATATGGTCCATGATGCGGCAGAGACCGGAGTACAGCACCTATGCTAGAATGTCAGATCACTGTCTAGGGCAGGTACTTGTTGTGAGGTAATTGTACAGCCACGGTAGGTGGCGTATGCAGTACCTGCGTAACCTTATTGCTCCCGAGTCACTGACTCGTCGTGCCTAAGCGGGAGCAGTGAAGGACAAAGCTTAAATCAATCCATTTTAATAGTGCTGAGTCCGGTAGAGTTCTGAAACAGCTGGTGATCTGCATTGTCTGTTGCCCCAACAGAGAAAGTCTATGCACCTCATCCTAATCACTACTACTTGAATCCCCATCCGAGTCCTTATCTGAGTCACTATCCTCACTCTCCTGTGCATCTGACGAACTACCATGAGTCGTGGAGTTCGCATCTCCATTCCCTGCGCCCTCCTCCTCGGATTCCGCCACATACTCCTCCTGCGCTTCCGTCGACGAGAAGGCATGCCCATCGTGCGTCTTGTGCCTTGTGAGAAAACATTTGTAACAGAGGTCAAAGTCAAAGCAGACTTGGCATTTGTGGCGATATCCATAGAGACCCTGACAACAAAGCATTAGTCGGAATAACCGGGAAATGGGAAGCAGAGCAAAGCTGAAATGGAGAACGATGAAAAGAAGGGGACTGAGCGTACCATGAAGCAGCCATCACAAGTACCACTGAACGAAGCAGCCACGCGGCTGAAATGGATACCAACATTCTCAAGCGCGTCAGCCTGTGGATGCGCGCTCTGATACGCGTCCTCAAGCAGCCTTACCACGTTGTCGGAATGGCCGTGGTACCGAGCGATCTTAGCCGCTGTCCACGTCCGTCCGAGCCCAACCCACTGCGTACAGGGGTTGGCACCGCGGTTGAGCAGCATGGAGATGATCTCTTCTTGCACACTCGCGGTGGTGGTCCGGCTGAGGCGGGTCCAGCCTCGCGCGGCCCAGAGCAACGGGGTCCAGCCGTCTTCGTCGGGAGCATCCAGCAACTCGCGCGAGAGGCTGAGCACTCTTTCGACTAGAGCGGCCGACCCGCTGAGCATTGCAAAATGCAGGACCGTGCGGCCGACATGGTCTCGCGCCTCAATGTCGCCACCTTGCTCGAAGATGAGGTCCAGGTGGCCGACAGAGTTGGCGGCCGCCAGATGGATTGCACTGCGGCCCTGGATATCTGGCTGGTCAACGCGGGCGCCTTTATCGAGCAGGGCGGTCACGATTTCTAACGGCGCTGTGACACAGATCCAGCTCAGCAGAGAGCCTCGCATGCTCCCTGTGCTGTTGACATCCAGCTCCTCCAAGCTCAATAAATAATTGCAAATTTTGCTCTGGTGCTCCCACTCCCCGAAGGGGCCGCGGTACCCTGCTTGGTGCAGAGGCGACCCGCTCTGCGGATCAACTAGATTAATGTCCGCACCGGCAGCGACCAGCAGCTTTACCATGTCTAAGGACGAGTCCCAGCATGCATAGTGCAGCGGGCCACCCCGGATGGAACCCACGGTGTTGAGCTCCGCCCCGCGGGCGAGCAGATACTTGACCATTGCGGCGTTTTCATGACCGACCGCGCACATCAGCACTGTCAGGCCCTTGCGATTGCGAGCCTCGAGGTCTGCCCCGGCGTTGATCAGCGGACGGACAGTTTCCATACACGTAGATGGTGACATATACATAAGAGGCGTGAACCCTTCCTGCTGGGCGTGATTCACATCCGGGCGGAACTCTAGCAAGAGCTGGACGAGGGCAGGATTGTCGAGTCGCACCGCATCATGCAACGGGGTCTGCCCCTTGGAGCCTTGATGATCGACATTGGCACCGGCTTCCAGGAGCAGACGTACCGAGTCGAGTCGCTCTTTCTTTACGGCGCACCCCAACGCTGTGTATCCATTGTAGGGGTCATCCCCGTACTGCACTTCGAGGTCGGGACCAAACTCCAACAACGTCCTCACATTCTCCGTCCGATCGTACGTAGCACTCAGTGCTAACGGTGTCCAGTTCCAAGCCACGATATTGGGATTGGCCCCCTTTTCCAGCAGAGCCCGAGTCGCTTGCGGCTGCGAGTAGGCGATGTGTAGAGGTGTCCAGCCCGCTTCAGAAATTTGATTGAGACTCGTCCCGTGGTCGCACAGTAACCGAATAATCCCCGCGTGTCCCTTTTCAGCCGCCAGGTGAAGGCCATTGCTATTACCCTGATCTGATAGGGTGGCCTGCGCGCCTTTGTTGATGAGGTACTCCGCTACTTCCATATGCCCTGAATAGGCAGCCCTCAACAACGCTGTCCGGTTAAACGTTCCCGGCGCATCCACGGGGTGGCCAGCCTCAACAAGCAGCTTAACAAGCTCCAATTTCCCAGCCCCTGCTGCCTCGGGCAAAGGAACAACTTCATTCTTTGTCACATGCGGATTGGCCCCGTGCTTGAGTAGAAGCTTAGTAATGTGGTCGTGACCTTTGTAGATGGCGAACTGCAAGGGGCTCCAATTGACCGACCCAAGGACATTGGGGTCCGCACCGCGCTCAAGAAGTAATCGAACGCTATGAACATAGCCTTGGTCTACAGCGGCTGCTAGAGGCGTCCAGCGTACATCGCCGTGTTTGTCCAATTCCAACTCGTGATGTTTGACCAGCTCCTGCACAACACTGTAATATCCCCATTGGCAGGCCCGACATAAGACCGACTGCCCGTCCTCGCCGCCCAGGGCATTGATATCTGCCCCCGCAGCCACCAAAAGTCGCACGGCTCCAACATGTCCATGCGCCGAGGCAATATGCAGCAGCTGACGTCTTCTGGAATAGAGACGGTCTGCGATGGCCGCCCTGCCAAGAAAGAATTTCAGACTATCCAGATGCCCCGCTGCGGCGGACCAGAAAACTGCGGAGTGCAGGTAGATATCTCCCTCATAGTCGTATTTGCCGTGGACTGAAGCGCCTGCATCGAGAAGTTTGGCTAGAAGGGAAGTCGAGTTCAGAGTGGCAGCCCGAATGAGGATAAAGTCAGGCCATTCAAACGGCGACCCAGACCTAGTCGACTGAATGATACACGAGACCACCAAATCGATGGCCTCTTCATCAGCGGACCAGTTAGCTGCCCAAAGAATGTCATGCATCTGCGCACTATTCAAGGTACAATGGTCGAGCAGCTCCTTCAGCAGAGCCCTTTGTCTGTATCGCGCAGCTTCCCATGCTGCCGAAACTAATGTGCTCATATCGTTGGTGTGGTCCTTCGGAAATGCGCTTGGATTCTCCAACACCCATGTGTGCAGTCGCATGCCTACCATAAAAGGCAACACAGAGGGGTGGCATCGGTCAGGTCGTTCGAAGAGATTTGATGCTGCCCACCGGGCAACGGCAATACGTCGATACGACAAGGGATCGGTCAAGGTCTCCTTTACCTGGGACTTGATAACCTCAGTGAGCACTACCGACCCAAACTGCTGCTCCAAGTAAAGTGCCGCGTATTGCGCGAAATTGAACTCTGTGTCCAAAAATCGAGCATCCTGCAACTCAGGAGTGGCCCAACGCTTCGGCCCTTCCTTCCACTTCTCAAACTCGGTTGATGAAAGATATCTCAAGCAGGCTATAAGAATTCCCCTACTAGCTTCCATGGATCCAGGGCCAAGCCCGAGGTCTTGGAGGACCCCTGAGAGCTGAGGATGCGCCAAGTGGACTTCTTGATACTTGACCACTAGCATGCCGTCAAACAGCTTGTCAAGTGTCTCGCGGGATAGCTCAGTTTTCCCGTGTGAGACAATAGAAAACGATATCGCGCGGCGCAGCTCCCACACAGTCAACGGTCGCAATGTCCTGTTCACCCAGAGCAGTATCTCCCCAGCCAAGTCCCGCTTTTCCTCTTGCGCTTTGAGGCTGCTCACAATGCTGGAAGTGGCTTTCTGCCTAGTTTTGAGGTCCGACGACAGAAGCTTGATCGCATCCTGCACTTCGCCGCTGCTCACAGGCCCCTTTCTGCGTCTCAGACGCCCAAGCACAAACTCACGCCAGTCCAAATCGTTATCGGAATCGAGTATCTTCTCCTGGACTCTCCGGGAGGTACCACGGAGAAAAGGGTACTGCCGCACGAGATCTTGGAGCGCAGCCTCCCTGCTCGCCTTGCGAGCTTCATGGAGCATGCTGTGGGAAGGGTTATCAAGGTCAATGGTAGGCCATTCCGAGAGCCTTTGCCGCAGAGCATTCTGCGTCACAAAATTCTGCGTTACCAGGGCATATTTGGTGCAGCACTCATTGGCAGTGAAGAGCTCATCAACCAGTGCCACAAATCGTGTAAGTGGCAAGCCACATTCCTTCGCGTTTGTGATAATGCACCAAACGGTTTTGTCTTCAGCGTAAGTGACGAGTTGTCGAAAGCATTGCAACAGCTCCGCGTCCGTGCAGGTGCGAAAATGGATCATACGCTCGAGGAGTGCGCTGATTGGCGTCATCATATTCGCAGTGTGCCGTAGCAGCTGTGCAATAAGCGACTTAAGTAGACCAGTGTATGTTGCCAAGCGATCGTCACGGCTGTCGAACTGAAAACAGATAATCATGTGTTTGCCTGGGTCGTCAGATTTCACCTTGTCCCGCAGATGACTCAAGATTTGAACACCTGCGAGAGGAGATGCAACTGAACCATGAAGGTAGACTCTAGCTGAGCGCCGTGGTACCAACCAGTCCTTCAGGTTCGAATGGCTCGTGATCCAAGCATAGGGGTTGAATGCTCTCGAGAGCCATCTGCTTGGGTAGAGTGGCGGCGCCATGGGTATCATGTGCGACCACCAATCCGAAAATCTGACCGCCTCACAAAAGGACTCTGCAATACTTGAGAATGTTGCAGATCGTTCGGGATGGGCGTGCTGGACATACCTTTTGCAGACCCTGAAATACGGTCTTCAATTTTGCGATAGACGGCATCGTCTTTTCGAAGACGGCAAAGGTCGCTATGAGATTTGGTCGACGCCAGGGTAATTTCGTATGGTAGACCAATGTTTGCTGCCATCTGGTCAAAGATCTACTGACAGTCAGTATCTAATGTCAAAGACAGAATCCATAAATATGTTAGTGTTTGAGAAACATGTACCTGGTCAGCACTGCTGCTCGAATATACATTGATGATCTCCACAGACAACGAAGCCTGTAGTCCCACAAAGGTCGAATTGAGCTCCTCGATGCCCTCCCCAAAGGCAGTAATATCCTCCATTCGAATACTGTGAGAGGGAACTCCAATTTTGAAACACAAGAGGGAGCAGCTGATTTGCCATGCTGCCGTCATATATGGATTGATGAGGACATCCGAAGAAAACCTACATATGTCAGCTTCTGACTACTGCCACGTTGGGCTCAGGATTTTACCAAAGATCGAGTATATATCGTGAACCAGGTGTAGTTTATCTTCTCCAGCAGTGCGATACGCATGGCCTCTTTGACAATTATTCCCTCGATGTCATGCGTGATGAACACGATAGGGCGGAATGGGTCCTAGGGGCATTTAGTTGTGTACCGGTGGAAAATCAACGGCAAACAAGCACAGACCTCTGGATCATCCTTTACTTTCTGATAGAGCTCGTTGATTAATGAATCTGCTAGATCATGAATGGCCGCCATGGGTGATTTGCCGGGGCTGTCCAACTCTAAGGAATATGCGAAACTGTAGATTCGTGCTACCGGTGGATTGCCAGCAAGACCCTCGGTCAGCCAGGTCGGCTTGCCATCCTCATCGGTCGGACTAGCCCAAGACTTGTGCTGATCTCCATGAAGCCCGTGGACTAAGACAATACTAGACGGGTCTGTCAGTTTTGAAACATCGACAAGGTCTGAAAGGCAGGGAAGTCATACTCGTATTCGCCCTCTGTCGGCTCTAAAAGAGCTAACATAGGTGGTTTGACATCTTGGGGATATCTATTCTCATCGCTCACTGTTGTTGAAGCTTGTTCGGAATCCTCAACTGTCTCTGTCTCTGCGTCTTTCTCTAGCCTTTCATCGCCCGACTCTGAGCCTGAAGCGGACGAGGTAGATGTCGTGCTTTGTTCATCGTCAGAGCTGGCGATCGACCCACGGTCGGACATGACAATAGAAGCAGCAAGAAGCTTGATATGTCAGCAGCTGAAAGTTAACTATCCAATATGTGCGAGATTCGACAATCAAAAGGATCTAAAGGTTGTGAGCAAGATTGTGTGCAGTGTTCCTGTTTCAAGTGGGTGCGTGTCTCGAAGCTGGCAATTAGCCGGTGCCTCCCTTAGTGCGTTTGGGCCGAAAAGAAAGGGCGCATGTCAGCTCCGCCAAGACGCATGGAATCACCCATAAATTCCTGCTTATCTTGCTGAATCCCACTTTTCCCAGTAACATCTTGAAAAAAAGCCTTACATGAAAATGGGTGATACAGCAAATAAGCACGATCAGGATACTGACGGGGATATCAATTCTGGCGATAACGGCCTCGACTTTCCTTCGGGCGCGCTGAGCTGGGATCTAGGGCTGGCCCCTGCTGGAGACACAGGCAGTTCGTTTCGCGTGCAGAACGACCCGCGTGCGCCATATCAGCGCAGCAACGTGATCGAGCGCAAAGGCACAATCGACATCCGCTGTTCTTGTCTTGACGTGATCCATGGACTGATTTCCGAGCAAGCAGAGGACCAGTTTGCAACCCTGATCGTCATGGAATATCGGTTTGACGTCCGAAAACGCGCCAGACGGGTTGAGCAGGCCCAGATCGCCCTTGAGTTCAAGGCTCGTGAGGCAGGTGAGACGGGCCCTGAAGTCTACGCCATCGCTCCAGACGGTAACTTCAGCCTTGTCCCTACAAATCAACGCGAGGAGATAAAGAGATCCATTGAGGGCCAGGCAGGAGCTTCTGCACCGGTGGGAGGACTAAGTATCACCGGGACGGTCGGTTGGGAGAAGACCGTCAGCCGCGAGACGGAGGACCACTGCACAGTGGTGGGATCGCGGGACTTGGTCGGCCGCAATTGGGGGCCTGCGAACAGCGCATCCTGGACGCTTCTGGAGAACTCATCGACCAAGAGTGGTGTTCCGTCCTTGCTGCGCACCGCCGTTCTGCTGCGAAGGGAGGATGAGCAGCCTTTCGAGTGTGTGGTGAAGCTCACGGCCGATGTTGTCACTGGTTGGCGGGAGCGGCTTTGGGGAGGCAAAGGACGAGTCCCCAAGGATGATCCGGTCATTTTCGACCCCCTGTTGGACCCGACAAATCATTTGCAGGAATATGATGTCTACAATCTGGGACAGGTTGATTTGGAGGGGCTGTGCAGGGTCACGCATAAGCGGAATTGGCAGGACGCGCCCGAGCAGTAGTCTTGTGGCTCTGACCAATCACATCACGGCAAGCGCAGCTGCGCTTTACTGAAAATGCACCTACTGAATTCGGCTTGGGTACCTACTTACCTAGTAGTACGTACTCAGTTGTTGGGGTAGTACTAGGTAGCCTGCTCAGTCTAGAGCCCCCCAATCAAATATTACAAGTACTGGCCGAGGATTGTTGTTTCCCCGGGATTGATTGGCGCCAGCAACGTCGCAGCATACCTTAACTATTCGGTGCTAGTATAGCGCTTCCTTGACTCAGCCTTTCTGTGGGTTGCGAGTACTACCACGCCAGGAGTATTTACCACGCACTCCACCGGGCGCTTGTTCCCCGCCCCCTGTAGCAATACTAAAGTGAAAGATTCCCTTTCAATAACCGGTGCAGCAATCGATCCTGAGACACCCCTCCCCCTTCAAATTATGTGGAAAAGTTTCACCTAGTCTTTTTGTCCCAAGATGTTGCCATTGAGCCCGCCAATTTCAGCGGCAGATGATGAGCGCAACTTTTCGCCTTCTCCGATAGAGATCTCAAAGTCAATCACAGCAAAGTTGCACTGTGACTCTGGGACTGATGGAGAGTCTGACGATAGCTCGGTGACAGAGTCTTTGAAATTTGTAAAGCGCCGTTTCGAAAGAATTCGCACCAATCTGCGTAAAAAAACCATTTCTTTTAACGACCGCGATCAATTCCATCAATTTGTGCGGGACAACAAGGATATCTTGGACAAAACCGTTGAACATGGTACTTTGCTTCACTATTTAGTTGAAGATGCCCAGGACAAGCGCTTCAGTCGATATGAACCGTTGGTTGAATATCTGGTGCGGCAATATCCGGTGCTCCTGAACAGAAAAGACGATTGTGAACGAATGGTTCTGCCTTGGGCTATCCAAAAGAAGCGCCACAACCTTGTTCATTGTATATGTGCCCATCATCCGCATATCGACAAAGTCATCGCCTCCCAGGGGCTGAGATCACAGAATTGCCTGCACGTGGCCATACACGCAGGGGTCAGGTCGACTCTAATCCTTGAACTGGTGAAACTAGCCAGTCTGGAGACTTTTGTAGCTCTGGACAATGAAGGTAACACGCCTCTTCATCAGGCGGTTGCCTACGAGCGGTGCACGGAGGCTGGACTGCGTGTTGTGCAAGCGCTGATCAATCGATGCGATAAGGCAGTGGATGCTCAGAGTAGCACCATGAGGCGATTATCTCCTTACCTTTATCATCTTTTCACGCGCGCGGAAGCTGAAGCGAAGGAGTCTGGAAAACACACCATCGAGCCGCGTTTGTCTCCGAGGATCAAGAATGTCGACATGCTCTCTTCAAGTGCTTTACAAACAGCTCTGGCTCGACCAGGCAAAAATATGTCTCAGGAAAATGAGTTGGGAATGTCTCAACTGAAGGCGTTAAATGATATTAATCATCCCCAAAATGTTCACACAGTGCATAAAGGAGACGCAAATTTTGCAACGTCATCGATAGTCGACAACAAAGCCCTGGACCTGGACAAGTCGATCAAATCTCCAATAGACACAGACAGAAGGCACAGCAAGATATTTAACGCGAGAGCAGATGAGGATGCTATTGTTACCGAGCAAACAGCGGACGCAGTTCGGGATTATCTAAAACTCCATTGTTTGAGGACCCGTGATTATGATCAGGCAATTGAGTTGCTGTACGAACAAGGCTCTCGTGAGTATCCCGCATTGTTTGCAGACTATGCTATTTTAGAAATGTTCTTAAACATGATTCAGACAGGGAGCTATACTTCGATTTATGTGGTTTATCATCACTGTACATCGATGAGGAATGGATTAGTCGCGGGTTAGAATACCTATGTTTTGATGACACACTGCAGTATGTCGCACTTCCTCAACTTGAGTTAAGGAAAAAGCAGCAGGCTAGCAATTCAAGGTTTGCCAAGAGAAAAGATTTGCTCCCTGACGGTGATGGTCGACGCGACATGGTATTCATATTCGACTTTCTGCGGAAAAAGAGAGTATCACGAATCCTTCGCGTCATAGTCGACGACCTTCTCTGTCCTGCTCACAGCGACGAAGCAATTGAGCAGGCGATACGGGGCTTCGGGGTCGAAGTTTGGGACTGGCGCAAGATTGATATTTCTATCGACACGATCATGGATGTTGCATCGGATGTTAGGGAATTGCATCTGTACTCGAGCGGAAACAACATGGTTCTGCGTGGATGGAGCGATCATGGTGGCCTAGCGCAATTGAAAAACTTGCACACCGTGTATTTGCACCAAAATCAGGTATATCAAAGGCGTTCATTGTTGGCCGAAGGCAATTACACTGACGATACCAGGGTCTCGAAACTGCCGAGCGAAGCAGGCGAAATGTGAATCAGTTTTGTAATAGGTTAGCCGCACTACGGCCAGACATACACGTTCAGCTGGAAAAGCAAGTTCCAAATCAACATACCAAACAGACAGACAAGTCCGTTGAAGGGGCCCGAGAGTGCAACGAACATCCTCATCGGTGGATTACTTGTATGGACAAATTTGCGGACTTCATTCAGAATATCCATTCGCCAGCTGGGTCGATGGAGGGTATCCGGGTGGCGCTGATCGATGACGGGGTCGATATTGAGGAGAAGACGCTGCGGGGTAAAATCGTCGGCGGTCGCAGCTTCTCTCCGAGAGAACATGCTCAGAATTTGCAACGATCGTTCTATGTGTCAGGAGGTGGGCATGGCACAGTCATGGCAAGTCTCGTCTGTCGATTGTGTCCCGCTGCTAAGTTGTTCGTGGTAAAAGTGGCCGAGCATGTCAGCAGAGACTCCGGCCGCCATATCTCAGCTAGCAGCGCAGCTAAGGCGGTTCGTGCAGCAATTGATCAGAAGGTCCATATCATCACCATGCCTTGGACAATCGAACGCAACGAACTGAATGCAGCCGACATTCGTGACCTGGAGGCCGCCACTGGGGCGGCTGCCAACGCGGGCATCATGATGTTCTGTGCCGCCAGTGATCAAGGTCCAGCGATAGATATTACCTTTCCTGCTGCCTGTGTGAATACCAAGAATATCTTTAAGATTGGTGCTGCAGAGGCTTCTGGCGCGGTATGGAAGTGGGTGGGAGACGCGGCGGCAGTTGACTTCATCTTCCCGGGCCACGAGGTGGTCAAAGAGCGACCTAACGACGCGCCGATTGACGAATGTCAGACCTTAACAGGATCCTGGGTAGCAACGGCAATTGCATCTGGATTTGCAGCATTAATTCTTCATTGCGTGCAGCTCAGCTTCGTGCAGACACAGGCTATCAACCAACCTGGCCAGATGGATCACTTCGAGGGCCTCCAACGTCATGAGCGCATGCGTGAGGCCTTCTTAGCAATTGGAACAACTCAGAGTAGTGGGAATAAGTATATCGAGGTGTGGAATGTGTTTGAGAAGGCCGTGGAGAAGAGCCAGGGAAAGCCACCAGACCAATTCCCAGCCATTGTCAATGAGGTTGCCAACAAGCTGAAGGCCAGGAAAATGCTGGAGTGAGATGGGTATTCGCACGACGGTGTTGGATCGAGGTGACACTTCAGAACTAGACGTCATGTCTGATGGTATGATCATGTCACGGTGATCGGAAGCTATCCAGGTTGGTTTAGGAACAATTGGTTGAGTTAGTGTTGTGCTTGTTGTGCTGTGTGTGGGAGGTAAAGAAGTTCGGTAGGAGTGACGCATCATGTGATCTGGTCTTTCAAACGTCGACAACATGAATATAGTCTTTCGGTTTGGTCACAGCCTCCACCTGTTATTACCTGCATGTTTAGCCAGGCGAAGTTAAACTTTCACTTAATCTATTCTATACCATGCCTAACGAGCCATCCTTCGACGTACACATACGCCTGCAGGAAGCAGGCGACCCAACCTACTTGAAGTTTTCAAGGTATTGCGAGACAATTATTCAATTCTCTCCTTTCTTACTTCTGACCTTTGCATTCAAGAGGTTGCCTTATCAAGTGTGTTATTGCTATGATTCGATACCGCTGCGCGGATGATTGCGAGGAGACTACTTGCGTAACTTTAAGAAAACCAACCCGCCTGGATCGAATCAACGCATAGAAAATAAGGGTCTGACGAAATGATGGCCAAGCTTATTCTTGTCGATGTGAATTTGATGTTTGGCGCTTTTTGAATCTGTGCTGCATCATGTCTGGTGTTCGTTCTGTAGCCATGCTACAAAAGGTCACGGGTTGGTTTACCCACCCCAGCCCAGTGGGCACCTCCATTTTCCCCATCTCCAATTATTTAAACTGCTTATCACCTCTCCATTCCTGCTTTGCTTCTCACTTCCCGATTTCCACCTTATCTCAATTGACGATCCGTGATTCCACAGTATTGCGTGCCCCGCACCAAAAGCACGCCATGCCCACACCGAATCTCCGATGGCTAACCGGCAATAACCTGGACGCTCTATCCACGGGACTCTCATTCACCATGCCATGGCCTAAAAGCCGTTACCAGCGAAACCAGAGCTTCTCAATCGAGACAGACGGCAAGAGCTATCCTCTCGATAGCCGCGAGTTGGCATACTGGGCTGACGGCTCTCTGAAATGGACGGCGCATTCCATCAGTGGCCACGTCGGGTATAGCAGCGGGTATACCGTGAAGGCTGCGACCGAGCAGGAGATAGAGTCCCGAATATGGGCTGAGACGACCCCGGAACATATAATTGTCTCCACCAAGATTGGACTGAGTGTTAGATTCCCGACTCAGAGTTTTGCGACATTATTTGAGAGTATTTCCCTCGATGGACAACAAGTGTGCTCCGCCGCTACTGTCGTCGCGTCGATTAACAAACAAGAATATGCAACAGTCGTACACAAGAGTGCCATTGAAAACCTCACCTGGGCGAGAGCAGTTGTCAAAGTCTCTGGAACTGTTGTATATGAGGGACGAGAGCATCTACCATTCGACGTGCGAGTATATATCTACTCCGATGCGCAGCCGCTCAAAGTCGTCTTCTCATTCATCCATGACCTCGACCCTAAGGAACCGTTGACCTCACTCGGTCTCAAATTCTCGGTACCGTTTCGCAATTTCCAACACTACAACCGCCACATTCGCTTCCTAGGTTCCACGGCAGGGGTTCTGAGGGAAGAAGTCCAAGGCCTCTCAGGGTTGTGGCATGGCCCTAGCGTGCAGGATTGCATCGACCAGACCGCCGGAAGAACCGTCACCCTTAAAGATGCCCCGTGGCTGTCTTATGTTCCATCCTGGAACGACTATACCCTCAGTCAGCTATCCTCTGATGGTTTCACGCTAAAGAAGCGAACGAAGCAAGGCTGTTCATGGGTGAAGGTGACAGAAGGGAGCAGGTATTCCGGCACTGCATACATTGGCTCGGCACAGCGCGGTGGCCTGGCAGTGGGCATGACCAATTTCTGGGAGCAGTATCCCACCCAAATCGATCTCAGCAATTTGACCACCGACGAAGCATCGACAACGATATGGATGTACTCACATTCAGCAGAACCGTTGGATACCCGTCCTTATCACGACGGACTAGGTCTGGACACCTACGAGAAACAGCTCAAAGCCCTCAATGCTACATACGAGGACTACGAGCCCGGCTTCGGTACGGCCAACGGAATCGGCCGAACGGCAGTCTTCTTCCTTCGACCATACAGCAACGAGACCCCATCCGACAGCGACCTAAGCGCATTTTCAGCTCTAGTCCGTGACCCCCCTCGCTTGCTCCCCACCCCAGAGACCATATACAAGGCTGGCGTGTTTCACGGCACATGGGCCCCGGACACTCGCCTCCTTGGCCTCAGCCCCACAGCCACTGAACTAAACATCGAACATAACCTGAATACCCTATTCACCCACTACCAGCGCCAGGTCGAGCAACACCGCTGGTACGGCTTCTGGGACTACGGCGACGTGCAGCACACGTACGACCCCCACCGACACGCGTGGCGCTACGACGTCGGGGGGTTTGCCTGGGACAACAGCGAGCTGTCCACAGACCTATGGCTATGGCTATATTTCCTACACTCCGGGCGAGCGGATGTCTTTCGGATGGCCGAGGCCATGACCCGCCACACGAGCGAAGTGGACGTGTACCATTCCGGCCGCTTCAAGGGTTTCGGAACGCGTCATGGGGTGCAGCATTTCAGCGACAGTTGCAAACAGCTCCGGATCTCCAACGTGCTGTATCGACGGTTCTACTACTATTTGACCGGGGACGAACGAACGGGAGTCCTGATCGCCGAGCTTCAGGACTGCCAGCATGCGCTGCTGGGACTCGACGCCCATCGGAAAGTCCAGCAGCACGGTGCGATTTTGGAAGGATTTGCACTGACGGACATCTGTCTTGACGGGGGCGCGTTAGCAGCGTCGTGGCTTACCGCATGGGAGAAACGGGAGCCGGGATGGACGGAGGGTAGAGATCGTCTGCTGAAAATGCTTGAGGGCATCGCAAACCTAGAATATGGGATCGCTACGAAGGCAATTCTACTCCACACGAAGACGGGAGAAGTGCGCACATGTCCGCCTCCCACGCGACCGTATGCCATCTCGCACTTGTCGATGCTATTCGGCTTCCCGGAACTGGTATCGGAGCTCGTCGACTACGCTGAAAGCGAACATCCAGCGGCCGTGGATGCGTTCCTGAAGGCTTACCTGACATATTGTCGGTCTTACAACGGCGGGGCGGATGTTCAGCGCGAGGAGTACGGCTTCGAGTTCCCTGCTACAGCCACATGGCGACAGAGCCACTCTACACTAACTGCTTTCGCGGCGAGACGCGGTGATGACGCCGAAATAGCCCGCGCAGCTTGGCAACAGTTCTTCGAAACGGATGGGTATACCAAAGACCACCAATGGACAGTGACGCCGACCGCGGCGCCAACCTATTTCTCCGAGGGTGAGGAGGCGCCTTGGATTACGACAAACGAGGCAGCACGGTACGGTGTGTCGGCTATATTCAATCTTGCGAACATTCGCAAATATCTCGACTAGCTGCTGTCTTGTCCATGAGTCTAGCGGTCCATCATTAGGCCCGGGTATTGTGTTCAGTTCTTGAACAACACCAGAACTAGAGGCTCCGTGGTCATAGAAATTCTCAATCATCATGCGCCTTGACCCTCGCAAACACCGCCCCCATAATTGTCAAACAGATAAACAGCATCACAAAGACAATTGCAACCATCCCACAACATTGTAGCTGATTCTGTCTCTGCTCTCGTCGGGCGATGATCCGCTCGCAGGCATCACAGTGCTCATGGGGCGTGGTAATCACCGAGGTAACCAGAGGAATAGCGGATGTCGGATCGGTGTCTCCGTGGTGGTGGGATGGTGACGGTTGTGATTCCAGGTCATCCTGGTCTGCTTGTGCGACTTCCGAGTACTGTGAGATTAAGAGTTGATGTCAGCTTGGCAGGGGTGATGGCGCAGTGGGGGCTTACTTCTTGGTAGGGCGGGGCTGCCTCGTAGGGTTGCTTTGGAGCCATTTCAGGACTTGGTGGAGTGCTTGGGATTGTTGATAAGACTCCGGTACAGATACTCGCTTACAACGTTTAGAAAACGATGATCATATACGATGGCAGATGTCTATTCTTATGTAGGAATCATGCTGCCTGGGTCGCAACATGGAGAGTGAGATTGCACAGCCTCATCAGGCTACCATCACGTGGTTGGTTGGCAGGAGTTAGAGCTACGTCAGGAATCTTATCACTGGTCTTAAGCTGGCTTGGCCAACGGTCAGGCACTTGTGGCTATTTGACTTTCCCAGATGAGCCCCTACGCATGGTGCAACTGACTGACTCGCCGACAGCCATTTAGCCACAAACCACGTGACGCATTTGTAAAAGAGACAGACTCTGCACCAGCCACACTCTGGCCAGTAAAACCCTGATCAGCACCGGCCGACATCGGCACACTGCGACAGAGTCAATCACCATCGCACTACTCTACAACTTCTCGGGTCCATGACATTGAGAACCAGATGCATTGACATCGAAACGAATCCATGTAGTCTGTCTCAACACTTACAGGGCAAAGCATCACTGGAATGCATCTTTGGTCAGGAACATAGCATACCAGCAGTCTACATTCAGCTCTATCATAACTCTATATCCAGCCCTCTAAATCTATATCCACTCTTCACCCCAATCTATATACAAACAAAATGCAAACCACGTCCCCATCACAGCTCAACCAACCCCCAAACAGCCCCATGACCCTACCCCAAAATCCCACCCCTAACCAACCACCCCCTGGCCTCCTCCCAAATCTCCTCCCTAACCCTTTCCCTCCTCGACCTCCTCCCCTTCGAACTGCCATGCGTAAACCCATGCCTACATCCCCTGGCCATAGTCCACTTATACCCACCCACCTCAAATGCCTCCTCCTTATCCCGCCTGCCCTCCAACCCGGCCAACCGATGAATCATCTCCTGCGCCTCAACCCTCAACAGATCAAACTCCGCCGCAACCATATACACCCTTTCCGGCAGATCCTCGGCGGCCGCATACCACGGACTGAGGAGGGGATCCCTCCGATCCTGGCCGGGACAGACATAGCCCCAATCGATCCACCAGCCGGCGTCGCCCAGATGATCGCGCCAGTAGTCCTGGTAGGGGCGGGCGTGCATCTTGTCCGGCGGGGAGTGGCTGAAGTCCACGATGGGGTAGTAGCAGATGGCCGCGCGGAGGGAGCGCCGCAGGGAGGGGAGCTGCGCGACGGCGAGCGCGAGGCTGGCGCCCGCGCTGAAGCCGCCGATCACCACGCGGGCGGGGTCGATGGGCAGGGCGGTGGGGTCCGCCAGCAGGTCGAGGATCTGCGCCTCCACGTCGTGGATGGCCGTCGGGAACGGGTGCAGCGGGATCTTGCGGTAGTCCAGGCTGAGGACGAGCATGCCCGTGCGCTTGCTCCAGGAGGCGCAGAAGGGGTCGTCGAAGCGCGCCGTGTGGACGGCGAAGCCCCCGCCGTGCAGGTTGATGTACGTTGGGAGGAGTGTCGGTTGGCCCGGCGTGTAGGTGGGCGGGTAGAAGATGCGGGTTTGCAGCGTCGGGCGCGATGGGAGGTGCAGGGTTAGGGTTGGGTGGGTGCTGGGCGGGGGCGGGTGGATGAGGTCCTTGTAGATGGTGTGTATGGTCGCGATGAGTTTGAGGCCCCAGAGCCAGAGGAAGCAGTAGATGCGGTGGTAGAGGGGGAGGAGGGCTTTGGGGAGCGGCTCCACCTCCGCTCGTTTTGTTGTTGTCATGGTGAATTATCTGATCCGGGACGGTTGCCTATAGGTTTAGTTGGGAATCAAAGACGGTGCTGGGGTGATTCAAGCTTTTAGGGGCCGGAGGTAGGCATGATGATTCTGAAGTGGGGTGCCCTAGTCGCTCTGGGTCGGATAGGCTGGTGGAGAGCGCGCTTTGCAACACTTCATTCGACTGAGCTGGATTGGTCGGCGCATGTGGGTTTTAGCTCAATTGTATCGGCACCTCAACATTTCATATGATAATTTTAGGCAGAATTCTCTGGAAGAGGCCCCTGAAAAGTGCAGTGGAGAACTTTTTTTCGTTTTCCTGCGCGAAGGACCCACTTGGGCAAAAGAGCGGCCCCACTTCATTTTTGCCAAAGTGACAGGCCGGAAACAATTGCATCGTGTAGATCTTAGGGGTGCTGATATTGCCTGTAGGGCTGATAGTATACCCCAGAATTCGATCGATGGGGTGGTCGCTTGGTAGAGGCTACGAGGCTCACCCATAGTATACTGTAAAGAAGTGTCATGCTCAAGGGATAGTTAACTTATTAGTGCTGAATCAGCCGACTCCACTTGAGCACACTGATCTGGTCAACCACCACGCGGCAACTCCAACACCATTTTTTTCATGTGCTTACACATTCACGTAGTACAGGATCTAAATATCTAGGAATCCCATTAGTCATACGATCTAGTCAACTAGTTATTTATCCCAAAAGTCTAACGAACGACTCAGAGAGCCCGGTAGACAGGCCCTTACCAACTAGCAAGCATGGTGTAGGAATGACATACAATACATTAATATAATCCAGACTAAAAAGACAAGACGCAGATTCAATAAACAAGGCACAACCAATAAAACCACCCACACCTATTCACAATAGTCGAGAACAAAGGCAAAAAAGCTACAACTTCGCCCTCCTCCCCTCCTTCTTAACCCTAGCACCGGCCCACTCCATAAACACCCCGACCACTCGTTCAATCTGCTCCTTGGTGTTATCCGCATGCACCGTGAGCCGGACGCGTCCCAGCTGCTTCGGCACAATCGGATAGTGCACCGAGTCCACCCAATACCCATTCCCCCGGATATGGTCCGCGAGCTCATTCTCCTCGCCGCCCGGGGTGATCAAGGCAAAGATGGGTGTCTCAAACGGACCCGACCCCCAGTTCTCGGACCCGGGAATCTGAATGATACCCTGCTTGCTGACTTCGGCCCATTGCTTGTGTTGAGTCACCATGCGCTCGAAGTAGCGCGTGTTCTGCTGCAAACGACGGCGTCGCTGCACTTCTTAGTGCTGATGGTAGAGATAGCCGCGGGGGAAAGACTCACCTGCTCGCCCTCCTCGCTTGCGACCAACTCATAGCCCGCGCGCACAGCCGCCACAGTGACGAACGATGGCGCGGTCGAAAACACGATATTGCGGGCATAGTTGATCATGGACATACGCATGGTCTCCGAGCAAAGAACAACAGCTATCAACAACCAGTTAGTGAAATTCTCGAAGTGATCAACCAAAAGGGAGCTTACCCCCCGTCGACCCCAACCCCTTGCCGCAAGTATGCACCCGGATCCCAATCTCCTTCTCCAATCCATAATGACACACCAGCCCGGATCCGTCCCGTCCAATCAGCCCGTTCGAATGCGCCTCATCCATGGCATACACCACATTGCCCTGTGGGAGCACCTCTTGGGAAATGCGCAGCATCTCCTGGATGGGCACCACATCACCATCCATGCTATAGAACGACTCGACGGCCACAAAGACCACGCTCTTGCCGTCCTTGACCCCCTTCTGGTCATCGCGGAGGGCCTCGAGGGCACGCCGGAAATCTTTGAGGTCGTTGTGCGCGAACGACCGGGTCTGCGCGCGACCGCGTCGCATCCCGTCGTGGATGCTGGCGTGGATGTATTCGTCATGCACGACCACATCATCGGGACGCGGGACGGTCGACCACAGGGCGACGTTGGCGTCGAAGCCGGAATTGAAGAACAGGCCCGCCTCAGCCTTGTGGAAACGGGCCAGGTCTCGCTCAATGTCATCCAAGTAGTGCGTTGTGCCCTCGAAGATGCGCGTCGAGGTGCTGCCCACGATGCAATTGGGGTGCGCGTCCAATTGCTCCAGAAAGCCCTTGGTCAGCGCCCGCGAGGTCGCGATGGATAGGGTATCGTTGGACCCGAAGTCGACCAATTGGTTGACCATACCGGGACTAGGAGGCTGCATAAGGCGCTTCTGGCGCTCACGCTGCTCCAATTGGGTTTGGAGCTTGGAATTGAGGACCTTTTCGCCGGACATGTTCTCTGGTATTCAGGCTGGAAGTGATGTTTCCACTTTTCACTGTGAGCGATGCTGTGTTTGTGGTTCCTTCTACAGTCCACCTTGAGATCGAGTGGGTTATATAGTTTTGCCGCCAGTAGAGGACCCTACCCCTCGCCTACTCTATCCCGGCTAATGGTCGGCATCGACGACCGAAGTTTCTGTGTTGGAAGTACACATCCATTGAGTATGATTGAAGTCATCCAAACCTTTCGACCAGAACCACATTAGACCCTGGTGGCGAGGATTGGCGGGAAGTTGCGTCAAGATAAGGTTGACAGATTGTCGAGAAGCTGCAGAGCTTGGTCAACCCACGAATCATGTCTAGTCATCTTCAAAATCTTGTTTCTTCAAAGTTCTTCACAGCCTGAAAACTAGTGTTGATTGTGGAATGACATCAGCCTACATGCGAATGTCTGTGCCACGCCCCCTTACTGATTGTAAGGAGCCGTTACCACCTTCCCTGTTTGTGTTCTCGCCCGTGCAGAGTGTGGTTCGAAAGCACCAATCTGAGTCATGTGAGCGATTTCTTATTCTGGACTTCTCTGTAAGGGTGATCGGGGAAGAGATAGTCATTCATCGGATACTGCCCCCGCGCGCGCCCTTCAGGAGGTTTCTCAGCAGGTCACCTGCGGTGTAGCGTCACGACTACCTGAAGCGACCGCTTTTCCCGACAGGCTGGTTTGACACCCTGTTGATAGCACCTTCGGTGCAATAAGCCATCCAGTCGAACTTGCCCTGCAGTGGGGAAAGCAGGTTGTCAGATGTCATTGTTTATAGTCTGCCTTAAGGTTCATGCTCGTGAACGTTTCTGGCATTGAGTGACGTCTCCTGTCTTCAAGTGTGGCCCTCCAGGCTTCAGTTGCCAGAAAGCTGAAGAATTAGACGCCGAGATAGCAAATTCTCCGTAGGGTCACATACGTCATTGTATGGAAGCGTGCTGCGTCAATCTGAAGAGGATCGTGGAGAGTGACCTTTGGTATGGGGACAGACCAGGCTCAAGGATATAAAGCCGTGTCAAGGGCGGTCGAAAGTGAGGAAGAAGCACAATCACCGACGAAGAGCTCTTCAAAGGATATTAGCATTTGCACAAGACTATAACAACCCCGAACAATTAAAACAACCATACTTTTACTACAATATCACTTGATCCTGAGCCACCAGCACAACCATCATGGAGAGAATTATTTACGACCACGCTCAGGAGAATCCGGATGCTGTCGCCGTCGAAGACGAACAGGCATCTCTGACCTACGCCGAGCTGCTCGGAGAAGCAGGTCATCTGTCGTGCGAGCTGGGAGACCTTGACCCCGACGAGCCTGTGGGTATTGTGCTGGGCCCTGGCATCAACCAGGTTGTTGCTCAGCTGGCGGTGCGCTTGGCTGGGGGAACATGTGTCCCACTGGAGCCATCAATCCCAGAACAGCGCATCAAGGACCTTTTGGAAGAAATCGAGGTCAAAACGATCCTGATTGAAGAGGATTCTTCGCTGAATTGGCCCGACCGAAAGCTCATTCAATTCCCAAAAGTGACCGGCGGAAGAACACTGGATGAGAAGCTCCCCAAAGGGTTCAAGGACCCGTCCAAACGCAGCCACATTCTCTTCACGTCTGGATCGACTGGAAAGCCCAAACCGGTTCAGATCCAAGCCGAGGCCATCCTGCATCTTGCCAACAAAACACCAACGACCCCCTTGCTGAAGAGCGACCGTGTTGCCGAGTTCAACAACCCGGGATTTGACTTGAGCTTGTATGAAATCTGGGTGACCTTGATTTCAGGTGCCACTATTGTCGCTATCCCGCGCGACTCGGCCATCAGCGCAGGTGCATTAGCTGAAATAGTCTCAAAACACCGGCTAACCGTGATGATCATCACCACTGCCCTATTTACTATCACTAGTACTCAGGACCCGACAACATTTTCGTCTCTGCGACATGTCATTACCGCAGGGGATGTGGCAAATGTGCGTGCCATGAGAGATGTGCTGCAAAAAGGCGCTCCTGAGCATCTTTGGAATGCCTATGGGCCAACAGAGTGTGCGACTTTGGCTACTATGCAGGAAGTCACACTTGAAGAAACTGGCAGAGACCGCATTGGTATCGGTAAGGCGGTGGGAGATTTGGAGCTCCTCTTACTTGACGAAGATCAACAGCCCGTGCATGAGAGCGGCAAGCAAGGGGAAATCCACCTTGGCGGACCACAACTGACGCCCGGATACTTGAACCGAAAAGAGCATAACGAAGAGCGATTTGTGGATATGAGCAGAGAGGACTTGGGCCTTGGCGAAGGCACAGTGCGTCTGTACAAGACTGGAGACTTGGCCGAGTGGCGCGAGAACAGCAATTGCCTGGATTTCATTGGCCGGGACGACTCCCAGGTTAAGCATGAAGGCTTTCGGGTTGAGCTTGGCGAGATTGAGCGAGCGCTCATGTCGCACGATGCGGTTCACTCAGCAGTTCTGATTCATCAGCCACCTTTGACAGAGGGAGAAGGCCATGCTTTGGTTGCCTTTGTGTCGGCTAAAGATCTGGACGAGGAATCGCTCATGGACTACGCTCGAGAGCGTCTCCCACATTACATGGTTCCCAACGCAATTGAGTTCTTGAGCGATTTTCCACTGACACCTAACGGCAAAGTTGATCGTAAGGCTCTGACTCAGCGGCGACTTGACGCCTTGCAGGAGAAACAAAAGGAGGACAAGACAGAGAGCACAGTGCCCAACGGTGAAGGGCCACATGACAAAGCAGGAAAACTTCGGAGACTCTGGACAAACCTGTTACATCTGTCCGATGAGGTTTCTGATGATGACGACTTCATCTCTCTAGGCGCCAGTTCACTTCAGGCTGCCTCGTTGATTAGCCAGATACGCCAGGAATTTGACGTTCAGGTTTCGATGCACGATCTCCACGGCCACTCTCAATTCAAGCAGATGCTAGATTTGATCCAGCCTAGCGAGCCTCGACACAACAAAGCACCTGACGATACTCGGGTATGGAAGCAAGATGTGCTTCTTGTCGACGACATTGACATGGTGCCTCAATGGGAGGCCGAGGGCGAGGGTCGTGTGTTCATCACCGGTGTGACCGGGTTTGTGGGCGCCCACCTCCTGTCTAACTTGATGCAACGACCAGGAGTGAAGCAGATTGCATGCCTCGCGCGTAGCAGGAAAGACATAAGTGCCTGGGCTCGGGTTCAGCAAGCTCTTGAGCGATACGACGTGTGGCCTGACAAGCTTGAATACACGCAGAAGATTCTCGTGCTTGAAGGCGACCTCACTGATTGGCATCTAGGCCTCGGACAGGAGAAGTTCACATGGCTTTCAAACTGGGCATCAGTGGTCTTCCACCTTGGAGCCAAAGTCAACTTTTGCGAGTCGTACCGAGAGCACCGCACGACAAACGTCGTTGGCACCAGAAACATCCTCCACCTCGCCGCCGCAGGTCGTCGTAAGAGCTTTCATTACATATCTAGTATTGATGTGTGGGGGCCAACTGGAAACATCCTGGGAACAGAAGAGATCTACGAGGACGATCCCCTTCAGCCACACATTCAGGGCCTTCGGTATGACCTGGGTTATGCGCAGAGCCAGTGGACAGCGGAGGCGATGGTGCGCCGGATGAGGGACCGTGGCTTGCCGGTGGCCATCTACCGGCCAGGTTTTGTTGTTGGCCACAGCCAGACAGGAGCCATGAATCCCGATGATTTCGTGGCCCGCTTGTTGATAGGCTCCATCAAGGTCGGTGCCTTTCCCCGAGTGGTCGATCAACGTCTGGAGTACGTGACAGTCGACTACGTGGTTGACGCAATGATGGCCATTGCGACCCGCAATGAGAATTTGGGACGCTCGTACAGCCTGCTGTCACCGGATGTCAGCAAATCTGTCACGGTCGAGCAAACCTGCGACGTGCTCAAGGAGGCAGGCTATCCCCTCGAACTACTCGATTTTGAACAGTGGGTTGAAAGGGTGACCCACAGCGATGCAGACGGATTATTGACGCCGTTGATGCCATTGTTCCAGGAGCGGGTGTTGGGGCAGTTAACGCGATGGGAAGCTAGCCAGTACAGTCCGGTCTATCGGTGCGACAACGCACTTAAGGCTCTCAGTGAGAATCCAGAGATCAATTTTCGACCGTTTGACGCGCACTTGTTGAAGAAGTTTATTTCTTTCTGGGACCGGAAGGGATTTCATCATCTTTGAAGCGATTGGTCTTGGCGCATTTGAGATTCTATTGAGGCAATGATCTTGTTGGATTTCATGTCAAACTTAACATAGCTTTGAGCTTGAAATTTGATTAAATTGAACCACAGGTCCCATCTTGCCTCCTCGGCGGGGCACAAACTGATTGATTGTAATTCGGTGGAATAGACTGGATCCAATTAAAGGGTTAGATTAAAGGTTTGGGAATGTTTGCGCTGTCCACCAACCTACACCGTTTTTTCAAGCCCCTTATATGCAACGGGGTGAATGGGACGGGACAAGTCACGCATTCGTAGACTAGTCTAAATTAATATTGAGCATTGACTCGAACCAGCTGTCTTCTTCAAGACATAGCCGACCAATACTTTGGGGGGGTTTCTGAAGAACTGGGTGAGCCGAAATGCAGCCGATCAGCGAGTCTCTGTGGTAAGGGCGTGGCTATTGCCGAGAGGCGTAAATTCGAGCTCACACAACATACCAAGCCCATCTTCATCACAATAGCTTGTGGTTGGGTGGGATTGCAAATGATCTCAACTGAAGTGGAACACATGCTGCAAACTCAGACATGTGCCCAACCGTTGGCGACCAGAACTTGCATTTCATTGATCAAGCAAAAATCACCGCTTTCTCGCTGCTGAGGATGATCCTTCTCCCACTTCGCGACACGACTGCGAACGACTTGCATCTTGAAAAAGGAAGAGGTCGTCCAGCGGCGAATCCGATTCTCCCAGAGAGCCACGGCAAGATTTTGCAAGGACAACCATGCCCGAGTCGGATGCACCGCAGCATACGCTTCTGAATTGTACCCGACGCGGACCTGAGGATTTAGGTAGACTCCGTGGAGTTGAGACAAAGGGTTGTCAGCGTGGATGAGGCAGCACTCTGAGCCTTCAAGGTGAGATAGCGAAAGGGAGTCAGGGACAGCACGGAATCGCAGTGGTGGAGAGGACACGAAAGGCGTGGCGGGCATTACCACTAAGAGAGTCAGTCTGGTACAACACCAGGCGCAGATGTATCACCTACCCATCCCGTTCCAGCAGCTTCTGACTGGAATTGGCTCCATGCGGATGAGTGCTCGACGCGAGCTGCTAGAGCGGAAGTATGGCCAGGTCTGCATGACGTGCTCATCGCTCTGGGAATCACGCAGAGCGAAGGTATCGTAATATAGAGGGGGTTTGGAGAAGTCCAGGGAGCAAGCAGCCCCGTAGACCCCGTCATTGGTATTTAGCAAGGTCGCTACATCGTCGACCTAAAACTTCACCCATTAGTCACACACTCGTCGGTTGCTGCAAGCGTTGGAGTAGGCCATACCGTAAACACGACATCATTCAGGAAAAGCACTTTGTCAAAAGTGATCCCTTGTCGCGCCAAGTCTTCCAATGGTTGTAAAGTCCAGTTGCGTAGCCGAGCCAAGTATGGAATGCGTCGAAGCTCTGTCCGTCCCCGCGGGGTCTTAATCCAGCCATCACGCCCGGGCGGAGCGGAGATTTCATCATGATGTGTTGTGTCGGACAGAGTGATGTTGCGTCGCACACCAAGTCGGTCTAGTCTTGTATCCAGCTCGCGCAGAGCTCCCTTACTGTCATCCCAGCTACCACTTTCCAACACGCTCACAAAGACGTTCTCAGAGCCAAGGGTCCGGACCAAGTCAACGACGGCGTCATTCCAATGGCTTCGGAGGATGCGCTCGTTGTTCCAATGAGTACTGGCGATGAAGATACGATCGGAGGGTAGCGGGGGAGGAGGGCGAGCGTCCACTAGGGCGATGTGGTGGTGAATCGAGAGGACCTGGAGCATTGTCCAAATCACTAAGCCGAGGCCCACGAGGAGGGCGACGCGTCGGCGGAACCCATATCGGCGGCGGGGAACCCAGCGGGGACCGGCCTTGGAGGAGGCAAGCGGGGAGATCATGGGGACATTCTTTCTTCGCGAGAAGACAGTCAAGAGACGATCAAGTAGTGACAGTAAAAGGAAGCGTCATTGAGGTCCATTTGTGTCTGGTTCATCGGTCTGTCAGACCGATACCTGGTGTTGACCAGGGACGCCAGGAGCGAACGAAGACTCGGGATCAAAAATAGAAACCAGGGGGGAATCCGCCTTTCGCGCTAATCCTATTTTTGACAACCTGGGATTTGCGACCGGAGCCTTCTGCAGCCTGGTTGATCAGGCATCAACCCCTCAACACGACGTTTTGCCACAGAAGTGGTCTCGCCATGTAAGTCTGATAATTCTTTTTGCTGCTCTTGAAGCTAATCAAGATGACTTATTATATCTGGAATCTCCTTACCAAGTCCAAAGAAAAACTACATTTAACTTGTCGCGAGGCCTCATGTCAATATTAATGTATATATACGAGCGGGTTTACCGGGAATCTGTTGAGGTTCACCGGCCTCAATGATTCGTTGCCATCATTACAGATAGATGTATAACTAAGACGCTTCTCTAATATAAATCATGCAAATTTTCTAGAATGCAATTGAGAGGCTTATTGATGATAATCCTCTCACGCTTGCCACTTGAATATACTAGAGCAATGTTGATCGAGACCGAGGCAGCCATGAATGACGTCATGAATTCAAGATATAGGTTAATCACCTCTACCAAATCTTCAAACATGCCTCAGCGACAGCAGTATCCTCGTAAGGCTCGTATAGTATTTGGCTATAACTCGTAAACTGCCATCGATGACTGGAGTTAGAATGCCTTTTACTCTTGCTTGGAGCCAATCAAATCAGATGTACCGGAAGCCGAGGTACTGATCACTAATCCTCTCAGATCTTGTCTACTGGTATACAAAGAAACAAGCCCGTCCATTTGTCAGCCCTGAAGGTATAGTCGTGGTATATCAGGCTCGTAGACCGGCAATAGGAAGTAGTTGCTGCAGACCCATCTACATCGATACAATTCAATTCACTTCAATTCCTTGCCTCGTCTTAGAAAATGTCGCTTGTCCTGATTACCGGTGCCACCGGTTTCATCGGCTCCCAGGTGGTCTGGGATGTACTGAAAGCTGGCTATCGCGTGCGGTTGGTCGTCCGTCGTGCCGAGCAGGCGACCAAGCTCGAGCGGATTTATGACTATGCAAAGGAATTAGAGTTTGCTGTCGTTCCCGACTTGACAATTGATGGATGCTTCGACGAGCCACTACAGGGAGCGGATTATGCTTTGCACCTGGCCTCTCCACTGCCTGGTGCCGGGGATGATCTCCTAAGCCCTGCTGTACGAGGAACTGTTTCGATCCTGCATTCCGCGCTCAAGGTGCCAAGCATCAAGAAAGTTGTCGTGACTGCCTCGGCGTTGTCAATCATTCCGTTGGGGCCAACTAGAGATGGATTGATTGTGAAAGGTGTGGCTCTCTTCCAATGAGATGTCTCGAGCACTAGTCCCACTGACACGTTTTGTGGTAGAGACGACGGAGGTTGAAGATGTCGACCCAGCCCAGGTTGCTTCGTGGAACCCATTGGATCAGTATCACGCCAGCAAGATCGCGTCTTACAAAGCGACGCTGGACTTTGTGCGTGACCAACATCCCAAATTTGATGTGGTTACTCTGCATCCGGTCTTTGTCTTCGGCCACAATCACGCACAGGAATCAGCCGATCAGCTAGGCGGCACTTGTGGCATGCTGTACCAGGCAATCACAACGGGGAAGCTATTCGCCACTCAGTACCGGGGTGTTCATGTTCACGACGTTTCTGCTGCGCATGTAAAGGTTTTGGATAGCTCTATACAGGGACTGCAGTCATTTTTGTTGGCCGCACCACCGAGATCATGGGCAGATGTTGAGGCTTTTGTTCGTCAACATTATCCCGATCTGCCCATCGGTATCCAGGCCCAAGAAGGACCAAGCTATGTGCTCGACACATCAAAGGCCGAGAGAGAGCTGGGGTTGACATGGAAGGGAATGGAAGAACAAGTGAGCGATGTGATTGACCAGCAGTTGGCTTTTAAATAAGCGTCCGTCTTGGTGCATGTTTCATGTCTGGCAAGAAAGATGTATGCGAGTGAGGAAAGCGACTTTGGAGAAGTGGATCTGTAATGATTATCATTGTAATTTTTGTTCCTGAGGTTTATTGAAAAGTGTGTAACCCGTAAACGTTGAGTTTGTGGCGCTGTTCACAATATTGAGTGCAGGGCGGGGTAACCTACCAATTATTTAGACGGATTACTCAGCCGAGGTAAGTTAAGTTATATTCCTTGCAAGATGACAACAATTCTCCAGTATCGGAGCCACACAGCTCTAGAATCTCCAAGAATACTTAACCCACATCACATATTTGGTGGGAGACAGCAACGGACAAATCCAAAATTGAGAGGCTGCATGGTGGTATTTGACGTGAAAAAGATTGGTTTGACGCGACCCCACTATAGTGTCACATCGGCCATTTCCCGCCGGCTCTTTCTCCACATCCACGCAGACTTGCCCTTTTGATTCAAGCTTCTCTTCTGCATTTCTTGAACATTATCTTGGCATCTGAATGTAGTCCATTTGTTAGCAACATGCATCCAGCCGGGATTGCTCCAACCGGCCAATACGCATTCTTGGGAGGCCCACGGGCTTGCCGATCTCCTGCATCGAAAAGGCAGGGATCTCCAGGGACAACGGCCGGAGTCTCTACTTTCCATTCTCGTGGTCATCAGCAATTCTCCCATTGGTGTCAGGACCGTCTGTCAACGGGATTGACACTCTCCAGATACCCGGATTTTGTCCGCTCTGCGCGATGCAGATGGGTACGATAGTCCGTCGGAGGATGCAGGTGCAATGAGGCCTTCTCCATCCGTGCATTCCAGGCAGGCACGTGGGAGAATCATGGAGGGACAGCTGCGATTCCTCAACCCGCGACGGGTTGCCTTCGAGGATAAATAGCAAGACATATTCCTTCATGTTGATCATACTGTCACTGTCACCATTAGACATTACATATCATGCATTTTAGTGCCCTTGTCGGCCTTCTGGCCTTTGCGGCTGCTGCCTCGGCCCTGCCCGGTGCCTCCTCACGGCACGCCCACTCGCACTCATCCATCAGCAACCTCAAAGACAAGGTTAAGAATGTCGTGGTACTGGTGATGGAGAACCGCTCCGTCGACAACCTTCTTGGTGGACAGACGATCAAGGGACTCGAGAACCCCATCAACAACGGTCCCTTCTGCAACCCTTACAACGTGAGCAACCCAGCCGAGGGCACTGTTTGCAGCGCGGCGTGGGACTATGACTCGGTCACCGACGACCCTGACCACGCGGTGTACGGCAATAACATCGAGTTCTACGGGACGTTCACGCCGGACAATGAGGCGATCTCCTCGGGCGCATTGACTCCTAGCCAACAGGGCTTTGTGCACGAGCAATTGCGGATATACGGTGGCAAAGCCAACCGCACCCAGCTGTCCACCCAGGTTATGAACTACTACACCGAAGACCAGGTGCCAGTTCTCACCCAGCTAGTGCAGAACTATGTTGTTTTCAATCACTGGCACTCCGATATCCCAGGTGTAAGTCATCCAATGCGGCATATGTAATACAGCAATGCTAACTCGCGTGCAGCCTACCGATCCGAACCGGGCGGCTTTGACCTCGGGAACCTCCTACGGCCACGGGAGCAATGATGATGCTTTCACCGTACACGCTTTCCCGCAGCGATCCATCTTCCAGCAGCTGAGTGAGACACATCACACCTGGATCAACTACTACGATACCGCGGGCGGCACGGGTCCGGATGCCGAGTTCTACGACTGGACCTACACTGCCAACCGCACCAACCAGGTCCAGCCCTTGGAGCAGTTCTATACTGACGCAGCGGCGGGTGATCTCGCCGAGTTCACGTACCTGAACCCATCCTGCTGCGGCGTGGGCACCAACTCGATGCACCCCAGCGGACTCATCTCAGATGGAGAGAAGCTGATCAAGAAGGTCTACGAGGCCCTGCGCAATGGCCCGCAGTGGTCAGACACGTTGTTCATCCTTAGTTTCGACGAGACCGGTGGCTTCCACGACCACGTGCCTCCGCCTCTGGCTCCTGCGCCAGACAACCTGACCTACACCGCTACCACTCCTAGCGGCGAGGAATACACCTTCCCCTTCAACCGCCTGGGCGGCCGTATTCCGACTTTGCTGATCTCCCCGTGGGTGGGTAAGGGCTACGTCGAGCAGAAGGGTACAGACGTCGAGGGCGAGACAGTGTCGTACTCCGCCTCGTCGATCCTGCGCACTCTCGGCTATCTCTGGGACTTCGAGCCCTTCACCCCTCGTGTCGAGTATGCGCCTTCCTTCGATCATCTGATCCAGTGGCGGGCTCGCAACGACACTCCTGCCACCTTGCCCGAGCCGGTGCCTTTCCGCAAGTGATTAGACTACGTACAGGGGAACGATTACGATAAACCATGACTGCATGAATGAGAGTTGATCATCGATAGAGACACTTAAAATAAAACATTGCACTCTTTCATCCACGGAATAATCCATAGCATACCATAAACCCATCCTATTAGAACCTAACCACATCCATCAACCCCAAGAAAACCAAGCCCTGACACTAGTAACTAAAGCGCTGCCTTCCCGCCCGCGTTCCCCTCTCCCCCCTCAGCAAACGCCCCCTCATACTCCACCGCCCGGTTCTCCCTCGCCCACATCTTCTCCTCCTCACTCCGGTACGGAGGCGGAATCATCCCGTTGATCTTCCACAGCCGCCGCTCCGTCTCCTCCACGTGGTACTCCAGATCAAACCCTCTATCCAGCACGTGCTCCTTGAAGACCTTGTCAAGCCAATTAGTCGTGCGACGATACGCGGCGTCGCTGTCCGGCTGCACGACCGCGATGTGCGTGACGACCGCCCGTACGAAGGGCCTCTCGGCGTTGGTAGCCACTCGGCCTCCCACGTAGACATCCTCCGGGTTGAGTTCGTGGAATTGGATGACCACGTAAAAGGCGGGGAGGCCGATGGCGGTGTATCGCTGTGTAATGTCGGTCGCGAAGCTGGATTTCGCTTCCGGGGTGAATGTCCCGGGGGGAGAGTAGATCTGCCAAAGAGGCATTTTTGTAGTCGATGCTGGCTGGGTCTTGAAAGTGGGTGGTTTGGCTCAATTTGGGCTGTTTGAGTATAGATAGGTATAGTTCGGGTGATAAAATAGTTCGGTTGGAGGATGAGATCTGGCTGGGGGATCGATAAGCTGCTCACTGTTATGTGAGATGGGGTCTTTTATCTGATGGAGGTTTCCGTGGCTGACGACTCTTGAGTTTATTGTTGGTATTCAAACTGATATGTAAGATTAGTGATCGACACCGATCAATGCGGTTGGGGATGTGCTGATTGGCGCGGACTTAGTGATTAGTGAACCAGTCCGTCGGGGTCACCCCGCCTCAGCGGGATGATTAGTGAACTGATGTGAATAGGTCGCACAAAGACTTCAGTTGGCTTCAACACCACAAAGATGGTGGGATTTAATCACACCCATCGCCGGAAAGCTCCACTAGTCGAGCCAAAACTCATCATCATCAATCTTCTATCGAAATGACCGCCCCCCTCGTCTTCATCACCGGTGCGACCGGCTTCATCGGCTCCCAGGTCGTCCTCGCGACCCTGCAGGCGGGATACCGGGTGCGCCTGTCCATCCGCCACGCCTCCCAGGAGGCCCCGCTGCGCGCCCGCTACCCCGACTTCAGCCCCCAGCAGATCGAGACCTGCATCATCCCCGACATCACCCCGCGTGACGCCTTCACGCCCGCCCTCGATGGCATCGACCACATCTTCCACCTGGCCTCGCCCATGCCCGGCCGCGGATCCGACCTGCAAGCCGACTACATCGACCCGGCCGTCAAGGGCACCGAGTCTATATTGTACTCCGCGTTAGCGTTCCCGCAGATCCAGAAAGTGGTGGTGATGTCTTCCGTTTTGGCGTTAACACCCCTGAATGCCCTCCGCGAGAAGGAGGTTTACGTGACTGGTACGTCCGTCCCTTCCCCCCACCAAATACCTATCCTCCCCCTTCCCATCCTGTTCTGTTCTAGAAGAAAGCAAAAGCTAACAAAATCAGACAACACCCACGAGACCATCCCAATCGACCTCCCCGACCCAATCCCGGAAGGCTTCTCAGGCCACGGCCTGAAATACAGCGCCTCCAAGGTCGCCGCCCACGACGCGACCCGCCGCTTCCTGGCCACCCAACACCCGACGTTCACGCTGATCACCTTTCACCCGACCTTCGTGCTGGGCGAGAGTCTCATCCAGACGACCCCGGAGGAGATCGGGGGCATGAACGCGTTCTTCTGGAACACGCTGCAGGCCGAGAGGCCCGGGATGGCGAACGCGTGGGTCGACGTGCGGGACGTGGCGGCGGCGCACGTGCGGGCGCTGCAGCGGGAGGTGGCCCCGGGCACGGAGGTGCTGCTGTCGGGGCCGACGCCGGGGTCGTGGGGGCGGGTGGCCGAGCTGGTGCGCAGGCAGTATCCCGAGGTGGGGTGTCGGTTGCAGGGGCCGTTTGAGCGGGGGTGGACGGTGGACACGCGGACGGCGGAGCGGGTGCTGGGGATGGAGTGGCGGGGCCAGGATGAGATTGTGGAGGCGGTGTTGGGGCAGCAGCTGGCGTTGAGGGGGGCAGCTTCCGCTGCGTTGTAGGTGTTGCCCACTGACTGGGTTTGGGGATCGTGGTCTGGTGTTTGAATCGGTGTATACGATAATGATATGTGCTTTTATAATGTAATCTAGGGGCGGGCACTGCTTTTACAGATAATTGGATGTATCACAGAAAGTATGATGAGTTAGGGGTCTATTACTCAAATGCTATTATTGTGGAAACCAAATTCCTTATCATCCCTGGTCCCAGACTTTCTCCTTCCCCCCCCCCCCCCCCACCGAGTTCGCTTCACCCACTGTACATTTCACTGCGACGGTGTGAAGCCAGACGGAGCCTATTTCCATCATTAGCTTTACGGACTCGGGATCTGCCAAAGAATCGCTCACCTTAGTGCTAGCTCCGCCTGTCCGATGAGGATAGTGGAACCTCTTGTCCGGGGTTATAGTTTGATGTCATTTCGCGCTCAGATTTGACTAGTCGTGGACCTGTGCGTGTTGTTTCTTGGTTGCGAGAACTGGACCGCTTCTTGAGGAGAAAAGGGAGCAAGAGACACATGATGTCAAAGGATAGATAGGACGATCGATGTCGTTGTATTCTGATCGGGTGAAGTATATGATTAAGGCAAAATTTAAACCAGTGGAGGTGCTTGTGAAGAGAGGATTGCTGTCTAAGCAGAAGAATTAGGAGGTTGTTCTGTTGATGGACTATCCATGTAATTGTAGCCCCTGGATAGACATTTATATATTCGAATGATCAGTCTACAGACCCCTCGTATATCACAGTCATTACTCCTATTGTTGTCGAGGCTCAGTTCCCTGACTGATTACCGATTGGGGTAATCAAGGCGATACCGAAGGGGCCGGCACTCTGATTGGCTGGTCGGCGCCAGTCGTGTTGTCAGCCTCATCGCAACAACAGTGGGGTCTGTGCTGACACCCAAGCCGTGGAAGCTGAAGCTTAGTCTTAGGTAGTCCCGGCAAGCAAATTGAACGTTTCAGCCTGGAGGCCGGACAGCCCGTCTGTTGGGGCGCAGCGCTCGCAGTCAGCGGGCCCCCGCCCAACTCACCGCTTGCCCAATCTGGTAACCACCTCGGTGGTCGGACGGACGATCCGCGACCACGTGGAGTGGAAATTTGGGTTGTGCCTACAGACCGATATCTCTCCAGGGACTATCTTGCAAGAAAGTGGACGGCGGTCGGGGAAGGGATTACACTTTCACGGTGGTAGGGTACATGCTCATCGTCATAGTGTGCCTTACTGCAGCAAGCCTTGCTGACAGTGTGAAGGTTCCGTCTGTAACTTCCAGACAAGCGCCTACAGTCGTAAATCATACTCGTGAAGCGTTTTCAGGTAGCTTCGCAACTCGAGGAAGGCTTGTTCCAGGGTGCCCAATGGTGATCCATGATATGCATCTGTCGTTAAACAAGTGGTTTGATTGGCTTCTGAAAGTAGTCACATGACTGGAGCTTTCCTGAAGGAAGATTGTTGAGGGCCTGAAGATTCAGGCTGTAGGTCTATACATGCAAACTTGCTTTTCGTATTGTGTATATGATTGACTCAAAGATGCTTAGAATGTACTTGAGAACCATTATAGAAGGCACACGGATATTCCTAAGAAGGTATGTGAGCAGGCTATATTGGAAAAGGTATTTGAAAAAGTGAAAACAAGGGCCCTGGACCCACTAGGGGGGGGTAAAGAACAATTTTGACCAGCGGGAGTCACCTGCAAGTTAAGACAGGAGTGGATTAGGTCAATTGGATTTGGGAACATGCAAGTCTATAAAACCAATACGGTACATTATCGACAAAAAATCAGACGCATGCCGCAGACAAGCAAGTGAATCACAGAAAAATAATACTATCTTTGTTCGCGGAAGCGTGGCATGTTCAACCTTTCCTGACGTTTCTCGTCTGCACACCTACAAGCACCATCGAGAAGACTGTAAACGCTTCTGGTAAAAAGACCAAAAGCACCCGCACTGCCAAGCTTCCAGTGCTGGAGCTGAGGTCTTTCCGCTGCGTGCACACCGCGATCAACTGATATATAGCCCGAATTCCCACGAAGAACAGCGCCAGAAAAGAGCCTTGTAGAAGCTAACAACCGCCACGCATTAGTAAGGAATCCACCTAAGCGAGAAGAAATACACACCGTAGTACCAGCATGAAACGAGAAGGCATCCTTCCGTCGCTGCGATGGCAAGAGCAGGAAACACGCCCAGATCACCTCCAACCCCCATACCAACACCATCAATCCGGTGCCTGTCTTCCAGTGATCGAGACTGTCCGGCTTGGGATGGCCTTCATAGATGTTCAAGGCACCCACAATGGCAAGCGCAAGAGCTGTTGCCATCAACCCTGTGGCCAAAATGACCACCGCCCAGCCGACCCATTGTTTTCCGGGGTTGCGGTAGGCTCGTCTGTTTCGAGAGACTGTGAGCTCATGACTGATTCGTGGATAGGATGAGGAATGCTCACGCTTCATGGAGGAGGCCATCGATTGCTAGGATGAGCGGCGAAATGCCCACGCCCACGATGATATTCGCGGCGAGGCTCTGGCTATCGTGTACTCCTATCGCACCTCCCACGATACGAGCGATGCAGAAGACACTCAGATAGTACCATGCCAGAAGTCCACCTGAGCGACGCGTCCAGACAATGTAAAAGACCAAAGGCAAGAGCACCAGGTAAAGGACCAGATCGGCTACAAAGATGGCGTTCATCGTGCTTGACAACGATATAGATTCGTGGAGAATGTGCTGCAAAGGAAGGTCTGGCTCGAAGTCTGGGCTATAATCGATTGTGATCAGAGGTGGTATTTAAATTTGACGGCCAGCAGCTTTATCATCTCCAGGAACAACTCACTTGAGGCAGCCCGCTGAAGTATCAGCCCCTTGTCATCACTCGCAACTACCGTGTCGGGAATACATTGCGGGGGCTTCATCTGCACTCAGGGCTGTGTGGCTTGGACACCTCAAAGCTCGCTACCAGTTCATCATCGTGCAGGAGTTTTGCTGGCTACAAAGCTTGATCAGCCACAATTTGGTCCGCCAGCAAAGTGTAAATCACAGCCACGTTCATCTCAGGACCTCCGTAGATGTGATTGGTCAGAATTAGTTCATGGGACTTGACAAGGGCTCAGAAGTTTAAGGGTAGATAGAAATCAGCACGATGGCTGCCTAGCCAAAGTCGGCATGTCCGGCCAGTGTACGGAGTAGAATGTAGACTACAATCAAGCCCGTTGTTTACAAGGCTGAGTGTAAGAGTGGAAGGGCGCGCCCACTTGCAATCCAAGAAAAGCTTAGCGTTCGTCGTGTCCCAAAGTCAGCACTAGTCCTAATTCGGAAACCACTTCGATATCTCCCAATTTGGAAGGAGCGCTGACTGCCCGCGGCCCCGCGGCGGGGAGAGCGGCGATCACGGGCACGTCGACTCTTGTTCTCTCGATCCTCGCATCCCTTCATCTTCTTTTGTCAGCCGTCCTCCATCTTCCTGAGCTTGCGTCGGGTATAAGACTTGCCAAGTCTCTCTAACAGGTTGTCGTGCGGATTGCTCACTTAGGAAACCATTTCGGTCCCGCCATGGTCTACCGTGGGAAACCCAGTGCAGCCTGTTCCTCGTGTCGGGCCCGCCGGCTCAAGGTATACCTTCCACAACCATCCCCTCTACCGGAGCTAAGAGAGTTGTAGTGCGATCAGAAACGCCCCTCGTGTTCCTCCTGTCTGCGAGCCAAGCGGATCTGCACTGGATACCGCGATGTAGCCGCTCTTAGTTTCCACGATCAGACTGCCGAAGTGGTCGAGAAGGCCAATCGTCGTCCAGAACCGCATTCAGAATACAACGTATCACCTCAGGCAAATGCGTTCAAAGTTGCATCATCTTCCGACGAAAGTGCTTATGATCTTTTCGCACTGCAGCCCGTGTCTGTACCAATAGTCGATCAAGGCATTGCTTATGTCCTGACCTATCATGTCGGATCGGCTCCTCGTTCGGGATCTGGGCATCTGTCGTTCTTACCCTCCCTATTGCAGCAGGAGCCGAGTCCTGCTGTCATGGCGTCCATAAATGCGATGGGACTGGCAGCACTAGGTAACATCCACGGCAGTCCTCACCTTATCCGCGCGGCACGCCAGCAGTATACTATCGCGCTATCGGAGACAAATACTGCCCTGCAAGATACCATCACTGCCAAGTCTGATGCCACACTCGCCGCGGTTCTTGTCTTGGGACTGTACGAGGTGCGCCCCCCAGCTTTGTATCGATTCCATATTGTCGTTTGCTGACCTTGATTCCAGATCATAACCTGCCAGAGCCATTCTTTGATGGTGCGCTGGGCAGATCACATTGAAGGTGCGATGGCTCTTATTAAGCTACGCGGCTCAGAGCAGCTACGAAGCCCGGTTGGACTCGAACTATTCACACAGTTGCGCGGCCAATACGTGAGTCCATTCCTTTCGTGAGCTACTGATTATGATCTTGATGATTAACCGACCGTGCAGACTTTGAGTAGTTTATACCGGAAGAAGGCGACTCCAGCATGGCTGATAGCCTTGTCAGAGGAGACAGTCGCCATGCGGGGACCACACCAGTCCTCTATGGAACCATTCTTCAAGTATCTGGCCAAGGTCAGCGAGCTGTGCGCACAAGTGGGTCGTAAAGCGAAGACGCCCCATGAAACTATTCAGGAGGCACTGCAATTGGATGCTATGCTGGCTGCGTGGGCCTTGACCGTCGGTCCAGGCTGGCAGTACTCGGTGCTCAACGCCGCAGTCGCCGGTGATAACAAGCCTTCTGAGCAGCATATTTACGGCGATTACTACCATGAGTATCCTGAGATTGGCATCGCTGTCATGTGGAACACGTATAGATTGACGCGGATCGTTGTTCATGAGGTGATCGCTGCTGTCTGCGAGCGACTGTGGAGGCGATCGAGAGGCAACAACAACGAACTCTGGGCGACCATTCGCCAGAGCGCTGCAGTTACCCGCCAGCTAGCGGAGGAAGTATGCGCCGGTGTCCCTTACTTCTTCGGTTCGGCTCGCTCTAACAAATCGCTAACTGAAGCATCCGGATTGATCCGTCTACACTGGACGTTGTTTGTTGCATCCGACTGTGTTGGAAGCACTCCCCGCATGAAAGCCTGGATTACGAGTCGCTTGAAAGAGATCGGTAGACGAACAGGAGTTCAACAGGCACTGTCTATGACAGATTACCTGCTTGGAGACGTGTCTCTCAACTGGATGAAGCAAGAACTGCAGGCTATTGACAATTTTCAGGAGCATTCCCAAGGTCACGTTTCATCTGAACCTAGATTGCTCGTGAATGTGAGAGGGATGAAAAAACACCAGTCGAAGCTGAACCAGTGAAAGGCGGAGCATTGGAAGATTGGTTGGAATCTGGCGTCGGCCAAATCGCGTCCGACGTGACCTGTATCAGTGCAGCGCTAATGGTTAAGAATTGTTACCGTTGTTTATCGGTGCTGAGCTGCGGATGAACACTTCAGGTTATTGATAAGCTCGACTAGGCCTCTGGTTGGAGGAGACCAGCCGTGCGGGGAAATCGGCCATCTTCCCCGCCCCTACTTAAGGTCGCATCTTCCTGCCACTTCAACCCCACGCATCACAAGAATGGAGAAGTATTTATTAAATCATTATATCCTGGAGCGGGAACGAGCGAAGCCGCTGCATCGTCAACGATGGCTGCGTGCAGTAATAGGTCTCATTCTTGTTGGGATGGGCACCTATTCCTTCTTCCGAGTACGATCCCCTGTATGGCCCCAAGTATTCGTTCTGACCGACAAATAGCGCTTCACTGGTATGATACAAATGCAACCAGCCGCGCGCAACACCTCACTGGACGACTTTGAGGCATGCTCGATTGACAATTTCCGTGGAACGGGATACCCCTTCCTTGACACCGCTGTTCCAATGACGGTGGAAGACTTCGAAGATCGCCGCGACCGCTTGGCGCAGGCCCTCGTGGCCGACGGTGTGGATGCTTTCGTGGTTGAGCCGGGATACACATTTAAATACTACGCCAACATCAGCCAACCTGAATGGGAAGTTTGGGAGGTGTGTGCCATGAATCTTGAATGCTGCCATGTGTTTGCGGTCCGCTAAAACCTTAAAGCCAGAAGAGCGCCCTTTCTTGCTCGTGGTGCAACCAGAGCATCTTCCCTCGGGCAAAGTCAAAGCCAAGTCGTCGTTCCTCTGTCCGTCGTTCGAAGCGGAGCGGGCACGACTCTTAGGGATGCCATTCGCTAAGGCGATCGATATTATCCCGTGGGAAGAGCACTGGAATCCGTATGAGACGCTCAAAACTGCCGAGACATTCTCGCGCCTTCGGGGCACACCGCGTCTAATGGTCGATGAAGAGATGCGGGATTTCATTCAGCGTGGGCTCGGTCGGGCTGGATTCCACGTGGTTGGTCTCCAGGGCGAGGTGGAGCGGGTGCGACAGATCAAATCGGAGAAGGAGATTGGAATTCTGAGAGCAGTGAATACAGGAACAGTGGAGGCGGTCCGGCAAATGAGAAAGTGTGAGTTGGAGAGTGAATTCAATCTTGCCACAGAATCCAAATACTAAGTCGACACAGGTCTATCTCCTGGGCTGACCGAAAGCGAGATCGCACGCGTATTGGATAAGACTCTCCTTTCCGCGGGATTGGAACCATTTTTCGACATTGTGTTATTTGGTATGGAATCAAGAACACCAATGGAAACATGGAATTGGGCTGATGACTGCGATAGACGAGAATGCCGCGAATCCTCATGGTGGAACCAATGGGTCAAAGTTGTTGGACGCGGAGACGTTTGTCTTGATAGACGTTGGGTTCGTATTCAGCTCCGCGGTGCGGGGAAATAGTCTAACGCTCTCAGGGCCCATCTGATGGGTTATTCGTCTGACATCTGTCGCACATTCTTTCCTCCGTTCCTAGAACGACCGGCATCGAGTGCTGCTGTACCAGATTGGATGAAGGAGAAACTCGATGTAAACTCCCTTCACTCTTCCTTACTCTTTTGGTTGCATGACACTAACCGTAACAGGTCTGGGATATCGTTTTCGAAGCGCAAACCAAGTCTATCGACCGATTTATCGTCAATGCCACGGCGGCTAGTGTGGATATTGCCGCTCGTACTGTCATCAGTGCAGCGGGATACAGCGATGCGTTTACCCACCGCGTCGGACACGGGATTGGCATTAAGGGTAAGTTCATCTTCCCCGCATGCAGCGTGCGGAGGCTAACATCCACAGCGCATGAGAGTCCATACCTCAACAAGGGCAACCATGAGACGGTCCTCCGAGCGGGGATGACCTTCACCTCCGAGCCGGGTGTGTACCTGGTAGACAAGTTTGGAGTCCGCCACGAGGACATCTTTCTAGTGCGGGAGAATGATACTGCGGAATTGTTGACAGGACAGCGAGCCATCGGTCCATGGAATCCATGAGATGATCGACAGGACACTTGACGGGCCACGGCGGGTGTGCGATGCTGTTGTTGGTCAATTTCGGTGGTGCTGGGGCTGCTGCATTGATTTTGCCACTGAAATGGTAAAGGGGTGCTCGGGTTGCTGCAGTGGATTCTTGGCTCGCTTCCTTCTGCTCAGTAGGGATAGACCATCGGGAGGCCTGAAGTTAATTGAGGTCGTTGCCACGGATGGATTTTTTGTGAGTGTCTCGAAGTAGAGGCGGAATAGCACGCCTAGTGAACTATCCAGGTATGCATCATATCTCTGCGGATGGTAATCGGTGATTTCTAACTTACATTGCCACTCTGTTGTGTGAGTAGGCTGGCTCGTACTAGTACGTAATTGATGCCTTGTAAATCAGGCGTGAGAATGGGCGCCCGAAAATACGGCTAACCACTTCTGTGGAATAGTGATTATATAATGCTTGGCGCACAAAAAGTTTGAGTCCTCCAAAAGAAGAGGGGTGGCAGCAGCAGCAGGATGGATCGACTAAAATCTTAATCCTCTGCGGAAGTGGTAGAGATAGAGGTATAGGACTGGACTGTAAGACAGAAACTAACTTTGATCAGAGTGCTCATCAGAAGTCAGTTCTGTGGATGAAGCTCAGGGCTATGTTTTGCCAAGCATCGCTTGACTCTTGTGCTGCAGCCTTCCTCCGAAATGCTGCGCTGTCAGATTCACGTTGAGTTTTGGTGACCACTTGTTTGATGTCCCAGCAAGTCCAAAATTGGGCTGTCAAACAGACAGCCCTGAATGTAGCTGTGGAAGTCCGAACGCGGAGGGAGATCGGGGTCTGCAGAAAGGAAGGTGACTGGACAGGTATGGATCGGCGCCAATCGGTCGGCAAAAAGCAAGCTAAAAGATTAGGCTGGCCCTGGCAGGGTTAGGTTCCTTCGCCCCGGATTTTTGTCAAACGCACCCCACAATTTTAGGAAGAAAAGAGTGTTGCACGCACGTCTTTTCGGAGCTGGCTGGCTGGCCGGTCCATGGATCGTGGGCTGGTCACCTGAGCGGAGAGTCCCTCCCGGTGAATTTCTGCTTCTTCACCTCCGCGTCGGTTCACTTCATTTCCTTATTACTTGCCATATTACCATGCTGCTGAACTGACCGCAGCAATCAAGTTGCCTTGAAAATGGACAGTCGCAAGCAGAAGAGGTTCGAGCTCCGCGCCTCTGCCTGACCCTCCCCCCCTCGCAAACCATGGCCAACGACTCCGCGCCCATCCAGGGCATCGCCGGCCATTACACCGGCGACAGCTTAGCCCTCCAAGCGACGCTGGCGACCCTGCTCGGCTGCGCCCTGTACAGCGCCCTCGAACTCGTGCTGCTCATCTTCGTGACCTTCCACCACTACGCGGGGCTCTACTTCTGGAGTCTCCTGATCTCGACCAGCCTAGGCATCGTGCCGCAGTCGCTGGGACTCCTCCTCAAATACTTCAAGCTGGCGCCGATCTACCTGTCGGTCACGCTGACGACCTTTGGGTGGGCGATCATGGTGACGGGCCAGTCGGTGGTGCTGTACTCGCGGCTGCACCTGGTGGTGCGCAACGCGGCCATCCTGCGCAGCGTGCTGACGATGATCGTCGTCGACGCGGTCATCATCCAGATCCCACACATCGTGTTCTCGTACGGCGTCATCGCCGACGACTCCGGCAGCCGCTACATGCGCATCTACACCATCTGGGAGAAGCTGCAGATGACCGTCTTCTTCACACAGGAGGTCATCATCTCCGCCATCTTCCTCGTCCAGACCGTCCGCCTGCTCACCCTCTACCCCAACCGCAGCAAGCGCCGCTCCCTCATCATGTACCAGCTGCTCGGCATCAACGCCGCCATCATCCTCATGGACATCTCCCTGCTCGTGCTCGAGTACCTCAACATCTACATCATCCAGGTCTCGCTCAAGACCTTCTTCTACACCATCAAGTTGAAGCTGGAGTTCGCGGTGCTGTCGCGGCTGGTCTCGTTCGTGAACTATGAGCCCGAGCAGGACTCGGCGATGACGGTGCTGAGTTAGGGGTTTCGTGTATCATCGGTTCCGGTAATCGATGATAAACATAATGCATATATCAAAAGTGGGTTGTCTCGGTTTCAAGAGCTGGGGCCTTCAAAACCTCATGGCTGAGGTCGGGCCGGTCGGGTTCAAGATGATCACGATGTCCAGCCACGCGCACTCACCGTGTGCTTCTATCCTAAGTTAGGTTTGGCATATGCTGTGATTGCGTGAGGAAAATGCCTTTTGTCGACAATTCAAGTATCGCTTGATGGTGACATCCATGCTCGACTCACCACCCACTCGCATCATCTAACGTCACCACTCTGAGTTTGAAACGGTAGTTAGACTACCCTTGGGGATTTAACCTTCCCTGCTCAGAACGCTTCCTGCATGGCTGGAGATCAGCTGGCAGGGCAGGGCAGGTCATGGTCCTGACTCGATATTCACAGCCAGGCGTGAAGCGCCTTCAGGATCAGATCGAATTTCAGTTCATTGCTATCTGCCTCTATCGAATAGATGTACTACATTTGTCGTCGAAAACATGGCACTGGGCATTAACTGAATGAAACCTGAGGCAATAACCTGAGGCAATTAGATTCGAAATGGTCAGTCTGTTATGGAGTCAGGAGCGAGTCAGAGACTTAGATACTTGAGTATCACATGAGCACTTGATGAGGTAGCGTTTGACCAGTCTATAAATTGTTGACAGGTGCATCCATGTATAAGGGAGGGAGAGAGACCAGAGACAATAAATACTAAATATAATACATACTTTAATCCGTTCAGGCTAAGTTCTGAGCCGCCTGCTCAGTCCCGCTGTGATTTCCAAATACGGGGTTTAAATTATCAGTACCAATTGTGATAGGCAGATAAGGATGCTGTACAAATGGCGCGTTGACGTGATATCGATCATCGCGGGCGCGTAAACATCTTCTCTGATTTGCGGTCCCGAACACGCTATCAGCGCACCCCGCCGCCAACGCCGGGGATAGAAGCACCTGCTGCCCATTCAGGAAAGGGGCCGCGACAGCCCCCCATGCAGCGGAGGGGGATAACCCAAGAACATTGTATCCTTGTGTCCCTCGTAACACACCATGCTTGGGCAGTCTTGCTTTCCTCCAGTCCACGAATCTGTACAGACGGACGCTGCAAAAAGACGCTGTTCTCTTCGAAATGACCAAGATATTCCCAGACGCAAGACCGTCCCCTCTGTGGGACAAAGCTCTAAAGAGCTACCATGAAGAGCTTGCCGCAGACGATGACTATCGAACAATTTTGCAGACGGGCAGTCTCGAGGAACTCCTGGCGGACGAACAGATCTTGAAACCCTTTGGGCCCCACGGTCGGAAGGCGCTGGAATCCATGAACCGACTCAAGCCGACTTTCAAGATGCTGAATGACTTCTCGGTGGTGCTGGCTGTCTCCCTTGGTGCGGGTACGGCGGTGACCGCTCTGGTTTGGGGGAGCATCCGCATGATCCTAACGGTATCATCCCTACTGATATACAACGGGGCCGATGAGATCCAGTTAATTAACGGAAGGATATAGCTGGCATCGACCGCCGACAACATCTTGCACGAAGTCTCCGATATGCTGGAAGAGCTCAGTCTGACCTTGCCGCGGCTGAAGGCCTACGAGAAAAACGTTCCCATGGACTCCGACCTGGAGGAGTCACTCCTCACAGTTTACCAGGAGGTCATATGTTTTTATGCTCGCGCAATCCATTTCTTCCGTTGTCAGAAACACGGTAGGTCGATTGTCATCCTGTTTCCTTCCTTGCTTTCCTCTGGCCCTGTGTGTGCGTATGCGTCTGCTGGAGCTAACTTTCACGAGCATTCCTACTGCGCAACTCGTGGTCAACATTGCGAGGAGACTTTCAAAAGACTGTCCAACGCATCAAGCGTCTGTCTGCAACCATTGATACCGAGATAGAGTTAACGCGCATGCGGCAGAGCAATCAGAAATACCACGAGGTCCTGGAGTTGATGGAGACTTTGCATCCGCAGCAGAGACAGACCCGGTCGAATTCCATTTTCCAGATCCCGTCGATCGAGAGCCCTCGGTTCTGGGGTAGAGAAGACATTCTCGCTCTCATCGATGAGGCGTTAGTCTCGGGCCAGTCGGATCACTCCTTTCGGTCTTTTGCCCTCTACGGCATGGGAGGCGTTGGCAAGACACAGATCGCGTTGAAATACGCCAATGCTTCACGGGCGAAGTTCGATGCTATATTCTGGGTCTCAGCCGATAATCTAATCACGATCGGGCAGAGCTTTCGGAGAATTGCGGATACCCTGGGGCTTTCGGCGCCGGATACCGAGCATGATGATAATTCTGTCATGCTGGCGGTGAAGAAATGGTTATCCACCTCAGGTATGTTCGATTGAGGATCGTTCAGCTTTGATATAGAAATAGAGAGTGACAGTATTCTACTACCAGAAATTCGTTGGCTCTTGGTGTATGATAACGCTGACGACCTCGATACCATCGGGCATGCTTGGCCTGCGGGCTGTTTCGGATCCATCCTACTCACCAGTCGGGACTCAGCCGCCGCTTTCACTTTTGCTTCAAAGGGATGCCAAGTCAAACCGTTTGACACGGTGACTGGGTCCAGAGCATTACTGAATATTCTTGGCTTCGATCCAGACTCGACTTCCAATCAAGAAGATGCCATGGCTATCGCCACCACGTTAGGGGGTCTCCCTTTGGCGCTGAATCAGATCGGCGGTTTTATCCTCCAGCGGAAAGTGCCATTGAAAAGCTTTCTGAGTTTGTACGAGCGGAACTCGGCCAGTGTGAATGCTAAGGGCGGAGCGAACATGAACTACAAACACACCATAGCGACAGTCTGGGAAATGGCCCTTGATAGACTCTCTGGTGATGCCAGGTTTCTGCAAATGATCCTCTCGTTTCTGGACCCTGACAATATAGATGATGCTGTCCTGAAGGAAGGAGCCCAACGATTGGAAGAACCGCGGCTAAAGTTCATTCTCGACGAGATCGAGTAGGTGTTTTATCAAAAAATTCGCTCGGGTTCCACTGACCGTTTGACAGACTGTTGGACGCCCAGAAAGCACTGTTGCAAGGCGCACTTATGGACAAATCCAGCGATACTGGAATTGTTTCTGTGCACCGGCTTGTCCAGCGAGCAGTCATCCAACGTATGAGCATCGAGGAACGAGAGGCGACATTTGCGGTCGTGGTTGCGATCCTTGCGGCTAATTTTCCGGATACCTACAACGCCGATTTGGGCCACCAAGTCAAATCGTGGACCTACTGCGAAAGAAGCCTACCGCATATCGAGAGTCTAGTTAAGAAAAGCCAGCATTTCAAAATTTCGGAACATAAAAGCCAGAATTTCGCGGAACTCTTGCTTCGATGCTCTTGGTGGGGGTTCAACGCCCTGGATGCCCCATGTGATTACTGACTTCGACGCAGGTATCTCTACGAGCGCGAGCGTTATACCATTGCCCAATCGTACATCACTGTGGCATTGACGAAGTTTGTCAATAAGCACACCCTTGCCTATGCCAGTGCAATCGACCTCCAAGGCTTAATCAACCTTGACATTTGTCGTCCTGGAATCTCCTTGGCGGCGTTTCAGGAGGCTTATGAGATACGCACCTCGTTACTGCCCAAAGACGATGTATTTCTAGCAGCCAACCAAGTGAACCTAGGCCTTGCATACACAGAACTAGGAGAGCTCGAGAAGGGGCGAGAGTACCTGCAGCAGTCCATTGACGTTCGCCTGATGCACAATAGCGACCGTATTGGAAACTCGTATAGTAACATGGCGAGCTTGCTACTCCGCATGGGAAAGCCCGACGAGGCAGAAGCTATGCTCAAGAGTTGTCCGGCGTTAAAGGATTTCTCTGATGAAACATTTCTTCGGACGGGGAATCCGCGCTTTTCGGGGTTAGTACATGCTTCTTCAAGACATCGCCGGACTCCTCGATCTAACAGAAAATAGGGATATGATCTTGCTCGGGCGGATAAGACTTGCACAGGGACGCTTGGATGAGGCACTCAGATTCTCCTCCAAAGCTCTGAGCTTCCGCAAGGAATGCTTGGGCGAGCGTCTCAAAGTTTGCGACTCGCTGTATCAGGTTTCTGATCTGTTCCAGAGAGGGGGAAACACCGGGCTCGCAATGTAAGTCATGCCGAGGCATTTCAATCCAGTCGTTCGAAACCTTAATACTCTACAGCCAATTTCTGGAAGGCATCATTCGAATATCTGGTGGCCTCCCGCAGATCGAAGGAGCTGGTCATCGAGTTCGCGCCCACTATAAACTCTCGGGAATCCTGAAAAGCGTTGGCAATGAGAAGGAAAGTATAGTGCACTTGGAAGAAGCGCGAACTCTCGCAAAGAATTGCGACAATGGCTTCAACGCATCAACTTTAGCAGAGAACGAGGCCCTCTCGTTCAACAATCTGGTTCCGTGGATGTTGTGGTGAGCTACTGGCAATTGACGCCCGCCTAAAGGCCGTTCAGGCCATGTCTCAAGTCCAATGAGAATAGACCAAACCCGTAGTATCTTTCTTATTCGCTCGAGATAGCCAGTGCTATTGACCGGCCAACGACATGAAGCCGATTGGCGCCCACCCCTGTCATGGCTGCATGCGCCAGTCGATAGCTTAGCGTTAGCTTTTGTGGCGGAGAAGTCGGCGAATTAATGAAGCACTTCGGTAATCAAGAAAGAGGGGAACCTATTGCCGCTTTGCGGCACGACTCCCTGTGATTTATGTTTCAAGAATGGGGTTACGGCCCATTTCTGTCGTGACCCACTGATTCTCTTTGGAGTATGCCAAAATGAAAACATCGTCCGACTTTCCATTGAAAAACATACCGCCTCTCCATTCTTCAGGCATTGATACTGACGGTCACTTGGTTAAGAGAGTACTTGAAAGGGTTACCGTCATTAAGGCTGGCCCGTCTGCCTGCTCACTGAAAGACACTGTCCTCCCCAATGGACTGAAGCCTGATGCACACCATGACAGTCAGACGTGGTATGCTGCTTGGCTCGAAACTGAAATACCCAGGCTTTCCACCGAGATATTTGACATCTTCCACACCACCCATGAATATTGCACCGCTGAATCGCACGGGACTCTGTTCACCCGCACTCTTTCGAGCATCGCAGCAGCCGCTACCCAGAACAGCCCAATCACCATCGATCAGATCATCGGCGTCCTCATTGATGACGAGCTACTATCTCCAGAGACTGTGGAACAAAGTCTAAACCACGTTCGCTACTTCGTCTTCACGGTCTTAGGCTATCAAACGACCCTCTTCTCGGCCGTTCCATTGAGTCCCAACTCCGAGCCACCACGTCAACTCCGCATAGCCGAGGACTTCGGATGCTGTAACTACACGCATGCCACCCTAGTCCAGGAAATCCAAGCCTGTGCACGCGAGCCTCTGAATGAGCTGCTCATGGGATTCGGGGTCCTTTTGCCGTCCCGCAACCTCTGTCTCGCCGAAGACCAAGGCATCCGCTCCGCATTCGAGCAGCAAGTCGAAGTTGCCGCCCAAACGTTCAACGCCCACGCCCTTCAATCCATCGCAGGCATCAAGATCAAGTGGACCACGTCTCTCTCCTGCCACCTGGAGTATAACTCCACGACCCGCGAAATATCCGTCTATCGCTTCGCATCATTCTGCCAGTTCTGCCTCGCCAGATACCAAGGGGGCAAGGGCAGGGGAGTGCTCCACGCCTGTGCCACGACGAGCCGCTACATGTGCCAGTGGGCGACCGAGGCTGACACCAATCAGTTTCTCCTGGAGATCCTCCGGTCGTATCGCCTGTTATTTGGCCAGAACAAACAGTCGCGCCGCCTGTTCCGATCTATCGATCCCAATCTCGGCCCCAACGGCAACAGCGGGCGGGACCCCCTCCTGTCGCAGCTATGTGGCACTCGGCTTCTCGACCCGAACTTGCTAGATCTTGGGGAGGAAGAGAGTCCGATCGTAGAGAAAAAGACGTACTGTCTTCCGATGGATTTTCCAATCCTGCGGTATCGCCTGGTGGTCCTGTTGCGGTGCTTGGCGGCGACGGAGCCACGTGGGTGGCGACAGCTGTGGCGCGATAATCGCAATTCCGCCAACTGGCTGACCTTTTGGGCGGTCATTGCGTTCGGGGCGTTTGGGTCACTGATGGCGCTGCTACAGGTAATCTTGCAGGCGGTTCAGCTTTGTATTTAATGGTTATCTGTCCTGATCATGGAGATGAATGGATGTAAAATGCGTTACCTTCATTTTTTTCGTTGCATCAGGGGGTGTACATCCACCATCCAGACATAACGGAACCCATTTGTTTGATAAGTGGGGACGCTTATCCTTCGTAGCAATGCTTCTTATCTCTGCGATGAGACCGACTATACCGCAAGAGGTATAAGAGCAGGGGGGCCGACGCGTGCGGGGTCGAGACAGAAAATGGATTGTCGAGCTTGACTTACCTTCCACCAGGTCAATCACCTTCGCATCAATGCGACGCTGATCACCAACTCTCACGATGTCAGCCACGCCCCAGGTATTCCAGCTCTCAGTGGCTTCGGCCTTCCAGCGCCTCAGCCCACAACAGAAGCTGTACGCGCATTACATGGCCAAGTGAGCAGTGATTCTTCTCAGCCCCGGGCCACTCGATCATGCCACGCACACTAACTAACAGACCTCCAGACCAGCATGGAGCGGCACACGCATCATTCTCCGCCAGGTCTCTCCCGAAGCCAACGGCATCTTCGACCTCATCGTGGGGCTCTATCAAAGTTGCGACGGGGACTGGGATGCGCTCGGTCGTCGCTCTCATGTCGCCGATGGCGACCTCGAACTATTTCTCGATTATGCGGCGAATTTCCTTTCCAACATGGGGAACTATTATGTGAGCGACAGCTACCTGGAAGCGATGACCCTCGCTGACGCGGATACCAGGGTTCCGGGGATCAAAAATTCGTGCCGGCGATTCCTGCCGCCGAGCTAGCGCGGGTCGTGGCTGCAGCAGGCGCGTCGTCGGTAGCTGGGCTCTGGGAATCAGTGCGGGGGGCAATGTACCAAGCTCCACCGGTGACTCTGGGGCCTCCGGGCCCGCTGACGCAGAGCGCGTACTATCCCGGCTGCGAGCCCGAGTCATTTGAGGCAGACGCTGCGTCCGCTGCGAGCGTCATGGAGGACCAAGCCATCCTCCCTGAGAACACCCGACTGTACAAACAGCGGGCCTCGTCCGGGGAGGCGAGCCTGGATATTCTGCGAGCATCACTGCAGGACAGCGAACCAGTTTGTCTCGTGGAGCGCGATCCGGTGGAGAGTGGAGCGACGATCCGCCTAGTGGGCGGGGATCACAAGCACGAGCTGGCGCGTATCGTTCACTTCCTGGACCAGGCCTTGGTCCATGTAGCCAATCCATTGCAGGCAAAGATGATTCGACAGCTCCAGGACAGCTTCCGCACCGGCAATCTCGACGCGTATAAGGATGCGCAGAGGACCTGGGTCGAGGACCGTGCCCCGTCGGTCGAGACCGTTCTCGGGTTCGTGGAACCCTACCGGGATCCGCTGGGCGTCCGAGCGGAGTTCGAAGGTATTGTCGGAATCGCCGATGCCGGGGAGACGCAGAGGCTGCGGCAGCTGGCGCAGCTGGGGGCCAGAATCATCCGCCGGTTGCCCTGGGTTCCGGGCGTGGCCGCCGACAATGGACCCTTCGAGAAGGAAGTCTTCGAGGCGCCGGACTTCTCCAGTGTACATAGTATGGAAATGCGATGATTTCCGCGCTTCTTTGACATGGACATTTGCTAACTCGAAGCCAGGTCTAGCGTATGCTTCGAGTATTGTCTTTCCGGGGATCAACTTGCCCAATGTGAGTCTTTGCACTGTTTATGGTGCGGGTTGCTGACCGCATGCAGTACAACGACATTCGTCAGGAGTCCGGATACAAGAATATCATCTTCTCCAACCGCATGGTGGCAGAAAGCCAGCGGGCAAGGGGCATCCACATGGTCGCTGAAGCGGAGCGGGACACGTTTCGGACCCATCGCTTCCACGCTTATTACGTGTGGGTCGTCCTCCACGAGATTTTTGGCCATGGTTCAGGGCGATTCCTGATGGAGACGGTGCCGGGCCGCTTCAACTTCGACCCCAAGAACCCACCGTCGCATCCCGTGACGGGCGTTCCGATTGCGACTTGGTACCGGCCCGGGCAGACTTGGACAGGCGTCTTCGGGAGTCTGTCAACCACGCTGGATGAATGCAGGGCGGAGCTGGTGGGGGCATACCTCATCGACGATGAAGATATTTTGGCTGTATTTGGGTATACTCCGTCTGCACCGATACAGCCCGAGGATGGTATGGCACCACACAGAGACACTCGCCCGAAGATGAAACGCTCATGATGAGACTAGTCGTGTACAATTTATACCTGCAGCTAGGTATCGATGGACTCCGCGGACTGGAGAACTACGATCCAGACACAAAGGTACGCCGTCTTTGCCAGATGCGAGTCCCGCTCATACTAATTCCCATGAAACAGAAATGGGGCCAGGCACACAGCCGTGTACGTTTGCCCTTTCTTACCGCACTCCCCATCAATCATCCCCAGGAGCCCCCGTTTATCCACCCGCATTCGAGGGCGGCCGAAGGCTAACCCCAGATGCAGGCTCACTACGCTATCTTTCGCCACCTCCTCCGCGACACCCCCGCCCTCTACACCATAGCCTGCGACCCAGAGCGCAAGTCCCTCACCATCACTCTCGACCGCCCTCGGGTCCTCCAAGAAGGCAAACCGTCGCTGGGCCGCATGCTGCTGAATCTGCACATCTTTCGCTGCACCGCCGATAGCACCGGTTGCAAGGCATACTACGAGGATCTCACCCGCGTGGACGAAGAGGCGCTGCAGTGGCGGGCGATTGTCCTCGCCAGACGGGATCCGCCGCTTACGTTCGCGCAGGCCAATACATTCCTCGAGGGGGAGATGGTCACGCTCCGTGAGTACGATGCTACCGCGCGAGGAGTGGTTCGGAGCTGGGCTGAGCGGGAAGTGCATTAAACGGAGGTGATCTTCTGGCTCGTGGATTCTGTCGATCTTTCTGGTTGGATGTATTCTCGGATTCATGGTTCTGTATTTTGTAAAGCAGATATTCGTCGAAACCAGGCGACCAATCACCAACCATCATCCTCTGCCGCGTTACTCAGGGCGAAATTGCGATCGGAAACTTCCGTCGGTACTGGTAGTGACAGACGGCTGTCATCCCCGCATCCCTTATATTCTTGGCTCACGGTTGGGTGTGGCTGGCCTAGTTCCCGGGCGAACGAGCGTAAATGAATCTGGTATGCATGAATGCAGGCGCGTTGCTATCACACAACCCGCAGATCGGTTGATCAGTCGGGATGCCCAATTCCTCGATTACTAGATACGGCACTTAGGTTCAGCAGCATGCATTCTGCGTACCCAGATCCGATAGACCATCCATGAACGATACCACCGACGTCAAACCGACTAAGGGAGGGGATATCCAATCTGTTAGGCGCTGCCGAGAGTGGCAGCAATCATATAGGTGATGGCTACAGTGGATGTATGCTCGGACGAGGCGTAGACAGGAGTCCTGTGAGGACGGTACCTTGGCCTCCGCTAGGCTGGCATCGATCTCGCCACATGTTAGTGTTGAGCGCCCGCCAATGGAGTTGGCCTGTCGCCGGCAGCGCATCGGCGGAGCCGAATTGGGAAGGCGCGCACTTTCCCTCGGAGTATAAACCCCCCCTCGCCCCCAGATTTTCTCTGCAGAATCTCCTGCCCCAGGCATCTCCCCAGCGTACCGATTATCCACCCTAAACATCCGCAACAACGCACGAGCAATCGCATTCCGCGTTCGCATTGCTGAACATTCCAACGCTGTCTTGACTAACACCAACATGTGTAGGTGTTGGATCCATCACCTTTTCCAGTTTGTAATTCTTGCTTTTAACTCAACATTATAACCGCCGTCTAGGCTGATTATAGGAATTTCAAGTCTCAGTCATCCCGTGGGGGGGTCTAACCACTGTGTGTCCCAAAGCGCCCACCCACCTTCGCACCTCCACCCAAAAGATACCGAAACAGCCGGGTAAGTGCACGCATGGCGTCATCCCACTCCCTCTTCTGACAAAGGTTGTAACCCCGTGTAAAATGCACCTCAAAGGTTTCATCCCCAGAGCAACCTCGCGAATGAACCCTGGTCACAGCATCTCTCGTAAAAGCCCCACGAGCAATTTGAATACCATAACCATGAAACCCAACAAGAAAGACTTCTTGATCTTCCGACAGACTATCATCCTTCCCCACACCAAGGTTTTGCGCAAGCTGACCGAGCATCACACTGAGAGTCTCCTGCAGAAACTCATCCCATGCTTGGCCAATCCACCACTGCTCCACAAAGCCTAAATTATCACCCGCCTTATCAGCAGGGATGGGAAAAGTCACATACGCCAGTATAAGAGATGATCGGGATACCCCTCCCTCGAGGACCGACAGTCATCTCGCCCTCCGACCTGGCGCTGTACTGTGTACCGCCAATCACGTATCTCAATTTCGAGGCGTGAATCGAGAACCTTTGCGGTCGGTCGCAGGGATTAGGAAAAGGAGATCCAGTCCATCTTGACATCTGGCGAGCTGCTCACAGGACTTCGGGGTCTTGCTTGCGCACGCCGTCCAGGCTCGCGTACACGGTCTTCATCAACATCCGTAGAATCATGCCTTGCGACCGGGTAAATTCCAGGTGGTCGTGTGCAGCCTTGACCTCCCAGTTCTTCAGGGGCAACGTGATACCCGCACTCGGAGTCAGGGCACTCTCGATTCTTCTTTCATCCTGCAGGGAAGAGCGGGATCGGATGGTCGAATGGTAAGAGAAGAATTCGTCGAACAGCATAGACGACGTCAGGTCTTCGTTGGGCCAGCTGTCCAAGCAGTCTTCCTGCGCAATGTTGGTGTGCTTAAAAACCCAGGGAGTCAAGGTTTCTACGTCCCTCTCTGAAGATACACGTCAGTGATGTCTGAATCCATCGCCAGATTGTAGCGCCACCACCCCCTGGAACCCGTGTACCTTCACGTCCGATGTCTACCACTCGAGGAATCAAAGTATCGAGAGAGACGATCCTGGAAAGGATAGTCGCCGACATGCCAGATCCGATGTGCTGGCAACCCAATTCTAATCTGGATGGGAGTAGGAGTCTACCTGGTTGATTGTGTACTGGTGCACCAACAGACGGTCACAGAGCCAAGCATTGGCGCGACCATGTTGACCCACTCCACCGAGAACAAACATGACAAACAACGCGCAAACCGGCTGCTCCTCGCAGCCCGGTTTTGTGTCGGCTTTAGCTCATACTGGTTTGTTGAAATCGAATTTGCGTTCTCTGCTAGTGTTGGGACTCTGGGAGAGGACCGGGATTTAGTTCCTTGGATGTCTCCGTGAAGAAGCGAGATAATGGAAAATAGAATGCAGGGTAGTATTGAGTCCAAGTAACTGTGGGAAGCCCCATGCATCGGCACCGGACCACTTTCGCAGTGTGGATCAAGCGTCCATCCCCGTCTCTTAGGCCCAGCCTCCTGAATTGACTGCCTGCGGTCGCCATGCTCAGGGAAGACTGTACAGTTGCTTTCGAATTTCCTCTTAAGTCGCTCACCTGCTATGAAGACCACGCACTCTGCAGTATTAGAAGGGTAATCAATCTACGTTCTGATCACAGTTAAGTCCAAACTGATGTTCTGCATCGTGCAGGAGGAAGGGCGCCGTCGAACCCTCGCCCATGGCGCCGATGGTACACGGGACTACCTGCACTAGAGGTTCGCCATTTGGGATATTGGTATGACAAGCTCATCCCGGATGTGCGAGCAGCTTCAAGAATAACTCCAATATGTATTTTAACTGCCTCCGGAAGATCTCTACCTTACAAAAGAGCTCTCGGGCGAACGATTTAAACGAAGGTCACGAGAAACTCAATGCGAATCCGAAGAGACGCCTGAAGATGCACTATCATCACTAGCAAGCAAACATCTTCGTCGTGCTAACATTGATTCGACTCCACTCCTTCCCCCTTACCAATGATTCCAAGAACCGACTCGGCCAATACACATGATACAGCACGAAGAACGGCACTGGATCCCAGACCGTGTAGGTCCCATCCCGCCAGTGCACGAGATGCTGCCACAGCGTCTCGAGCCCACTCTTTACCTCTTCTACACTCCCCTCTCCGGACAAAAGAGTGAGGGCTGGAATGAGTAGGAGAGTAACCAGATCATGCCCGATCCAGTAGTAGCTATGCGTGGACTTCGCCGTCACCACCAGGGGCTTACGCAGGCCCAGCTCCGACTCGAAGCAAGACAGGTACGCCTCCGCCATGGCTGCCGTCTCCTGAAAGAGGACCACCGCCGTGTGCGCACGTGGATTACATTCAATCGGGTAGAGTCTTGCATCCTGCCCTTCACCCTCGACCAGGAAATCGAAGCTCAGATGTCCCGTGAATTCCTCGCCGCCCTCCTCGGCGACGCGCTTGGTGAATTCGAGCATCTTCGTGTTCAGGGGCGAGTTCGCAGGAAGAGGGGCATAGTGCATAAGCAGGTCGGAGGAGGGGCAGGAGACGAAGGCCTTGACCTCTCCGCGGACGACGAGGGAGTGTGTGCAGTACTCCGGACCGGTGATGTATTGCTGGAGGATGTAGGGGTTGGACGGGGAGATGGTCAGCGTCGACAGGTAGGAAGCGGTGGCCTTGGGCCCCGCAGACAAGGGGAGCAGCGTCATCATCTGGGCTCTAGCCTTGTCGTCGACCCCGATCGGTTTCAGGATGAATCTCTTGCTCCCTCCTTTGGGCTTCTCGGTACCGTTCCGTGAGGTGGACTGGGTGAGAATGTCCTCGACTTCCGCGGCGGATGTGCAGCGATGAGACTCCGGGACCAGCAGTCCGATGCTCTGGATGTACTCGATGAAGGCGTCCTTCTCGTGCAACTTGTTTACCACGTCACTGTCGAACTGCACCGCGTGAAATTGTTTCCCCCTTTCCTTCTGCGCCGACCGCATGACTTCGCCATCCTCGATCGCGCCGACGACGCTGCTGCAGCTGATCCATAGGTGCACGTTCTCTCTTCTGATCAGATCCAGCAGCGAGTCAACGTATGGCTTCGTGTTCGCGCCCTGTGGTGAGCTGAGACGGTAGAATTGAGCGATCGCTCGAGAAAAGCGGCCTGGCGACGTGAATGGGATGGGTTCCGTGTCGGCGGCGATGATGCGGTGCGGGGTGTGCTTTGCGAGAAGACGGGCGATCGTCAGGCCCTTGGTCATGGATATCCCCGTCACGAGAATGGTTTTGCGGCGGGAGGTCGTGTGTAATTGTGGCCGTGTGGCTTCATCTTTAGAGACGTAAATGTAGAGAAAAGAGGCAAGAGTGATCGTCGCAGAAATCGGGAGGCAGAGAACACTGAGGAGGATGAGGAGGATGTTCTTCGGCTCGTGGCGGTGGACAATCGCGGGCATGGTGGGAAGGTGGCTGGGCAGGTTGGCCGCGTGCGGAAGACGACTCGATGCGAGGGTAGCGGATGGGGTTTCTTCATATACTTTCTTCTACTACCTGGGATACACTCACTAGACCTTGCTACGGAACATACACATAACGTCATCGTGACTCTTATGAATTCGATGGCTCTTCGGTGGCCGCGACCGGTGCAAGGCAGGGTATTTAGGGACCCTGCGGATAATATGTCCGGAAGACACAGAACACACACTGAACATCGCTTTCATTCCTATCGCAGTACGTGAACTATTGCTTTTCTTCGCCTACGCATCGTGTAATCTCCACACCGTCCTACACTGACATCAGTGCATGTTCCTCAATTTAGGAAGAGGCGGTCTTACCGGCACACCAGTGGGCTCAAAACTGTGAACCAACCGGCTCTCGTATACCAGATCCGGATTGCCGGGACTCTGGTTGAACTTCATCTCCCCATACCTCTTCTGATATTGATTCACGGTCTTTCCTGGGAGACTCTCGCGCTTGACCGCCGCTCCCAATTTCCGCCTCTTCTCCTCCACACTGTCCCGGACGTACTCCAGGTACGGTGGATTTCCAGGCTTGATGACATTGTCAGCAGCCAGGACAGAGCCCGGAGTGATCAGCTTCAGCTCCTCGCACAGCTTCAAATCCGTGGTGTACGCCGGCTTGTAGTGATCCAGAAACATCAGATCGATGTGTTTAAGCAGACTCTGGGCGTGCAGGCGCGCAATGGAGGCATCGCTGGAGCCGACGACCACTTTGACCACATCCGAGAGACCAGCCAGATCAACCAGCGACATGATCACCGCCGCAAACTCCGGGTTCATCTCCAGACTGTAGTAGCGTTGGCCGCCGGCTTTCCGCACGGCGTTGCCGAACAGCACGCAGGAGTAGCCAACATAACCACCGAGTTCAACCTGTGCAAGAATCAGTACAATTCACTCTCGCTGCCGGTCGCGCCATCGACATACCATGACTTTAGGCTTGACCTCTGCGATGAGATCGCAAACAATTCGCCCCTTATCCTCTCCCACGTTCATGAGGTACTTCTTCGTGCGCCCATACTCGTCGATCGCCTGGAGCACCTTCTCCGGGGAGCCGCGAATGTTTTCCAGGTCTGGGTGCGAGTACACAAAATGGAGGAGCTCGATCTCGCGACCGTCGTCGAAGAACCCCGTCCCCTCCTCCTGCGGTGCGTATGCTTTGGCCTGGTCGAATTTAGTCATTTTCGCGGTGTCTTGATGGGCCATGATTGTACCCGGTGATCGTGCGCCTATATGGGAAATCTCCCCACAACATCTGGATCCAAGCCGTCGATGGTGTTGTAATCAACGGGATAAATTTAGTGTGCTGTGTACGTTGCACCAAGGAAAAAATTGCCAAGCCAGCCGGATGGGGGCAGGGTCTCAGTCTGCGAACAGGGAAAACCAGGGAACCTCGAGTCATGGACTGTCGCCGGGAGACTGCAAGGGGTAAAAGCCGGACATTCCAGGCCCTCCTCCAGTGGCCGGAATCTGCCCCGGGCGGGGTGAGAGGGGGAGGAGGTGGTAGAAAGCAGGGCGGAGGGGGGAGGGAGGAGGGAGGATCGGCGTGGGCCCCGATCAATCGATCAGCCCTCCCGATCGTGGTTACCAAGTCTTGACGTGGGGAGGATTACATTGACTCTCTTGTCGTCAATGACTCCCGGAAAATATCAAGCTTATCAAGGTTAGATCTACGGGTCCCCCCTGGTGGTGTAACCTTATCGCTGCAGAAGCGGACGCTAAGGCCGGAAGCGGCGCCTACTCTTGCAGCAATTGGCTTAGTGGGCCCGCTTTTCAATGACTATGTCATACATACCTATGAGACTCCAAGCCTGACTTGCTCCGAACAGTCCCATCCCCCGAGTGAACCCGATCGATCGATGCTCCCTCACTGAAGTTAGTGTCTGTTCGAGGTTGGTACGCTCCATTGACGTGATCGTGGTCTGGTCGCAAGCAGAGGGCCAGTCCGAGGGAAACGTGTTCCACCCGGCAACCTGAGTGGCAGGCGAACAATCGTTATATATCCCAGAACCTCCGTGTCAATATTTGGAAATTCATCAACTTCTCTCAACTCCTCTTTCTCGGTTGTGCTTCATTCAACACTGCTGCAACCATGTCAGATCTCAAGGCTACGGTCTCCGAGACCAAGAACGGCTTCCACGTCGAGGGCTATGAGAAGATCGAGTATGATTTTACCTTCCTCGATGGCGTCTTCGATCCCCAGAACACTCAGTTGGCGGGCCTCTATGAGCGCTGGGGTCGTTGCTTGGCCATCATGGACAAGAACATCTACGATCTCTACGGGGAGCAGATGCAGAAGTACTTTGACCACCACGGTCTGGAGCTGAAGATCCACCAGACCATGATTGGAGAGAAGGCCAAGTCATTGGGGACTTTTACTGAGATTGTCGATTCGATGACTGACTTCGGGATCATCCGAAAGGAGCCCGTATTGGTTGTGGTATGTCCGATCCAACAATCTGGACATTTTAACGCAGTTACTCATTGACGATCAATAGGGCGGAGGATTAGTCACCGATGTTGCCGGGTAAGAATCACCACCAACATAAACATGACCTAATGGCTAATGCACCCATACAGATTTGCCTGTGCCGCCTACCGCCGCAACACGAACTACGTCCGCATCCCCACCACGGTGATCGGCCTCATCGATGCCAGCGTCAGCATCAAGGTGGCCGTCAACTACGGCAACTACAAGAACCGGTTGGGCGCCTACCACGCGCCGATGCATACCTTCCTGGACTTCGGGTTCCTGCGCACGCTGCCCGAGGCGCAGGTGCGCAACGGGTTCGCGGAGCTGATCAAGATCTCGAGCTGCGCGCACCTGCGCACGTTCGACCTGCTGGACGAGTTCTGCGAGCGGCTGATCGCGACCAAGTTCGGGCGGTCGCAGGACGAGACGGGCGAGGTGCGCAGGGCCGCCGACGAGATCAACCGCAACGGCATCTTCGAGATGCTGAAGCTCGAGTCGCCCAACCTGCATGAGATCGGGCTGGACCGGGTCATTGCGTACGGGCACACCTGGTCGCCGTTACACGAGGTGAGAATTCCCTTGAAGCCTGGCGAAGCTAGCAGAAAGAGAGTGTTTGACTAACATTGTGCCCTCGCAGCTGGCGCCTCCCGTCCCCCTTCGCCACGGACACGCCATCTCCATCGACATGGCCTACTCGGCCACCTTGGCCAACATCCGGGGTCTGCTCAGCGACGCCGAGCACCGGAGATTGCTGAACCTGTTCTCCCGCGCGGGCCTGTCCATGGACCACGAGCTCTTCAACGAGGAGATCCTCGACAAAGCCACGCAGGCGATCCTCAAGACGCGGGACGGCTTGCTGCGCGCCGCCGTGCCCTGCCCGCTGGGCAGCTGCAAGTTCCTGAACGACGTCACCAACGAGGAGATGTTCGCCGCGCTGCGCCGGCACAAGGAGCTGATGAAGGAGTACCCGCGGCAGGGGGCGGGGATCGAGGCCTACGTCGACGCCAGCGACACGGGCTACACGATCAACAACCAGCCGGTGGATCCGCAGATCCACGCGCAGCAGAAGATGGTCGACGGCGAGAAGAAGACCAACGGTGTCGTCGCCGATGGGAAGAAGACCAATGGCGTGGTCGACGAGAAGAAGAACGTGTTCAGCGACGGCGTGATGAACGGGTTCCGTCAGATCGCGGCCAATGGATACCCCAATGGGCTGCGCAATTAGAGGGGCATTTGGTTTAGAGAAGCCGGAGTTTTGGGAAGCAGGCTGTTTTGTGCATGATAAACATAAACCATTGTAAGGGAAATGGGGTGTTGCTTAATGGAGATGAATTATATAGGTCAAATACGATAAATACCTAATGCATCAGTTTTCTGCTCGGTTGATCAGGATGATTGTAATCAGTTTCTCTGACCCACGGTCCGTACTAGTTTTCCAGCGAAGAAACCCGAGCACGCTATGAGTTCGGTATCATGCAGTTATTGAAGCGCGCCGCACAAGCCCACAGCAAAACCACCGCCCCCCCCCCAAACAAAGCTCCAGCCCACGCACTCCACCACCCCGTTTCCCACCTACTGATACGCCTGAATCGCACCCGCAAACGCCGCGGCAATCTGGTCCAACACCAACGGCGCCAACGCCGCATACGTCGCCGACAGCTTCTCCTGCACGGCCTTGCCCAACTGACTCGACAGGAAGCTCAGCTGCTCGAGATCCCACTCCACCAGAAAGCTCAGCGATGCGACGCCCAGCAGCCCGTCATCGAACTCGGACTTCTTGGCGACCAGGTTGGCGAGCGTGGAGGCGATGGTGGGCTCGAGCGCGACGAACGCCTGCGCCACGCTCAGGGACTCCGCGTCGGAGAAATTGGCCGACCGCTTGGCGGCCACGACCGCCGCCTTCAGGTCGACTTCCAGCTGGATCGTCTCGGCTTGGATGTGCAGCGCGCTGAGCGACCCCTCCAGGCCGCCGGGGTAGGCGCTTACTGTCGTGTTGAGGGTGGTGAGTTGCGTGGAGATGGTGGTTACGGCGGCGAGAACGGAGGAGGAGTCGCGTGTGGTCAGCTGAGGTTGGGGAGAGGCGGGGGTTGCGGTGGCTGGGAGAGGGGGGAGGAGGAGGGTGAGGAGGAGGATGATCGGAATGGTGAGTTTGAGCATGTTGGTTGGTGGTGGTGCTGGCTTCTTGTGGAGGGGTTGGTTGCACTTGAGGTGGGAAGAGGAGAGGATGTGAAGCGTGAAGCGTGAAGCGTGCTTCACACGCACGAGCAGGGCTGTCAAGACCCTTATATCTAGGGCAATGGTGTCATTGTCTAGCTCATCCATTTTACCCCTCTTTTATCGACAGACAGGGATCTTTCAAGGGCTTGCATCCCAGTGCCTCAGCTCGAGCAGAAACCCACCTCGTCGGACATCAATTGCCACTTCACTCACGCAGCACCTTTGCAGAACCAGAACCCTCGTCCTCAACTTCTCGAACGGGTACCTTTCCCGTCATTGCCCATTGCCATTGCCGATCCCAGGTCGCCCCCGCGCAGGGACCCTGATGATTGGCATCCCGCATTGCCGGATCCGGACGAGTTAATATGTGACAGATGTGATAAGATCCCCACCCCGCATGTTGGCCGGGTGGATATAGATTAAAGGCTTGTGCTTGCTTACTTGTGCCTCGGGAAAGCCCTAATGTGGTTGGTGGTCCTGTTGAATGTGCCAGGGGACGATCGCATCATTGCGGGTGGGTTGGAGCATGTGCTTCCGAGGTACAATACAACTGCTCTTCAGCAATCGATCCATTCTTCTACGAAATCTACGGAATACTCCATCGGCTGGATCTGCGCCATAGTAACAGAATAAACCGCGGCACAAGAAGTTCTTAATGAGAGCACGCGGCACCGACTCTATGTCACCGGATGACACAAATAATTATACCCTTGGCAGAATTAGATACCACAACATTGTTATCGCTGTCTTGCCTGATGATGAATACAGAACCGCTCCGCGACCACGGTAGCCACGAATATGCAGAACAGCTTCCCCAATTTTTGAATGGGGTTACTTACTGGTTTGGTATCGGTGGCGGTGTGGAAAGCGAAAGGCATAACATTCTCCTAGGCGATATTGTAGTCAGTGCGACCCGGGAAGGTCAAGGTGGTGTATTCCAATATGAGACAATGCATAATCGGTTCTTCCAGTACACTCAACCCCTCAATCAGTCCCCGACAACTCTCCGCACTGCATTGACGGTACTGCAAGCTCAATGCTAGAAAACTGTAAACCAAATTAAGAGCGCAGTCACAGTTATTTTAAACCGAAACACGGGACTTCAACAAGAGTATAGGCGGCTGCCGGGCAACGCTGATACACTGTTCAGAGCTGAAGTGACCCATCACTCCAAAGGCCGTGCGAGACTGTGCTAACAATCAAGCAAATATCCTCCAACGGCGCGCGTGAACTACGAATGAACCCAACCCAGCGATTCACTATGGGCTCATCACCTCTGCAAATCAAGCAATGGAAAATACTATCCGGTGTTTGAAAATGGAGGCCGCAGGGTTGATGAATCAGTTCCCTTTTGTTGTAATTCGCGGGATATGTAGCCATGCAGAGTCACATAAGAACGAGGAGTGGCAAGGCTTTGCAGCAATCACAGCAGCTGCATATACGAATGATATACTTCGAACCCAGTATTCTAAACCTATTTAGTCTGGATAGCTTACTGCGTTTGTATTATCTGAATATACTTCTATATTTACACTACAGTATTACTGTCTGGTCAGCCTATACCGCGGAGGATGGCTGCGATTTGGTTTCTCTGCGGGTGTAGATGTACTATAGTCTGAATTTGCTGGGAAACAACTGCTATTAGTTTATGCTTTCATAAACTTAATATAACTCAGCCTTGTAAGTAATCTATTTCTATAAAATAACTTGATTACTGTACATGATTTATATCTCACCATAATATCTTTTTTAGTAGATTCACATAGTCTCGATACTACTGTCATTATAGTCATATCCATAGTCTCGATGATACAATAAACTATTATAGAAAATAGAAACTACGGGGTTTTAGCTGGGTGGAAGACTATTAAATTAGCATCAGCAGCAATCCCATCCTCTTTAAGAATCTGGTTCTGAATTTCTTGGGTTTGGGTGTGGGTATCTGGTGAGTAGGATTCTTTAAATGACGAATAATCTCATTAGGCCAAAGCCCATATTGGCATTGCTTGCAAATTACAATTCCACTTCAATGGCTTAGATAGGTAACAGTAATAATAGCATGACTGCCACCAAGGTTGATAAAACGTGGCACTTCGAGGTAATCCTGATTCTGCAGAAGGGGTAGTCTTTGAGTCGACCACCAACGAGAAACTAGAAATCGAAATCCGTGCCTAACAGGAACCAAAAGGAACTTTTCCCAACCTCCGAGCTCATACTTACTAGCTCCAACCCAGCCACCCCCATTGACCCCCAGCAATCCCCCGTTCTGCAAGTTCCGAAAACCAAAACATCCCTCGCCGTCTCTTACGATCCTCCATTTTTGCGCGTCTTCATCATTTCTAGGTCTTAATTTCACATCTCCGTCGTCATTCACAACTGTTAGGGTCTCTTCTTCAGTAATGGAGAGGCGGTAAATCCCCGGTTGTGGTAGCCCTAAATATTTCTTGGATCAGCCTGTGAGCTCAGTAAGCTGCACCTTCACTAATTGAGACCAGCGAATGCTCCATTGCACGTTGTGTACGCTACCTACCAACAACTATCCTTCCAAGTATTTCTTGAATAATCCCTAAGACAGTCTTGTAATTCTCAGTTCTGCCGGGGAATTTGCACATGGTTGAATGATTTCCATCAAGAATAAGAACATCCTCGTTGGGTATATTGAGTCTTGCTGAGCCTTGTGTGACAATCTGTATACTAATGTCAACGAGGATTGCCTTTGGCTCATGTAATTCAACTTCTTGGACTTACTACATCCCGTGAGTAGTCCCCACGATCGTTCTCAATTAGTGTGTAAATACGGATATTTGCCCCGAGAAAAGCGAAAGCGTTTGAAATCTCTTGGAGCACCTGAGATCCTTCTCTTAACTGTTTGATGAGATTGGTATTGGTTCTTCTGCCAAAGGATGCAGCCTGCAGCATGTCTGCACAAATCGAGCCTAATGACGCGACTTCTGATCCTCTGTGTGGTGTCCCAATGAAGAGAATGCCTATAACGCTGTCGAGAAAATCTGCACAAGAAGCCTGCTGACTTCGTCGCTCATTGGCATACATAATTGCCTATAAATGTCAGTAGACATACATATGCTCAAAGTGTATACGGATAGACCTCAGTAGGGCAATCAAGAGACCAGAGAAGAACCGCTCACCTTTTTGACAATGATGCCACCAAGACTGTGGCAAACAAAGATTATTGGGCGACGTTTTTGCTGTTCTGCGTGACGTTCGCGACGTACACGCTGAAGAAGCTGCTCCCCGAAGGTTCTGATGTCGCCAATTGATTTACTTTGTGCTACCGCAGAGTTGTATCCGAATGACAAAATCCTCGCCCCGGGAATGTCGGCAGGCAATAGATCTTTGAGCCAATTGCACGGCGCGCCACTATTAGGTTTTGCTGGTGCCCAAGTCCAGGCGTCTTTGTAATGACCATCAAGTCCGTGAACCGCGATAATATCGACAAAGCTTTCCGCACTCTCAGGTTGAAAGGGGAACAACCCAAACTGTTCCACTATTGGAGTATCACCCATATTTCAAGTCTTATGACGAGATGAGTGGCTCGTAATAGTACTGACACTTATTATTAGAAAGATTGTAGAGACTGCTTGTCGGGGTTGACAGCCCGTCGATTAGGCAAAGAATCAGCGCTGATCTCCATTAGTACTAATGCTTGCCAGAGGCAATATCAATCTGGGCACAGGCGGGTTGTCCCTCATATGTATCTTAAGCAATCAAGATAGTACCACGGCCGAATACCATAAAAAATTCTAAATTGCCCGGTTGGCATAAAAGGATTTTTGCCAATTCACCTAACAAAGGATTATTTTTGATTGATTGGTTGGTTCATCTTGTAATGACCTAGTTATTTTACAACTAGGATCCGCGAAAAGCTTATAGTCACCAACCATGCTACAACAATTTTCATTGAAACTCCTAAAGTCTTCTTGTAGGATTTTTGGTTCGAATCATATACTCTCTGATTATTCTCGTTCTATAACTTTTCTTCAACTCAAATGCCATAATGTGACATCATAATTAGAAAGAGACAAGGACTCTAATCTCTGGGCGGATCATCTTGTATTTTACTCGGTCACTCATTACAAAGAGATCTGGGCTGAACTATAGTATGAGACAAACTTCACTGAACATCGGCCCGTGAAAGCGAATCCGAAAAAGCACCTGTGATCCCATGAGCCGGAAAAGGTCGCGAATTTGAATTATTCGACCAGGTGAGCCACACATGGAACAGTCACTCATCGGACAGATTGTAAGTAGTTCCCAAATTCTCGAGTGCAGTCTGCTATGTCTAGATCTTTAAGTAATATAGCTAGATTAAATCTATTTTTATAGTACTATAGCGACTGACCTCACCCAAAAGCTTCCTATAGTACTTTAAGTGCTCCCGGTCTTCTTGGTTAGGGCCAGGATTGGATCATTCATACCGCCGGGGCCTTCTAGATACTAAGTATCTAATCTAGTCCCCCAATTAGCCATTATCTACTGTCTTGAATTTTGACCAACTGCGTTGTCATACACATGTATACTTTCCAGAGTTCATCAAGCATAGGCTACTCGCTATTCACCTACATTGCAATTTTTGGAATTACTTCTCATTGACATCGGAATCAAACAAAGAGACTTGCCTCGTTGACATCAATCTAAAGTTTGGTATCGTATAGATAGTATGGTTTAGCCTGAATTTGAACACGAGGGCCTGGACCTGTTATACCAAAAGAATGAAGAGTCTAATTTCCTTGAAGGATGTTCCAATTTAGACAAGATTTATCGTGCCACGTAAGGTGAAACTGATCATGTTATTTCTATTTGTCGCAGAGCTTCTGTCATCCGACCATCAAGCGCCCCATCCTACCTATTTTCCGAATTCCTATCATGGAAACAATAGCCTGGACGTCCTGTCATGCGTAACTTTTATCATGTCCAAAATTCAAGCACAGCTTGAGCATGCCCCTAAGTATTCTTGCCCATGGATACAACATAACCCAGCGGTCGTGATAGAATCTCATAGGCGGCGCGTACCCAAGATCATTGAATTACTTTATTTTCTAGGTAAGTGGTTACATGGCTGGTCTTCCTGGAAGAATGAGTATAAATTTGATGACCTGAAGCCTGTTGCACCGACAGTTTTTAACTCCCAATAACTATCCATAGTCATTCAGATCTCATGGAAATGAGAACATGCAGTCACAAAATGTCGACGACTTGGCATGTGTGCCAACCCTCTCTCCGTCACCGTCTACTTTGTCGGCGGCCGCGAAGGTCCGCCCGAAAGGGCCGGAGTGTGGAGCTGCAGGCATAGGACACGCAGGGAGCAACTCCGACCATGTTCAAAATGGCTTGCCAATTCGCCAGGCGGATCCTAGTGCCGATGTTCTGGTGACGGTTCAATCTTTTCAATCTTTTCTTTCCTTCATTGTTGGCATATCGATCTTTGGTGCATCCATTTTTGCCACCATTATCGGCCAATTGCAGGACCCAAGACAACTAAACCCCCATGCGTACTTCTCTATGCAAACAGTGAGAGTTTTTGTGGCCATAGCATGGCTTCTTTTCATCGCTGCACTGGGTGTGGCGGGGTTCTCGTCGAGTGTTCTCATCCTCGAGCAGGAGAGGAATGCCAATTTGACGGGAGATTGGCGCAGAAGATGGAACAAACCTGGTTTAGTTGTCTCACTCATGCTACAAATTCTTGTCATTGGAGCATTCCTCTTTCTATCTCTAGGCCTTGTTGCCTATACTGCAGCTGTGGGGTGGACTGCCGTCGCAACTAGTATTGCGGCGGCGGCTGTTGCGATATTCCTGCTGGTCAAGCAATGCGGGTTAGTGTTACTACAACGTACACAAGGGAACAGACTGACAACACTTTGACAGAGACAAGCTGTGATCTAATTTTCTTTTCTCTTTTTTCACGACTTTCTCAAGAAGCAGTGTGGAATTCCTGTGCAAATATGTGTCAGGCATCTCCAAGGACAAGACTTTCCAAAGCTTTATCCAATGCTGAAAGGTACAACATCGCGTATGATTCAGGGGGTAAGCTTTTCACCACTGGCACAAGGGAAAAGCGGAAACGAAAGAAGAAACAAAAGTTATCATCGCAGTAAGGAACGAGTTTGAAACAACCGGGCTTTGTACATCAGTACCAGGGAGATTTGCACGGCACATGAATAAATTCCGTTCATCCGCGAAGCAAGAAGTTGATTTATCCTCCGAAAAGTAGGCGACGGTTTTTTCAAGGTCTCCAAGTAGGAATGAACCGGGACATGCGTCAGAATGTGTTGCCCATTGCCCAAAAAGTTCATCCGCTGCATTGGCCCAAGCAACTGAACAGGTCCAAGCATCCTGTAGGTACCATTCAACAGCACTGTGAGGATTACCCTCCAAACCTGCTAGGTGTTTCCAGACTAGCATAATGGAAGCTATCCGCCATTTGTCCCAGTGTGATTGTGAAATATTAGAATGAATCCCATGGAGAACAAGGGTCATAACATCCAGGGCCAGGCCATGGTAATCATAAGTCTTCACGACTTGTCGGTGGTAATAGCCCCCGCATGAGCTCATGTCGTATCGTCTCGCTTCGCCTCGCATTCTAACGGAGTTCAAGTCTGTTTCCAGATCCGGTTCCAGAATTTTACCCAGCCACCTCTGGGCAAGATCTGTTTCATTGTTGGATGCATAAATAATTGTCATCAGCAAAGCCACCCTGGCGTGCATCATGACGAGAAAGCATGATTCCAATCCTGGTAGATCGGCCTGTAATGCCTGCTTTTGGTCTTGTAGCACAGTCCAGTAAGTCTTCAGATATTTTAGAAGCTCATCTCTGTCTGAAAGGGACTGGGACAGGGAGCCATAATGGTCTATAATGTAAGACATTATTTCAGGCGGTGCTGTTCGCCAAGTCCAGGATGATTCGTTGCTCACCAAGAGTTTTCGAAAAAGCTCTCGCGCTGTTTCTAGTGAGGTATATAGAAACCGATCCACCATTCCCAGAAGTATGTATGAAGGAGGGTGAGTGATCAAAAGCACGGCATCAATTGGCATATCAAGCTGGGTGTAGGCTGCAAACATATCCATGTTCCAGTCCAACTGCTGATTGAGCGTAATACCATCCCTGCCCACGCAAGCTTCATAGCGCCTTTGGACCCAAAAGATTGCGTTCTTGGTGTAAAAACTTTGCAACCCCACTGTTCTCTCCCTTGATCTCACTGCTGCTCTGGTACAGGTGATTGATGCATTGCAAGAAGGGCTAGTGATGCCAATACCCAACAGGGCACCGGAAGTCCCTGGATGATTCTTTCCCGAGACTTGCTTGCGCGAGTTCAAAAGCCAGCGGTACCATGACTGCGAGAGCTCAGGATTCCACGTCGCCAATGCGAATGCGTAATCCCCGATGATTTGCAGTACACGAGGGTGTTTATGAGGGACTGTACATAGTGCATGACATAGGCTCCATTGGAGCATATAATACCGGGTGACGTCGGATGGCATATGGTCCCGTAGGCGATACAACTTTTCCCAGTCTGGAATTGAAGCGGTTCCTGGAGCAAGTGCTCTGGTCTCTAAAAACCGGAGCGTTTCCTCAGCTCTACCCCATAAGAACAAGCACCACCCGTACAGGGAGTTCGCCGAGGTTTGTATCCACGAAGAAGGCATAGTCACCCGTGAGAGTTCTAGTAACGATTCGGGAGCTGAATTGCATTTTGAATTCGAGGCATGATAGCCGAAAATAAAGCCCACGTGAGGCTCCAGCTGGGAATTCTGTATTTCAGGGGATGTGGAAAGAGAGGTTCTATACAACTTTTCCAGGACCTCATGTGCGAATGCTTCTTTCTTCTTCCCTAGCCGCTCGCGAGCCCATAAGTGGACGAGAGGCACCATGAACATTTGATCGCCATAGCCAGTACGCTTGAGGAAAGAATATGACAGTAATGTCTGTATCGACTCATGTAGGGCATTATCTGTGGAAATTAGCTGCTGTCAGAACTTGTCGGGTGGGACATATGACCTTTCCCAATTGAGAAAGCCTGGAGAATAGCTTTATTCAGGTTTTTGCGGGCGAGAAATCCACATGAGTGCAATATTTCCAGGGCATTGGAATCTTGCCATTCTATGGCCCGGTAGGAGATTTCCCATGTAGTCAAAACCGTGTCATTCCTGTATCCCCAAGCAAGCCGCGCCTCGAGGAATCCAGCCAAGCAGTCCGACTGGGTTTTCCTTCATCAGATCCAGATAGTGCTCAACTGTCTCATTTTTGTTGACTTTCAGGTAAGACCCGGCTTGCGCGATGGCCAATGGAAGGTACCCGAGAAGATTGCTAAGAACCTTCGCAGACTGCACCTCTAAGAAAGCATGAGTATATTGCTCCGTATTAAGTTCATGCATATAGCCTCACCTTCGCTCTTGGGCTTCAGAGCTAAGCCTGATGTCTTCCTTAAGAGGTCGACACACTCGGACTCATCCATCTCCAGCACTTCAACTGATTTCCAGGTGACAGTAAGGTCAGTTCTTGTAGTTGTGATTAGCACCGAGCCCCAGGGTTTCACTGGCAACAACTGGCGAAAGTCATATAATTCAAGATCATTGACGTTGTCGAGTATCACCAGCCAGTTTCTATTCTCGCTATAGGATAACCACTGGCGAAAGGCATCCCTCAGGCGTTCGAATCTGCTCTTTTCGTAGCCGCTGTCGTATCTCCAGTCTTTGTCTCCTGGTAAACTGAGTGCCTCCTTTAGTGTTTGAAAGCGTGGATTATCGGTCTCGAATCCGTTTGTTCTATAATAGCTTGTTATCGACTTCAGGATATCGCGAATGCTATAAAATACTGTCTCTTGAGTCGAGCCATCGATCCAGAACGTAGAGCTAAAATTATGCTCGGTTCGATAGGCAAACTCAAGCGCGATCTGTGTTTTCCCCACGCCTCCTAGATTGAACAGGACTAAGGACTTTTGACCATCACTTGCATCGCTGTGCAGCAATTCAGACATATTTTTAAGAATATACTCCCTTCCAGTGAAGCTAGGATTCCGTATTTGGGGAAGTTCGAGGCCAACTCGGAACTCCATTGGTATTGTACCTATATTAGTCGAGCCTTCTTGGAATCCAAAACTATCACAATGGGCTGATCCCGTTGACGACTTTTTAGACGCTTGGATGGCTGCGTTAACTAGAATCCGGAGTCGTTGACCTATGATCTGCATCTTGGCATTTTCGATCGAGTCATATTTGACAATTGTTAAATGATCGCCATCAAACCGAATAGGTTCCGCGTTGACAGCTCCTGGAACAACTGCGGAGTTCTTTGGAACCATCTATGATGAAGATAGTCAACAACCGTGAATAGATTGAGCTGGAAGTCATACCATTATACGAGGTCCTAGAGAATGAACAGGCGTTGGAAGAGTCTCATAGAAGAATACCGTTTCAAAGTCTCCACTAATCGCGTTGTAGGTATCTTGGAGTTCATCAAGAAATGTTGAAAAACTTCTTATATCGTCTAGTAATTTGTCGTCTGCATGTTTTCCCTCACAAAAAGCCATTATTCTCACTATAATTTTCAGAAGAGATTTTTGGTCAGCGCCTTGATGCGGGGTTCCCATGTACAGAACACCATAGGTGGAATCCTTCACAGCCTTGTGGTGCTCAAGGTGCCCGCTGCGCCCCCTATCGGCGTACGTCAAAGCCTATTATGAATACTATTTAGCTTCAATGGGCGCGAAATGATATTAGAAACAAGAAATGACTCACAGTCTTTATGACAAGACCCCCAAGACTATGCCCAATAAAGATTATTGGTCTATCGGCGGTCTGAATATCAATGCGTTAAATTTGCAGTCAACATGAAGCATCTGGAACTACTACCTCCGTGTCTCTCCTCAAGTCAGATAATCGACTGACTAGACTTCGCCCATGATCTGAGATTCCGGGAGGGGAAACACTTGTGGCTTTAGCGTTTCCTTCATAGCTAAAAGATAGGATTCTTGCGTTCGGAGTGAAACTGGGAAGGAAGTCATATAACCAAAAGGCACCGTTCTGGGCCACCCAACTATTTTTCCAGTGTCCATCCATCCCATGTACAGCGACAATACTAGGAATAATGATTAGGACCGAGTATTGAAAGATATCCCAGGAAGTTTTATACTCACTCTACAGATGCATTGCTGGGGCTTATGAGAGCACATAAGCCAGGTGGCTCGATGCATTCATTCTCTCCATTATATACTCCCTGCTGTGCGTTGCCAACATCCACGCTGTCAGCTCATGGGGGGGAACTTATACTTGGTCTACCTACCCAGAGTCCGCTTAGAATCCCAAAGACGGGAGTCATTGCGAGGTATCAGCTAGGCACAGTAGAAGAACTCCTCTGCGTGTAGACAGCTGCCTGGATTTGCCAGCGAGTTTACGAAAGTAAATAGCCCTTTGGGATTCCCGGATGTATTATATCAGCATTTGATGTAAATTAATTGTGTCTTGAAAAGTCACTTTCACATTAGAAACTTAACAGCAGCTTATATAGGATCCTTATTATCAACTCGGTGTTTGACTGCATAGTGAGGTCATACTCAGTCTTCGGCGATTCTATTTGCGTTTCTCGCTCAATTGCCACTAAGTAAATTGAAAAAGAATTGAACCAGTAACTGATGGTGCAGGTTTTCATCGCCTTTAGACGGTTAGGTAGAGCGATCCGGCGGTCGCCAGGTCAGTGATCCAAAGGTTAAATGTCGTGTAGAATTATTCTCGACTGCTCTTTTTCCCAGAGCTGGTACGGAAGGGTATAAAAGAGGAATTAGATTTTTTGGTGAAATAGTCTGTATTTCCTATGAACAAATAAACTCCTAGATCCAAATTATCTGAGTCGACAGTAAACATGTTCTTAACAGACTCTTGGCCGCTACACCCTAGCAGGGTAGAACACCCATCGGTCGCGTTACGGGACTTGCGGAAGGAAAATTATTGTTAGCAGGTTGGACCACTCATCCTTAGATTCACAGGTGATTTAGATTTAATTTTATGACCGAAATCATAAGTGGCGGAGTGGTATCCTTATATCTAGAACAAAGAAGTGCGGGGACAAGGTTTCTGCCCAATTTTGAGGATCTGCATCTGGAATTCGCATCCAATGTTGAGACTACTTACAGATCGGTCTAGACTTAATGATATTTTCGCCGGCAGTGATTTTGTGTCATCAAGCCGATAAAGGCAAGTTCAGCAACTCAAAAAGAAAAAAAAAAAAAAAAAAAAAAAAGACAAAGCTTCGGTCGGTCAGTACATATCCTATCAAGTAATGCTGAATATAAGCACGTGATGGGATAGTAGGCTTCAGTATACGCATATCAAGCTCGTCTGGTAGAAGAAAATCCATTTTGTGAAGGAACAAATTGGACTTTTCTATAGGATGGTTATACAGAGCTTCTACCCTCACTGGTGTGATCTTTTCAGGGGCCAACTGCTTAGATTTAGAGGGCCTCAACACTGCCGAAGAATTAAACATTGGACCTCAATTGAAAGATTGCTTATTTACTGCAACCAGCAGCTTGGACTATTTAGAAAGCGGTAAACTTTCCATCATTCAGAATATTGTGGATCAGATCCAGTGCTGGTTCAGCTAGATTAAGTACCATCTTTGTTGTGTAACTGCTACCACTGGTCGAACAAACAGCAGAACTTATGTCACTTATATCTGCAGATTGATTCCGTACACCTTGCCTGATTAGACTTCTCGGTCTTGATCAAGTCTGGGTTTTTTAAGGCTGAATTCCATGATGGAAGCTGATATGCGTCCATTATGCGGAGCAAATTGTGGTCCTAGTCAGCCTATGCTGCTCGAGCGAGGACCGTACAAATTATCTGTCTGCTGTATTCCATGGCCAAGATACGCATTTTATGTTGTGATTCATCAAGTTGCGCTTGGGCAAGCGACTCCATCTTCCTCATCACATTGAAATCTAGTTCTATTTTCTTTTTGTCTACCCGTGGCCTCGGATTCCCAAATCCAGCGTTCCCCTCCAAAACCATATGACCTAGAATCTTCGCCCCAGGTATTGAAATCTTTCTTCCATGAATCGGTGAGCATACCACCGAGCCAGTGCATCCGCATCCCTCACTGCTCCAAGGGAAACCCATAGCCGACCAAAAACGCCGGCTCATCGATGCTATGGTGCTGGTAGCTGCACTCGATCGTCAGCCAACATCTCGATCACACCACCTCATCAACACATACCTAAGCACCCCAACCGCACCCGGCTCCAACATCATAGACAAAGGAAACTCCATGGGATAACCCAACCAGCGCTTCGTGAACGCGCGCAGCGTATGCCCATGGGCAATAAGCACCACATCGGCAGGCTGCTCGCCATGCATATTCCCACGGTGCAGCTCACGGATCTCCGCAATCAGACTATCGATTCGAGCCGTCACATCCTCTGGCGACCTGCACGCACTGCGTTAGCACCCCATCCCTTTTCCCCCTCTCCCCAGACTAAAAACATAAGGAAGGAAAACATACTCGCCCCCCTCACACCCATCGCGCCAGATATCCCACTCCCGCTCCCCATCCAACCCATGCTCCTTGCGCAGGGCCCGGATCTCCTTCGTCAACAACCCCTCATACAGCCCATACCCCCACTCGGCCAACCGCTCGTCGTTCTCCTGCACCTTCCCGGCGGCCCGCAGCGCCTGCCTGTCGGCCTCGGGGAACGCCAGCTCGAAGGTGTGCACCGCCCGCCGCCGGGGGCTGACGAACACCCGCGCCAGCTTACGGCCCGGGTCCACCAGCTTGCCCGCGCCCACGAGGATCTTGCCCGACGCGGTCACCTGCTTGATCCCGTCGGCGGTCAGCTCGATCTCGCTGGTGCCGGTGTAGCGGCCGCTTTTGGACCATTCGGTTTCGCCTGGTTTTGTTAGTTTGTCGTGCCGTTGGTTGGGAGTAGGGGGGGAGGTGGAGGGGGCCGGGGGGGGGGGAGCTTATGCCCAGCGGGGCGATGAACTTACCGTGGCGGTAGAGGAAGACCCGCGGGGTACCTGCGTCCTTGTCGGGCATCTTGTCTGGAGCGGAGAGGGGTCTAGTCTAGATATCTAGATGGATGGATGTGGTGGTTCAGCTGAGGCTCAATGGGTTACGATGTCAAAACCTGGGTTGGTTTTCGGACGGGCGAGATTGGTTGACGCCATTGTTGGGCTTGTGGGGGCGCAAGGGCTTTATGTAATCCATGATCATGGATCCGACTGGAGTTCGAGGTTGAGTGGGGTTCACCGGAGGTTGTTTGTGTACTAGCTTACTCTGGGGATCATGGTGGGCAGGATGCATTGTGGTTTGTGAAATCGATTGACAGGATGTATTTCGGGGCTGAAGTATAGATAAGGTACAGTCGTAAAAACTCCGAATTTGGGATCTCTGCATGTTGTTCATGCCAAAATCATGCAATGGAATTTTCCACAAAAGTGGGGGCAGGAGGGTGCAAACTAGACAAACAGGGGATTCGGATGACAGCAATGAGGCAGCCAAGAAGGGATCATCACTAGATGCATCTTCGGAGCAAACCCTCTGCTACTGCCTTTCTCATTTCGGCATGGTTACTCCGAAGAATCTGGACCAGGATAGACTCAATATTCTGTAGAATAGGCCCCTGGCTCTGTGTGAGCACTTCTGTCGCCAAAAGCCTTACTTGTACACGGTTGGATTGCTCAAGCAACCGAACTGTGGATCTGAGGGCCTCTACAGGTAGTGCCCTGTTGCCTGACTGTAGTGCCTCGAGGACTAGTTCATGGTACTGTTCATGCTCAGGGTTGAGGAGTGCTACTATCACGCGGGCTGGGCATTCTGGGTCAAAAATAAGCAGAGGGACCAAGTGAGATTTGCAGTTGAGTAATTCCCATTGCAGTAGCTTATCTTCGAATTGGGATATTATCGCTGGGATGGCAGAATCGCTGCTGCCCACAGCTAGCTCACTGAGGCAATGCGTTATAAGCCTCTGGTGCGCTGCTCCGACCAAGTCGCGTGGTTCAGCTTCGAATTGTTGAAAGATCCCTCTGACCAACTCCCCATTCGACGCCTTGGGCTGCCAACAGTCCTGCAACAGACCCACAACGAAGCGCCAGAATATATTATAGTGTGCATTATACTTTTCTGTCTGCAGAAAGAGGCGAGGTGGTATTGTTGGAGGGTCCTTCCTTGTCAGACAGTTACAAGGAAGAGGCTTGTCGCGTGTCCAGTGCCTGACAAAATAACGTGCCGCGAAGTACTCTTGGAAGGTCAGATGCAGAAAGTTGTAAGCTGTGTCGGCTATTGTGAGCATTGTCTTCCGATGTGCGCAAGAATGATACTTTGCGGCGTACACGTTCGCTCATACGTGGGAGCTCTTCCTCATGCTGTTTTAATAGTCTGCATATAGATGCTCGGTCTTCTTTTTGAAATTCAATGGTATCATTAGCAAGTCCATGAAATGCAAGGCCCTCGATGAGGTTAATTTCCTTCGCAACGTAATTTTCAATGTCGAGCTGGTGGATGTCTTCTACTGCCCCTTCCGTGAGCCGGTGCCCTTGATCGTCTCGGATACCTAGCTGTAGGATATCCTTTCTCCAGATCTTTGAGACGATTGATTGATAGAGACTGGTCATTGTCTGCGGTCTGTCGCCCCAAATATTTCGCTCCCAGCTGTAGCACAATGCGTCTAGCTGGATCGGAATTCGGACGAGGCTTTGCAGCAGAGCGTGATCCTGTAGAAATGACTCAATCTCTCTTGAAACGCCGATGTCCGGCACTATCTCTGTGTTGCGAATGTATTCCTTCACCTGCTTGGAGCGGAATCCAATAGCCTCCAGCTCCAGATCAACGGCCCCGATATCAATATGATCAGACGGGCGAGGTCTCGTCGTAATGATGACTTGTGGCTGCTCTAAAAGATGGGACACAAACTCGTGCATCGGCGTGCCCATGTCCCATTCCCGCGAGACCTCGTCGAGGCCATCCAGGATGAAAAGCACCCATTCACAGACGCAAGGTTCATTGACAGTCAGCCATAACGCGTGAGCCTGTGCTTTGCCATCAGGCTGCTGTGAGAAGTATTCCTCGTAGAACATGTTTTCCGTATTATATGCAGTCATCGTTTGTGATTTTCGTCTCAGGTTCCGCGAAGGAACCCAGAAGACCCAATCGAAAAGGTCCTTCCACAGGTGATGGTGAATGAGTTCGAAAATAATCTTTTTGCAGAGCGTCGATTTCCCTACCCCAGCCCGTCCTTCGGTCAGAATGCGTTTCGGCTTCGGAGGTGTCTCGAACGGTCGTTCGGGCCGGGACCGTGGCTCTAAAAGTGCCAGTAAGGTGATCACTTCCTCCTGGTCATCTTCTTGCACTTTGAGGCGTGACTGAGTGAGAAGAAATTCTGACGCTTGCTGACGTGTTGTGAGCGCTTCACCACTGCCAGGTTGATGAAACAGTGGCTCATTGGGAGTGGCTGGCCGGAAATGTGTTGAATCGCAAGGCGCCTTCCTTCAGTGTAGAAGGCTTCTAGGGCAGCGGCCACCGGAGATAATTGAACGGTAGCTGCGAAATCTCTAATCAGCAATCCTGTGACGTGACCATGGACATACGTATGCTTCACTTACTCTTTGATGCTTCGAGATACGATAGTAGCTCCTTGGCGACGGCGGCAGCAGCGGCGACGGCATAAGGATGCCATACATCGTTCTTGTGCGAGTCTGCATAATCAGAAACCCCGCGAATGACAATGCACCGGAATTCATTCATGAGTCCTGCTGCCTCCATTTCAAAGCAGATGGCGCTGATCATGTCCCGCTCCCTCGCATTTTTCATGACGCGGTCGCCTGATGCAATGACTCCGTAGTGGATGACGGGCTGTTTTGGATCGCTGCGTTCGGGTCGGAGAATCTCATTTTGTCTATCGCAAGACTGGCAAGTGGGTTTGTTGAATTGATGGTCGTACTCAGACTTGAACAGAACATCTAGGTCAGACGACGGTCGCTTGTACTTGAAAGTGCGGGATACCGCTCCAGAATGTCCCCAATATGTTTAGAAACTAGGTTGGACCGCACAAGATGATCCGACCGCATTTGCGGGACGGTCGCTAGCCACTCGTTGGGAGGAGGGCATAAGAAACCTTTGCGTTGAAACCCGGTCGTAGTCTGCTTTCCCAAGTCGTATTGCACAACACCACCCTGCGTGTCGGATGGGACGCTGACCACCACGTCTCCCAGGCGAACATCGACAGTAGAACTAGGTACGCCGCCTCCAATGCCCACGAGCAGTCGCAGCTCTACCGACTGGAAGGTGCGTGCTAGATCTCGTGCGACGATTGCGGCCGAGATGATGCCTTGGTAGCCGGCAGGCAAGGATGTGATAGCCACATTATGCTGGCTCAGTTGTCCAAGGACGTAGCGGTTTGGGTCACCTTTCGTCGCCGGAAGCTGCTCGTGTTCTTCGTCGAGCATGTACCTCACTGCGCTGAGCTCAACTTCCAGCGGAGCGAGGAGCGCGACTGTATATGCATTATGTGATAGGCGTTTCTTCCTGGGTTCCATCCTGCTCTCACAAGATGATGACGATGAGGTGGAGGAGGGGGAATTTAGTCAGACTTTGCGAACCACCGAAGGGTTCAAGATGGCAGATTAGGTTGAAGTTCGAAAGGGAAGGCGCATTGGGCAGCATTCACGCCGCGGATCTGCAGCCCTTATGCAGCATAGCCCCCCGCATTCGTATAATTACTGCATGTGCTGTACAGTACTTTTGTCCAGTCTGACGTCTCTGTCAGACATAGCCAGGAGAACGAGATCCGGATGGCTGGTGTCGACGCGGGGCAAAGATCTTGGAGATGCCACCCGAGGAGTTGTCCTTGTTCTCGTGATACGTGAGATGTGAATTGATGAATCGAGTTGCTTCGCATTCACACAGCCACGCTGTAAGTCATCCCTCGAAACATATTCGAATGACCAACTCGCTAGTGGCGTGTCAACCATGTAAAAAGCGGACGCCAGATACTTCTTTGACCCATAGTCCTTCAGGCTGCGTGTTGTACTATCATCTCCGACACATACGAATGCTTCTTCGCAACAGGCAGTAGATGTCACATCGCGAGGATCCTTTCTGATGGGCCACAATCGTAGGCGCTTGGAAGATTACTGGCCAGCCCAAACAGAGCCTAGTTCCGGCGAAGCAGTTCCTTGTTAGGGGCAGATCTGAGCGACGATGGTTGCCTTCTAACTGAGGTTCTGTATGCCATCAGCCCTCGCGATCGGTACTGACCTATCGGGGGTCGAGGAGGAGTTTTAATATGAGATGAGTGCGGGGGAGAGAACTTCCAAAGAAATCATCTTCTTTTCGATTGGCAGTCCTACCGTCGAAGCCTTCAAGCCACGCGTGGAGGCTAGAATATGCCAGGAAGATAAATTTGGACATCGGCGGACAAGCGCGAGTCGGGTCCCCGGATTAGCCGACTCCTTTTCCGTGTTCGCGCTGTCACTGCAGTCAGTCCCTGCGCCTTGCACATTTCCTTGAATGGCGACTTCGTATTCATTCCCCCTGTAAATATATTTTCTGGATCAACGAATGATTGTCTTTACTTTGCGATCGTCGATCATGAATCGGGTGAAGATTCTCAACCTTTCTTTTCAAGATACTTGCTGAGGTTCACAATCAGAAGAGGTGGGGTGTCCTGCTTTTTGCTTGCACTTCAGTTCCCATGCCTTGTCGGCTTGTCGATCTTCCTTTTGTGCGCGAAGAACAATTCCAAGCCACTGGATTGCCCCGAATGGTTCGCTGGCTGTAAGCCCCTGTCCCCTTAACAGCGCTTGGAGATTTGATCGGTCGATCCGGAGATTAGTAATCGTAATCCACTCTAGGCAGTCAACCCCGAGGGGTAATTCCCCTAAACTAATCTCCGACTATCCATGAAAAATGTCTTATTCAGTACACCATCCATATATAGATATGTTCGCAGCAGCTAATCATGGGCGCTTTAAAGTATTTAAGACATTCACTGGCGCCAGTGGACTAGTGCAATAACCCCGAAGCTACTTATGCTATTTGCATCGTGCAATTCAATAGTCCCAAGGGACCTCGGGTATATTTAGTGCAATCGCAGCTATGTGTCTCTGGGCTGATCGCTTAGGGGTAGCTCGGTGATCGACTGATGGCTGATCCCGCTATGCGCGCAATGCAGTCTTTGGAGAGTCAGATGCAAGCGGGAGAGTTGTGTTCCGACCATGCAAACTGGGATCATGTGGTGTGGGAGTGGTTTTTTGAGCGGTTTCTCCGAGAACACCATCGGGCAGGGCGATCGACCTCCCGGATTTATCCTTAAGCGAAGAAAAGGTGATTATCAAGCGAACTGTGGGTGAGTCTGAGACATGCCTTGAACTAGGATGCATAGTGAATCTACCATTGTTGAAGGTGCCTACTGAGTTCCACTTGTTAGCGACAAGTGTGTTAGTCGCGCCGGCTTCTTGTCTCTGTGTCTAAGAAGACTCGAGCCACATGGTGGTCTCAACATGACTCATTCATTATCAATTTGGCATCGCCCGTTAGTTCACTTCGCTCAACATTTGGACAGATGTCTTCCAGGTTCGCACTCATAACTATACTCTGAAGTGAGCCGAGAGGGCGCCGAAGGGGTCACGGAGAGAAATCCCTCGGAGATGGTAGGAACAAGCTTTGGCTAAGCTTTGGAGATATTACTTTCGAACGAATCGAAGGACGACTTTAGAGTCTATTCCAGGAAAAGATTTATCAATAAGGCATTCGCAGCAATCAATTGCAATTATGCGCACCTATCCTGAGCATGTTAGGGGTATGAACCAGGAAACAAATGGTGCACGAGACCGGAATATGTGGCGCGGGGGGAGCCGAGGTATTTGCGGATCCTTATCAGCAAGAATTGGAGAAATGTGCGCACAGGACTCGAGAAACACGATGGTCTGAGCAGCAAGACAAGGAGAGAAGGCGGTGTTTCAGAGCCAAGTAAGACATTCACCCAAAGTGCGCCAGAAAAGACCAGAAAAGGGGCTACGTCATCGACCCACTTGAGAAAATTCTGTGTTTTTGATAGATGGCTTGGCACAACCACACTTCAGCACAACTACCCCTATGAAGCTGACAACTGTAGGATGGGGTTTTTGCTGCTTTAGGTCAGTTGCAATTTCGCAGAAACCTACCTTTCCAATTGTTATCAACACAACTGACTGAATGCTGATTCACAGTGCCGGGGCGGTGTCGATCAGTCTAATTCGTGTGCCGTGCTGGAATGGCCATGGCAGGACACGCAATGCCCCTGAGATAGTCCCAACGCTAGCAAAGCTTGGCTGGGTTCGCTCGCATCCCACTTCCAATCGTTAATATCGCTGCCTGCATCGCCATGGTTAGGCTGATGGTCCACCTCGCTGGAGCTCTGCTTGAACCACAGGAACGCCTGTAGAACCAATAACCTATCGACTGCAGAATTTTCTTCCTCTTGCGGTGGAGATGTTTCTCATTCTCTGTTATCTCGCAGATCCAGTTGGCCAATGGGGAGGAGGGATTTCCTCCTCTCCGCTAGCCCTATCCCACGCTTCTCGTACCCGCTGTCAGTGTTCCAGTGTTCCCATCCTTGGATCTGCTATCTATCGCACGATACTGGTTTAGTGTTCTCACTGCACAGCCAACTCCGACAGAACGAGTTACCGTCCGACTGCCGGCTTGCCTTCCCCCCGATAATTCCGTGCTCGGCCCAAGGTCCCCGAGGAAGATTTTGACTGATTTCTTGCCCCATTTGTCCCACACGTTCCCCCTTTCCTGCTTCCTCCTTGGTTCGCTGACCCCAGTGGATTTGATGTCATGTGGACATTCGTCCCCCCCCCCCCAAAGAGCGTATAATTATAATGGATTTCCCCGCCCCCCGGCACCGTTTTCAGAACTGAAACGTTGCAGCGGTTTCAAGAGTCCTCCTCCCCCCCTCACCAACTCTTCCTTGCATAGAACAGTTGGTTGCACGCAGTGTCGCCTCTGTAACGATGCGCCACGTCTCCACGCTGTTCCTGGCCGGTCTGGCCGCACTTGCTTCGGCCTCCACCACCTGTAGTGCCGACAACAAGTGCCCCGAGAGCGCACCCTGCTGCTATAGTGAGTTGACAACCACTTCATCTTTCCCCCACCACGCTAACAACCATCCACAGGCGGAGTATGTGGTGTCGGAACCTCATGTCTGGGCACCTGCGACCCCCTGATGTCGTACTCGCTCGACTCGTGCACGCCGGAGCCCATCTGCAAGAACCAGACCTACAGCTGGAGCAACCTCGACGACACGGTGGCGTACGACCAGTACCTCGGAAACTCGTCGCAGTACGAATGGAGCTGGAGCGGATACCCCAAGGTCGAGAACGGCAGTCTGATGCTCACGATGCCCAACCAGACGACGGGCAGTCTGATGACGCTGAACCACTACATCTGGTACGGCAAGGTGTCGGCCAAGATCAAGAGCAGTCGCGGCGGGGGGGTCATCACCGGGTTCATCCTCATGTCCGACGTGAAGGACGAGATCGACTTCGAGTTTGTGGGGTACAACCTGTCGAGTGTGCAGACCGACTTCTACTTCCAGGGCGTTGAGAACTGTACGTGTTGTCTCTTTTGCGTGAATGGGCTGTGACACGCGCTAACTCCTTCTTTCATTCCCCGCAGACACCAACGAGGTCAACGCCGCCGTCTCCACCGGCAACACCTACAACACCTGGCACACGTACACGATCGACTGGACGCCGGAGCAGCTGGAGTGGCAGGTGGACGGGGTGACGATGCGCACGCTGACCAAGAACTCGACGTACAACGCCACCTCCGGGATCTACATGTACCCGCAGACGCCGTCGCGGCTGCAGATGTCGCTGTGGCCCAGCGGGCTGAGCAGCGAGGGCGAGGGGACGATCGAGTGGGGCGGTGGCCTGGTGGACTGGAACAGCGCCGACATGGAGGAGTACGGCTACTACTACGCGCTGTACAAGGACATCACCATCGAATGCTACAGCCCGCCCGCGGGCACCACCGTCGACGGCGACGTGTCCTACGTCTACACCAGCGACACCGGCCTGTCGGACCAGATTCTCGTGTCCGGCAACAGCACCGTCCTCTACAACCTCGAGGACACGGGCCTCAACATGACCGCCGGCAAGCAGACGACCGCCACCACCAGCAGCAACGGCACCTCCGAGTCCAGCTCCGGCTCCTCCACCAGCACCAGCTTCAGCGAGGGAACGACCTCCAGCAGCGTCGCGAGCTCGTCCTCGTACGTCCAGGGCTCTTCCCTTGCTGCCCTGAGCGCGGCGATTCTTTTCAGCTTCTTCTAGGCGAGGATGAAGTGGACCGTCACTACCCACCCTCCTTTATTTTTCATCACCCAGGGGGATTTCCCCCCCCCCCCCCTTTTTTTTTTCCCCCCCCGGGGGGTTTCCCCCCCCCCCCCCCTTAAACCTCTTCTAACCACCCCTTTACGATCCTTATATATATACTTTCGATTCAAGCATGGCGTGTACGGCGACTTTTCAGATGAGCCAATAAACTG